TTTTCTAGAACAGTAGTTGTCATAACTTTTTCAAATGAACTATACCATAGTACTCTTGAGAATAAAAATATGAATTGTATATGGGTAATTGTCAAAGAATTCATTTTCTGTAATTGATATAATTTCTGTATTAGTTATACAAACACTCTTACTTATACTCAGATATAGTTTTTAACTTGTTGTTGCTGGCCTTATTCTATAGTAAGAATTACCTTCGGATATCATCCCCAACATGAATGTATAAAGATATCTGTGAATGTATTTCATTATCACGACAATACATCATCTTATAAATTTCTTATATCCCTATGGATCTTATTAACAATAAAATTATTACGTTAACATTAGGATAAGTTCTATTACATGAAAGTATTTGCAGACGCGTAACAATCGATAATATATTTTGTAAAATCTTGTATTAGACGTCAATAAACAAAATAGCAACCATTAGATAATCATTTTATCAATCTTTTTTTTCTACAAGGATAAGACAAAACAGAAAGAACCTATTCGTTTTTATGAATCTATGATTATATTACTGTTGTATTTATTTGTTTTTTGAATTGTTTCTAAGAACACTTTTAAAGTGGTATGATGGGGAATATTTGATTTTTCTTTTATGTTTTTTTGACAATACTTTATCAATAATATTCTTGCATTTGGTTTAATCATCATGAAAGTTTGGAAAATGTCATATCAATCCTTCGTATATTTATAGTTCTTGAGGTCTTGAATATGTTAATTTATGCTGTTTTGGCTGTATTGTTGTTAAAACACAAGTTTTTTGAGAATCAAAAGTATTAGGGTGTTGTTTATATTCTGTTTATATCTATTTGGCTAGTATTAATTCTTCACGTTTTGTAAATAGTATTGAAGCAAGATATCCGATTTCATGAATACCTTAATATACAATCTTGTGATGAGAAGATCGACCCAAAACATTACAAAAATTTGTAGATATCTACAGTTGTAATTATATATAAATAAAGAGTTGTTACAAGTTCTCCAGAGAAGTGATCTTTATTTATATTTCAAACCACAGTGCTAAGAGACCTGTTTTAATAAATAAACAACAATAATAATATTTGTTGATTGTCTAACTTGCAAATATGGAAAAATTATGCTAGGCTCTAAAGGTTGACTATGAGTACTTATTTATTAAGTTGTAACTATTTAATTCACACATCTGATGTTCTGGAACATGATGTTGTCAATAATACAAATAAGAATGTGTGAGTATTTGTAGTCGATTATCAGATAACCCACGTAGGAAATTTTATATCAAAGCTTACTTAAAGAGGTCTTTGATCCATTGTGATAGATGATATGATTGATTATCAATATTAGATTATGGTATAGTTGGGTCCAATATAATATAATTAGATAATATATCGCATGTTCACAAAAAATTTTTTGTTAAAAACTGATTTTGGTACATCGTTGGTAATTTTTTTGAAAGAAGTAAAGTTGTGAAAGATCAATATGTATTTAATAATAAATACAATATATACTATTTGCATGGGTTTTCAATAAACGAGAAATCCAATTTACTAAATACTTAAAACATAACAACGTTAGACTTTAAGTCTACTATAGTTCAGGAGATACCATATTAGCATCCCTGAGACTCTAATCCCAAATGTTAAATCTACAAAACTATACTTCCATAAACAATTAAGATTATTTAAATTAAATATCATTTTAAATATTTTCATAGGATAAATGCTTGATCATAAACAGTAGAAAGATGGTATAGTGTTTAACATAAATCTATTTATCAAAGTCTTCTTTGAAATGAAAAACGTAAGCAGATTTTTCAAATTTGTGGCTTTCACTGCATATAGAACATGTAGATTATTTTTGGATCGATCTTGTTTTCTGGAAGATAATTTTGTATTATTAGGCATAGAATATTTCTCATAATTCTCTAAAAACTGTCCAATATATCTTTTCCCATGAGTAGAGCAAAAATTATTTCCCATGTCAAATGATTATATGAACAATTTATACTTAATCCACCAACTATACCAAGGTAAACAAAACAATGAGCTCTTTCTAAAAAGTTTCTGAAACATATATATCACTATCTCTTTCTTTAAATTACAAAATATGAGTGAACCACAATTTTCGAAACAATAAAAATAACAACGATAGAGTTATTTATTTTGTGATAAATAAGTCAATGAATTTTGACCATTCTCTTTTCATGTGTAAGATATAGAAACAATGTAAACAACGCAAACTTAATACACTGGATTAATCTGATCCATCAATGGTTATTTTATCACATCTTATATTTGCAGCTACATTTCTAGGTTTATTATAGTAATATCATCTAGTAAATTTTATTGCTCTTTTAAACCTATAACATTCAATGTTATTCACAGTATCTGCTATCATGATATTAACATGTATGTTTACTATGGATTTATACATAGTAGACTAAGTTCATATCAACCACTATTTCTTTCAATTATGTCTTTACTCTTGAACTGCTTACTTCATTTGGACATTAATAACTGGTAGATTGTATGGTATCACTCTTAAACTATGAACTCTTTGTTAATATACAACTTCTTTTGATATTATGTCTTAGACAAGAACGATACTACACAAACACATCACACTTAATTATTCTTAGCATCAGCTATCATGATCTCTTCACTATCCACCAATCTCATTTCATTCAAATTTCAATTGTCAATTTTCCTTGTGTCAAAATTTGAAAAAATAGTTCGAAAAAAAAATTAACAACAATAATAGCCACACTCATCGACAACCATATAAAATACAGATCCATATAACCATAAATAAACAGTTACGATATGCTTACTATATGGTATAACTTTGAACATTGCTAAACCACTATTTAAGATGGTATAGTTACACCACTGTATACTTAATAATCATTCATAAGTAGCTATAGAGAATATTCTCAAAAGAACTTACTCCATACATATATTGTAACTAGGGAAACTATTTATTAAATACCACTTTCATTTACTGTTATACTACTACTTTCATAATAAATATGACTATTTAAGAATTCTCCAATAACACATGAACACTATCCCTTACTAATATTTTCAATATGAAAAATATAATTATATCTTCTATATCACTTCATTATCCATCGAATGATAGTGTTATAATAATTTATGATCATATGCAGTACTCTTTTGAAATTAACACATAATGATAACTGTTATAAACATAAATACAATTATGCTATATCCATAAACAAATTTACTATATCATCTTTTTACTCATATCTTCCAGGATATTTATCCTCACTAATTCCAATCTATTACACATGGATTTGATTTATGGTTGATTTTCAATGCTTATGGTAATAATGATAAAAGACAAATTGATTTGATATAATGAATAATATTTTGATTATATCTTTATTCTATTCTACTGTACTACTTTCCCTGTTCAATAATTTTTGTTGTGTCTTTTATTCAGATGATCTTATTTTAATGTTTGAAAAATAACGTAATAAAAAGAGATTTTATCTCGATCTTTGAACATTGAACAACATTTAAGAATATACTATGGTGGAGTATTAACATGTTAATCTATCAATTTACTATTCAGGAAATCTACTTTCTTTAAGAATTAGTCTGACATTATTATGACTGGATGTCTAATACTGTATATGGATCTCTAATTGTAACCAAGAGTCATGAGAAGATATTGAAATTCAAAAAAAAGTAATAAGAGTTTAATCCCATTATAACATTAAAATAGCAAGACATACTATATTTATGAATTAACATTTGCAAAAATACGACTGTGTTATGATAGTTTTACATGTTCCTTATTTAAAAAGAAAATTTTCACATTATCGGAATCCTTGGATAATTATTATTATTATTATTATTACAATATCTTTCACATATAGAGGGGACATTCTCCTGTATCTTGTAAATCTTGAAAGTTCTACACCCAGTAAAAGACAAAAAGAGATATCATATGTTTTCAAAAGAAGGTACATTACGAAATTCTGTGCATCTACATTTTTGTGTATAATATTCTTAACATGTAGAGTAAGTATAATATATCATCAGTGTGCAATTCTCTGCATTTGGGAAATAGCATGTTATTTCTCTTTCTTTCCCTTTTTTCCTTTGCTACCTAAAAGGAATCTCCATTTTTTCAAATATTGTTAGAGTAATTCTATAGTATGTCTCTACTGTTCATGTGAGTACAATAGTTATTGGATATGTTAGCTTACGTACAATTGAATATTATATTACAAAAAAGAAAGAAATAGAAGTATAACCATAAGTTTAAGCGAGTTAATAACAGTGACCATATTAACACAAATATACATATATATAGTTATTTGACTTAGCAAGATACAGTGGTATTTAATTAGTGTACATCCATGTATATATGTATGTATTATATGTTCCCTATGGATGTATTTGTATATACAGAGGACAGAAAGAAAATAATTAAGGAATGTGGGAATAAATACATTTGTCTAGTTAACTTTTCAGTAAATACAGGTAAAGAAAGATTGTAACTGTTTTTAAGACATGTGTCAAACCTTTTATTATGATCTTTGAATTAAACTAGCATCAAATCTTCACAATTACAATTTTTCTTAATTAGAAAAGATTTAAAGACCTTACATCCTTTAAACCATGATCAATCGATTTATACAGAAGTAAATTTCCTAATCACAATCTCTTTATTAAAAATTGCCAAAACATGTAGCAAAAACATACATGTATTAAAATGTCTATATAGCAACTATTAGATTGTATAATTGTATTGAATAATTTAAATTACTTAAAATTGGGAGAAGATATTATCGGTTTATTAGGAATGAGTAAATCTATTTGTGCTGTATAAGATATTTGAAAATCAAATAAATAATAAAAATACACAATATAAAAAATATTAGAATACTATATACTTATATAGAAATATTTAATTATTAAATTATTTAGAATTCTTTATTTTAAAATTTTTTGCCTTTAATCAATTTAAATTACCATGAATAATAATAAACCAATGCAATGGGCAACACTCCACTTCATCATATACATGGTGCTACCTTTACCTTCATATGATACAAGAGAAGGTATACCCCCATGAGGTATTGTAACAGCAGTCGATGATGAGGATAATTTCTCAGGAATATATTGGGAAACTTGCGGCACCATTGAAGGCATCGATGTTTCTGATCTTCTAGACTCATTATTACCGATTACAGTGGTAGATGTTCTAGAGTTTCTAGATGTTGGGTGATTTTTACCATTGGTAAATGCTGGACCAGGGGTGGTAGAAGTAACAGAAATAACTGGAGTTGCGTTGGAAGCAGCAGAAAGTGAGTTGGTCTCTTCTTGTTGGTTCTTTGAATAAACAGATTCAATAGAACTATGTCCAATGATAGCAGTCATACTTGTTTCAGAAGTTGCAGATGGTTCTGGACAATAAGTTGTAGTCATAGTAACTCCATTAACAACCGTAGTCAGAACAACTAGAGTGCCACTCAAAGTAGATTCAATCTTTTCACCAGATATAGTGGAGTTTCCATAGAGAGGAGATGGTACAGAAATTGGTGATGTCATAAAGCTACTAAATGGAGATGGTGTGATTATAACAACAACAACTTCAGTAGAGGAAGAGCCATTACTGTCAGTGACTACAGTTGTGTAGGTAGATGTGATTGGGACAGTGACTACACCAGTGGTAGTAGTGGATAAGGTAGATGGAGCTGGAGTGATCACAACAACAACAACCTCAGTAGAGGAAGAGCCGTTGCTGTCTGTGACTACAGTTGTGTAAGTGGATGTAGTTGAAACTGTGACTGCACCAGTGGTGGTGGTAGATAAGGTAGATGGAGCTGGGGTGATCACGACAACAACAACTTCAGTAGAGGAGGAACCGTTGCTGTTGGTGACTACAGTTGTGAAGGTCGATGTGGTTGGAACAGTGACTGCACCAGTTGTAGTAGTGGATAAGGTAGATGGAGCTGGGGTGATCACGACAACAACAACTTCAGTAGAGGAAGAGCCGTTGCTGTTAGTAATAGTGGTGGTGAAGGTAGATGTGATTGGAGCAGAAACATCCGCAGTAGTAGTGGTGTAGATAGTTGGGCCACTTGGAGATGGGGTGATTACAACAACAACAACCTCTGGAGAGGAAGAGCCATTGCTATCAGTAACAGTGGTGGTGAAGGTAGATGTGGTCAAGGCAGAGACATCACCAGTAGTGGTCGTATAGAAGGTAGATGGGGCTGGAGTGATCACAACAACAACAACCTCTGGGGACGAAGAGCCATTGCTGTCAGTAATAGTGGTTATGTAGGTGGTTGTAGTTGGAGCAGAAATATCTGCAGTAGTAGTGGTGTAGGTGGTAGATGGAGATGGAGTAATCACAACAACAACAACTTCTGGAGATGAAGAGCCATTGCTATCAGTAACAGTAGTGGTGTATGTGGTTGTGGTTGGGGCAGAGACTGGACCTTTAGTGATATTATAGATAGTTGGACCACTTGGAGAAGGTGTAATCACTACAACAACAACTTCTGGAGATGAAGAGCCATTGGTGTCAACGACTGTAGTAGTGTAAGTAGATGTTGTTGGAGCAGAAATATCTGCAGTAGTTGTAGTGTAGGTGGTAGATGGAGATGGAGTAACCACTACAATAACAACCTCTGGAGATGAAGAGCCATTGTTATCAGTGACAGTGGTTGTGTAGGTGGTTGTGATTGGAACAGAAACTGGACCTGTGGTAGTAGTGTAGGAAGTAGATGGAGATGGGGTGATCACTTCCACAACAACCTCATCAAACATTGCAGTATTACCATACTCGTCCTGGTTATAGACTACAACAGTATAGCTAGTTGTAGTTGGAACTGTGATATCTGAAGTAATAGTAGTGTATAAAGTGGTTGGATATGGAGTATAAAATATCACAGCTAATTCCTGAGATGTAACACCGTTGTTCTTAAAGACATCTACCACTTCAGTGTAGGTACTCACTGGAAATCCGTAGTATGTAACAAATGTTGTTGCCATTGGCATATTAACAACCGGAATGATTTTTACGTTTGCATTATCATCATTCTGCCAGGATGTCGTAGTGATAACAGAAAGAGTGGTTGGTGCAGTCAAACCTGCAATATAAGATTGAACAGATGTGGAATACTGAGTATTGTAAACGGTTGTAAAAGGATGACTAATGGTAACTGCGGAACAAAGCTCTCCCTGATCATCATCATCTGCATACGAGAATATAGTGCTACCAACATCAGTAACAACAGTACTATCAGGTAGATGGACAGCCATTTCAAGGATACCTCTTTGTTTCACGTTAATATAGATAGCTTTAAATGGATAGGAATACCCAGCCTCCATATACACCTGATGAGCAGCCGTTCCTAACTGACCACTTTTACTCGAAGTAAGTGTGAGCATAGCATCATCGGAGGAGAAGGACTCTGTTTGATTACAGCAATCAAATGCCGCACCAGCACCAAAGAAAAAAGTGACATAATCATCCACTCCTAGGGAAATAGTATAAACACCACTCATTGGGGCAATAAAGTAACCAGTGATCACCATCATAAAGTGTGTAATAGGAACTCCCGTATAACCATATGGGGGCACAGATACAGGCCAACCAGAATCCCAGTTAAGATTCTCGACACCTTTTATTTCACCAACATAATGAAATTTCCGATAACCACTGGAAGCGAAGTCTGGATCATTGTAACTCACAATATCATCAAGTGGATATTCGTAGAATTGGACAGTAACACCCGGCTGAAGTTTTCTTGAAATAACGCATGCTTGCGGGGTGATACTACCAGCGAACGAAATATGAAAAACCGTAAAAAAAAGCAATAGAATGGAGAGAAAATTTCTATTGATTGAATGTATATCACTGTGCATTTTGAATGAATGTCTTGGTTTGTAGAGAAAAAAGATTTGTATACTTTTTCTGTTGGTTGAGCAAAGACACTTCGAGAGATTTATTATCTGATTAAACTTTTAATTGCACTTGTATTTAATGCTTTCGAAGCTGTGGTGTTCTATTCATAATAAGTGGGAAGCAAAGAGGAAGGAAAGGGAAATGGTCCACGAAAAGAAGAGATGACTAAATAAGATAGCGTTTGTTTTTCTATCTTTGGAAATATGAACGTTCTAATAAAAAAACATCAAGACATTTATAAAAAAATGTCAAAACATTTATAACAAAAAAAATACCAAGACATTTATAACAAAAAAAATATCAAGATATTTATAACAAAAAAAATTGTAGATTGAATTAAAAGTATTGTTCTTTTGGTAAAGAAAACAAATTTTTTTACAAAAAAATATAATAACGGTTGATAACAATTAAAACCCCTGAGATCAAGGAGGTTTGCCTTTGTCGAGATGAAAATAAAAAAAGATACAAAAGCGATTAGTATAATAAAGGAATTCAGAGAAAAGTATTTGATTTTTAAAATTCTTGGTCATTAAAAATGCTTGTTGGTAAAAATACTTTATAATTAGATAAGAGAACTTATGTCATCTCTTTGTCAAAGAAAAATAATGAAAAAAAAAAACAAATGTGCAATGCATGTCCTATTGTCGCACAAGAATATCTCGATTTGGATAAGATTTGTTGAACAGTTCTGAAGGAACTGTAAACAAAACACTTTCAAAGTTGGCCTTTTCTGGAACTTTTTTTTTTCTACTATGGAAATAATAGAAATAAAATAGTGTTTTCGGTAAATCCAGCGAGAGAATTAAAAATTTCTTTTACTGTTAAGGCATACAAAAAAAAAAGAAAGGAAAAGAAAAGGAGTAGAGAGAGGCAAAAATAGAGTTTAAAAAAAGTGCTTTAATCTTCTATAGTTTTCCAAAGACTTACCAAGGAGCAGCTCAACAAATAATGATATAATAGAATAAAATAAAACGACAAATAATAAAAGAATAAAAATGACGGTAACAATGAAAGAAAATAGTACCAGTAATTGTTACCTCAAAAAATTGGTATATCTCTCTTACTTGTTGCATTTACATAATATCGGCGAATAATTTCAGAGGAATACATTACTTTTGGAATGTTAGATTGAGTAATGTTATTTTTAGAAAAACATAAGATCCGCGATTGAATAATGAGTTTTTTTTTGACCTATCAAGAATTTTTTTAAAATTTCCTCGTTTAAATGTTCTGAAACAGTCTAATTATTTTTTAGAACTATATGTTATGCTAGTAAAGAATAGGAAGCAGATAATGGACATAATATCTAAAATTATCAGCCCTAACCCTATAAAAAATTATTTTCCTACAGCGTATGTATTTTTAATAAAAGTAAGTTATTTTAAAATTGTAACCTTTAAAAATTTTTGAACATGCATAAAAAACATGTCTTTCAAGAAAAAAATTTAGCAGATAAAACAAGAAATTTATGACAGGAAATTTCAAATCTTTTGTTTTTAACTTTCTTTTTTTGTTTTTTTTTATTTTTCTGTTTCAAATTTCCTTTCTAATACATCCCCTAAACAAATTTGGAAAAACAAAAGAACTCCTCTTATTATGATCTAAAAATTTATAGTAAAAAAAGACGTTTTTAAAAAAGTAGATGTTGCTTTTTTTATAAAATTCCCCCCGGTTATTTTGTATAAAAGCCTGTACTATTTTTGAAACAATAGGATTTCCCCCCGATTTTTTTGTTTTTGCTTTAAAAACAATTTTCAATTTCCAGTAAACTACATCATCCGGAGGTAGACAAAAAATATGTACGGTTTATTTGATGCCATACGTATTGTTCTTCTTTTTTAAATAAAGATTTTGATTGTTCCCTAAAACCGGTTCATATGATAATTGAATACAAAGCAGCTATTTGATTGGGGTATAACAATACCATACGATTTTTCACCATTAACATGCATTTACAACCAATTAGCACAGCACCGTTGTGTATTGGAACAACTGAACTAGAGTTTAGAAAAACCGGATTTTTTGTATTGAATTTTGGTGATGAAAAATTTTTTTATCATGGAACTATTGTTATATGTGAAAAATACAATACGTCTAGCGATGCCAAGCTTCAGTATCAAACACTTTAATATTATTTATTATAAGCTAATATGACAAAAAAATAGAAAATCACAATAAGACATTGGCAATATTTGCTGAAATGATATATTACAGGTTTGGGTAACATGTAGATATATCAAAAGGGGAAAATGTTTGTTTTGCACACTCAATATTACAGAGATAAGATCAGACAGAATGAAAATAAATTAATATATTATGAAAAATTGCCAAAAGGTAAACATATATAAGTAGACGACTTTACTTATTAATGTTCCAATCTGGATGAATAATATATATACATCATATCTTTATGTTTCTTTTATATTTATATAATTATTAATTCCCAAAGAAGAGATCGAGGGAAAATTACTCTACATATTAACATAATAATAATACCTAGTAATAACATATGATATGATCACCGACGCTAAAGACATGTATACTAATACTATTAATCCAGAGGAATATTCTTAACACATTTCATTGATTTAAGTTTCATTTTCACATAATTGGGCTATTTCATAATTGATAGGTCTTTGAAGTTTTATCTTTTTCTTTTTGTGCATTGTAAAAAGGGCAAGGTTTTTTTTACCAGAAATAACATGATATAGAGCGAAATTAGTCGCACCGTCTCCGCAAGCGGCACAAAAATATTGATTTATTGTTTAAACTTTTACATATATTGTATATGTCTGGTATTGTTATGTGATATTGTATTTTAGCCAAGATTTAAAAAATTTTATTGTTACCTTTTTTTTCTCAAAAAAAATACCGGCTGATAACATAGGGGCATACTTGTTTAGTAATAATAGTATGGATAATAATAGTTTTAAATAGTTTATGCCTGTCTCCGATTTTTTTTACATGCATATATTATCGGAAAATACCTTGGAAGCACTATAATTTTTCAGGGACGTTAAATACAATAGCTTCTATCTAGAAAAGAATAGGATAAAAACTTGAATATTACTTTTTTTGTTTTGGTTTCTTTGCCTAAAAAGAATTTATTGAGTTCTTTTTTGAAATATTCAACCGACGATCGTTTGTTCGTTCAAGTATACTCACAACCTTGGACTCAGAGTTTCAGTTGTTCCAAATTCTGCGCCTCGATACTAGGTGTTACCTACAGACTACGTATCTTAGGATTTCCAGTTAGGACTCCTTACAAAATTTCATTAGCAGAAAAGAATGCTATAAAAATAATACAATACGTAAAAATTAATGATACTTGCCTTAATAATGCAAGAAGAAAATACGTTTTTTATTTGGATATTCTTTAAAATATTATTAGAACATCAGATGAAAGCATGTAATTGGAGTAAAATAACAAAGGCACGATTTCACCCCTGCAGATTTGATCCTTAAAAGTTCGGCATTGTACCAAAAGGCATGTGTTTCAAGGAAAAAAGAGTACATAAAATGGTGCCACTTTCTAAGAACTTTGAACTTTCCTTTTAGTATACAGTGATTAGGTTCGTAAAAAGCCTTAGAGAGGAAAAGAATTTGTATTTTTGTATTTTTAATTTTTTTTTTCCTATTATTTTTTGTATGATATTGTATTGTTTCCAAAATAACCTGATTACTCTCTTAAGTTTTCTTGTTTCAAGAAGAGTCTAGAATTTTCTCTGAATTGTATTTACTTGAATAAAGTGCTATCAGGTGCATCCAATCCTAGATGCATTGTTATTTTAAACTGGAGATTTTGATCTTTCTTTGAAAATTATCCATAGAACTTTCAAATGTGGAAGTATTATTTTGACCTGAGTATAATGGAATTGCGGTATTTTTTTACTAAAAACTTATATCTACAACTAATTAGTATTATACATGTCTGTATAGGGATATTTTACTAGAACTAAAAGAAAAAATAAAATAAAAAAAAAAAGAAATAAATAAAAAAATAGAAAAGTAAAAAAATAAAAAAATAAAAAAATAAAAAAATAAAAAAATAAAAAAATAAAAAAATAAAAAAATAAAAAAATAAAAAAATAAAAAAATAAAAAAATAAAAAATAAAAAAAGAAAAAAGAAAAAAGTTAAAAAGTAAAAAAGTAAAAAAGAAAAAAAGAAAAAAGTTAAAAAGTTAAAAAGTAAAAAAGTAAAAAATTAAAAAAAATAAAAAATGTTGACGCAAGGCTTCAGAATCAAAAATTCTAGTCGAGTTCATTTTAAACTAATATAATAAGATAATGTAACTTACAATAGGATATTGGTGGTATTATAAGTTCTATTATTATTTATAGTAGGAAGTTAGTGGTACTATAAATTGTTATTTTATTGCTTAGTCCTTTTCTTTCTATATAAGTAATATACAAGATACAATATTATACAGTATACTCATTTTATCTTTGAATCTTCTTTACTATAAATTTTCATAACTTTTAATCACTTAGTGCTGGATTGATATATTACCGATTTGAGTAACATGTAAATATATCAAAGAAGAAAAATGTTTGTTTTGCACATTCAACGTTATGGAGATAAGATCAAACAAAATCAAAATAAATTAATATATTATGAAAAATTGCCAAAAGGTAAACATATATAAGTAGACAACTTTACTTATTAATTTTCCAATCTGGATGAATAATATATATACATCGTATCTTTATGTTTCTTGTATATTTATATAATTATTAATTCCCAATCAAGAGATTGAGGGAAAATTACACTACATATCAATATAATAATAATACACAATAATAACATATTGTATGATCACCGACGCTAAGAACATGTATACTAATATTATTCAGCCAGAGGATGGTAGCGTTCGTAAAAATTCGTTTGCAGAGATCAAATCGAAGAGTGAACCAGTCACTCCGATCCAAGGCATTCAGGGATCATATGAACAAACTAAACAGAACACAAACAAAGCTAGTGAAAACACACAAGCTCCTTCTTTTGTTCCCTCCACATATCCATATCCATATCCATACCCAGGTACTCCATCATATCCACATGGGTATCACTACCCACCTTATCCTATGGGTTATCCACATGCATTCAACCCATACTATTATTATCCCCCACCACCTAACCTATACTTCCCACCGCCACCGACACCAGTACAATCACATGGTACACCATTACAATCTAATGGCCCTACCTTACATGACACTGATGAACATTCAGTCTCTTCATACTCGAGTAACCCTATATCAACTGTTACTCTACACCAAGTTTCTGACCCATCAGAATTTCCAGACTTTCTACAAAACTTTCAAAAATATTTAAATGATATAAACTTATCCAAGATATGTATAAACACAGCACAATCTACCATTACCGATCAAGAAAAACAACATGTAACACATATTTTTAGATTATATGTTAACCCTAAAGCATATCCTATGTGGTTCAAAAACGAACTATCGGATAACTATGTCTCTTTGTTTGATTTAATTCAATGTGCCATTATAAAATACAATAAAAGGAATACTCCTACTAAATTATATCAGCAACTACAACACATCCGTTACGACCCAAAGTGTGATCCTATGTTGTTTAAAAAAAGAATAAATAATATGATACAACAAGCAAAAGATTACAATATCGCTATTCCAGATAGGATTTTATGTGATACGATCATACAATCGTTACACGGACCTTATCAAATAATTGTTGATAATTACAATCGTAACTTTCACAACATTACATTGAATGACATTTTAAATGATATTATCAACATCCATAGTCGTCAGCCACACCCCTATCCAACCAAACATCACACCAATACATTATCTTCTACCAAGCCAACCAATCAACTCAAAAAGCCAAAAAATAAAAAGAAAATTTCAAACATTCAATGTGAGCACCCTATTGAAGAAAACACACAGGATGACTCCCCAGAAAATCTTAAAGACTATCTAGTCCTTGACACTGGTGCAGAAATTTCTGTTATTAATGACATAGAATTTCTAAACCATATTACCGATGCTAACGTTGTCCTATATGCCGCAAATGACAAACCAATTCCTGCTGCTGCTAGTGGTATAATATCACTAAAATTTCAAACCCATTCCAAACCTTACGTTATAAGGGCTATTCATGCTCCTGACATATCGAACAATTTCATTAGTACATACCAATTGGAAAAAGCCGGTATTGTAGTTGACACTCGTCATCGCCAATTACTAGACAAGTCGGAACACATTCTGTCTCCCATCATTAATGTGGGTAAGTACATGTGTATACCTCGATCAATTTTACAACCATCTAATCAACAATCTACTTCATACAGCATAAACAAATTAGGTATCAAATTAACTGTACCTTTTCTACACAATTTATTTGGACATATTAATGTTCATGATATTAAAACCACAATTGATCGAAAGATGATTTCTGGTATCACATCAGCTGATGTCGATTGGTCTGGCATTCACTCCTTTCGATGTACATCCTGCATGAAAGGAAAATCAACTCGTCACAAGCATATTATAGGTTCTCGTATAAAATATCAAAAAGAATATGCTCCCTTTGAATATATCCATACCGATATTTTCGGTCCCATGTCACATCTACCAGTCGGAACACCTTCCTATTTCATCAGCTTTACCGATGAATCTACTCGTTTTCGCTGGGCTTTTCCATTATATTCAAAGGATTCACAAAATGTTACTCGCATATTTTCAAAGTTCATTAATATGGTGTCTAATCAGTTCAAGACCAACATCCTATCTTTTCAAATGGATCGTGGTTCAGAATTTACAAACGATCAGATAACCAAACTCTTCGAAGATAAAGGGATTAACCCAATTTATACTACTGCTGGTGATTCACGAGCAAATGGTGTTGCAGAACGATTTAATCTAACTTTTTTAAACGATTGTCGAACACTTTTACAAGCTACAAACCTACCAAATTCGACTTGGTTTTATGCTGTTCAATTCGCCACACTCATGCGTAATGCATTTTTTAACTCATCTATTAAAACTTCATCAAGAGCAAAAGCCGGTCTTGCAGGTCTGGATGTGAGTACTATTCTTCCTTTTGGACAAGAAGTTATTATTCACAAAGGATCAACAACATCCAAGCTTTCTCCTCGTGGTGACGACGGGTTGGCATTATGCCCATCCACAGTATCTCATGGATACTTAATATATAATACCATCACCAAAAAAGTGGTTGACACATCCAATTATTCAATCGTTAAAAGTTCACCATCAAAAGGCACCACACCAAAATCCACAGTCTTCGACACTCTAATTGCTATCCACGACTACCCCGAGAACATTGAACCAGAATCTGAACCAGAAAAAATTGACATTCCTACTGAGAACCAATTACCATCACATACTACCGCACTACCATCAGTTCAACACTCCTCTGAAAACAATGACACCCTTAAAGAAGTTGACAATCTAATTGATTCCATCGTACATACAAACTCCAATTATGAATCTGATGACTATACATCAGAAAATGAAAGTGATAATGAAAACGAAGCTATATCATCCACTTCGCCCATTCAAGCCCAGCCAATAGAGCACACCCCATTGGGTGGTACAAATTTATCTAATTCCTCCAATCTATCTCCTGATTCCACTTCTTTAGCTAATCCACAAAAAGACGCTGTGTTGGGTGGTAAAAATACCGATGCTAAAATTACGAAACCATCTAGTAAGAAAAACACAGACGCTTCAAGACTAGCAAAAAAAGCTGAAGAATATTTAACGAAATTCTCAAAAGAATACAAAATAAGCAATATTCGTGCTAATCAGAGATCAAATGAATTAAATAGTGCCTCCCACTCAATAAACTATAGAGATGCTATAATAAAAAATACTAATAATGACTCAAAATATTTGTATAAATTGGCATATGAAAAAGAAATCGAACAGTTAAAAAAAATGAATACGTGGGACGAAGAATTAATCGATGATAAGAATATTGATAAGAAGAAAATAATTAATACAATGTTCATATTCAACACAAAAAGAGATGGAACACACAAATGTAGATTAGTAGCAAGGGGAGATCAACAGAAGAAGGGAACATATAATGAGGAAGCAACATCCAATACAGTTCATCACTATGCACTAATGACTGTACTTTCAAATGCTTTAAATAAAAACAAATACATCACTCAATTAGATATTTCATCTGCATATCTTTATGCTGACCTAGAAGAAGAACTATATATAAGAGCTCCACCGCATATGAATTTGAAGAAAAAGGTCGTGCGATTAAAAAAGTCCTTATATGGATTGAAACAATCAGGAGCTAACTGGTACAGGGAGATATCCAATTTTTTGACATCAAAATGTTGCTTAAAAGAAATATCAGGCTGGTCATGTGTGTTTATAAATGAGAAAATTACGGTATGTTTGTTCGTTGATGATATGATTATCACATCCAGAAAAATATCTGACGCAGAGAATTTTATATCAAAGTTACAAGAAAAATTTGATACAAAAGTCATAAATCTAGGACTACCTACAGAAGGTAAAACAGAGTATGACATTCTAGGTTTAGAAGTTAACTATATGTTTGATAAGGAACTATCCTTTGGTATGGAAAAATCCTTAAGAGAAAAACTCCCATTATTGGATGTGCCTCTAAACAAAAATGGGAAACTATTGAAAGCTCCAGGGCCCCCAGGAAAGTATATTGAAGAAGACTATGTAAGTATATCTGGATTAGAGTACAAGAAACAAGTAAAATGGCTTCAAAAAATAATTGGCCTAGCCTCATATGTTGCTCACAAATATCGTTATGACATATTATATTACGTAAACGTAATCGCATCAAACACATTATTCCCAAACAAAGAAGTTAAAGAATTAGCTAGACTTTTAGTGCAATATCTATGGGATACTAAAGAGAAGAAGCTTATATGGTGCAAGAAAAAGAATAACGAAAATCAAATTATGCTAAACGCTATTGCTGATGCATCATTTGCTAAGCAAAAGGAATTCAAGTCTCAACTAGGTTACTACATTAAAATTGATGACAATATAATCGCTGGTAAATCAACAAAATCAAAAACAACTCTAACATCAACTGCTGAAGCAGAAATTGGTGCTATTGGATTATCTATTCCTGTGTTGAAATACATCAAATTATTACTTAAAGAATTAACTGCAGATAAAATAATCACTACGATTGAAACAGATAGCCAACCGGCTATGGCAGTAATTACTTCCAAAGAAGATAAATCATTTAAAAATAAATTCTTTGGGATAAAAGCTTTAAGGATAAGAGATGAGATAAGTGAGAATAATCTAAGAGTTGCAAGAATAGATACAGCAAACAATATTGCTGATATTTTGACAAAACCAGTGACATACAAGAGATATAGTAAATTAACTTCAGAATGGATTGTATGAGCAGTCCAAAATTTGGGTGGTATGCTGGATTGATATATTACCGATTTGAGTAACATGTAAATATATCAAAGAAGAAAAATGTTTGTTTTGCACATTCAACGTTATGGAGATAAGATCAAACAAAATCAAAATAAATTAATATATTATGAAAAATTGCCAAAAGGTAAACATATATAAGTAGACAACTTTACTTATTAATTTTCCAATCTGGATGAATAATATATATACATCGTATCTTTATGTTTCTTGTATATTTATATAATTATTAATTCCCAATCAAGAGATTGAGGGAAAATTACACTACATATCAATATAATAATAATACACAATAATAACATATTGTATGATCACCGACGCTAAGAACATGTATACTAATATTATTCAGCCAGAGGACTTAGTACGATGAATTTAGATTATCAAACATAGCTCTAATAATTATATTTCAACACACCCCCGTAAGCTAAATTCCTGTTCTATTTTCTTCATGAATAAATCTCGGACTTTTATAAAGGCAGGTCTTGGTAAAACTTTTGTCATTATATCAGCAATTTGTTCAGTTGTATTTATGTGACCAATTTCAATAATACCAGACTCTACTTGGTGTCTGATGAAATGATAGTGAAGGTTAACATGTTTCATTTTTGAGTGTAAGACAGGGTTTTTAGCTACGTGAATGGCAGGTTCATTGTCTATCCATAATTTAACTTCGTTTACATCTATTTTCATGTGATTCAACATATTTTTTATCCAAATTAATTCCCTGCTTGTGTTGCTAGCAGAAATGTATTCTGCATCAGTAGATGATAGACAAACTGCGCTTGTAATTTTCTTGGAAGACCATGTAACCACTCCACCAGCAAGTTTTATAATAAACCCACCAGTTGCATGTTTCAAATCATTCTTATTTCCATGAGATGCATCTGAGAATCCTTCAAGATATTTATTGGATCTTGTATTATAAGACAATCCTAGTTTTTTGGTTTTATATAAATATTGCATAACTCTGTAAGCACCTTTTAAATGCACCTCTCTAGGATCTTTGAGGAACCGTGATAGTAGTTGAACAGAGTGAGCTACATCAGGCCGTCCAACGTTGCTAACAAATAGCAACTGGCCTACAATACTTTGGTATTCAGTGATATTGGCAATTGCTGGAGATTCTGTGTCAAAGTAATTGGCTGTGTTAGATAATGGAAATTCCACATTTTTATTTAAGTCTATTTGACAGCTCTGAGCAGCTTTGGTAATATAGTCCTCCATTGAGATGGTTATATTGTTCAGGTTATCTTGGTAAACATTCATTCCCAAAAATTTAGAAACAGGGCCAAGATCTTTCATGGAATAAGCTTCGTTTAACCCTGCTTTCACAGAGTTCATAATATCTTTATTTGGAGCAGCAATTAAAAGGTCATCAACGTAAAGTGCAATCAATACTTTAAAGTTGTCTACATTTTTAAAATAAATACCATATTCTCCATCATGACGAGTAAATCCTCTCCTAGATAATGTTTTATGAATATGCGTGTTCCATAGTAGTGGGGCTTGCTTTAATCCGTACATACCCCCGTAAAGCTGCCACACGTGATTGGGATGCACAGGATCAACAAAACCTGGAGGTTGACGAACGTAAACCGGCTCTTCCATTTTGGAATTTAAGAAGGCAGTGTCTACATCCATTTGGTGAACACGGAGATTAAGGAGAGCAGAGATAGCAAGAAAGATACGGACAGAATCATACCGCACCACAGGAGCAAAGGTTTCTTGATAGTCGATGCCAGCTTTTTGAGTGTGTCCTTGAGCCACTAAACGAGCTTTAAACCGATTTCCGTCCTTAATGTTAAACACCCAACGAGACCCCAAGGCACGACGACCAGGAGGGAGAGGAGTCAACCTATATGTATCATGATCTTTAAAAGCTTGAAGTTCTTTCAGACAGGCTTGATACCATTTATCTTTATCTGATGAACTCATTGCCTGGTTGAATGTATTTGGGACAGAAGTAGTGGTAGACGTAAAGGACATGCCATGTACCAACGCAGTCAAGGCTATGTGATGTGAAGAGTTATCATCAGAGCCAGATGATTGAGAAGAAGGGAATACCGGTGTTCTAATGAGTTGGGTGAGACCATCCATGGAGTTCATAGGAACAAAACTGCCGGAGTCAATATTAACAGCCTCAACAGCAGGGGTACCAATTTTACCAGGACTAATTGGATTAGAATCCCACTTTGGATGGTGTTTCTCAATTTGATGATTTAAGTAGAATTCAGAAGCAGGAATAGGACCTAACTTGTTATGATTAACAATTGAGGATGTTTGGCCATTCAACTTGCTAACATGTGTGGTGATAGGGGCGGAAATATTGTCAGCTAATTCAATTTTACTATTTTTTAATGGTTTATGGGGATCTAAGTCTTCTAAGTTATAAACCGGTGAATTATCAGTTGATAAGGATTTGGATTGTAGATTAGGAGAAGATGTGTCGGAGTGGGTATCATCAATGGTAGATGTTAATTGTTGAGTAGTTACTGGAACAGCTGTTGGAGTAGTTGAAGAGTCAGTATCAGAGGATGAAGCAATTGATGATAGTTCGTCTGCTTCCTTCTTGTTTATTTGAGTAGAATTATGTGAGGAGAATGAGGCAGTTGACTCATTGTCTATAGAGGATGAATCAAGGTTGTTGAAAGTAAAATTTTCACAGTCAGAAGTCGTAGAAATAGGAGAAGAAGAGAAGGAAGTAGATGGTAGTTCATATTCATCAGGGGAAGAAGAGTCATATTCGTGCTTATCATTGTCAGATGAATCAACTCTGGACATAAAAGAATCAGAATCAACAGATGATAGATACGGAGTGGAGTATCGACTAGTACCTTGATCTAGAACCTCATCACCATGTATGGTGGTTAATTCATTTTCTAAGTTGTTTTCATATATAGGATAATCAGTAGTTTCAGGATAATAATTTGACGTTTGTATTTCAGAAGATGAAGTTTTGAAAACATCCGTAGATGAAGGATAAACTGGGACACCACCTAAAGTACCAGTGGCAAATGTATGAGCCACTTCAACTTCTTTGGTACCTGCAAGTGGGAAATCAAGTTCATCAAAGCGAACTTGGTTTGATACAAAAATTTTCTTAGAAGGAGGATGATAGAGACGGTATGCTTTGTGTTTGGAGTCATATCCAACAAACACACATTTTACACTAGTAGGAGCAAATTTCCCGTCACGTAATTGATGAGGTAATGTAGCATATGCAGCACATCCAAATATACGTAGATGTGATAAATCTAGATTTTCTGTTTGAATATTGTTCCAGAGACAGTAAGGGATAGAATAATTTTTATTAGATACTGGTAACCTATTTAAGAGATATACAGCAGTACTTACAGCCTCTGTCCACATAGAAGGAGGTACCTTGCCTCCGATTAAAAGGCATCTTGTTTTTTCTTCAATCGAGCGATGAGATCTCTCAACTGCTCCATTTTGAAAACTATTGTATGGAACAGTTAATTGATGGGAAATTCCATTGCTTTTACAGAAATTATGAAATTTACTAGACATAAATTCACGTCCATTATCTGTGCGAATGGCACCCACCTTAAATCCCCCTCTTGACTTGAAATGATTCTCAGTTTCTAAGATCCATTCAATCAGCTTATCACATGCAGCTGATTTCGATGCTAAATGAATTACGGAATAATATCTTGAGTAGGCATCCCGGATAGTCAAAAAATATTTACTATCAGAAAAATTAGTATACCTAAATTGACCACAAATGTCAACTTGTAGCAGCTGTAAAGGGCTCGTATATTGTGTGTCAGAAATTTTTCCTTTTTTCATCACCCCTTTTGAAAGGGAACAAGTGGGACACAACGAGTGTTTATCAGCTTCCATAATGGGCAAGTCAATTCGATTTGCCAATCGATTATAATTAGCTAAACCTGGATGTCCTACTCTAGCATGCCATTTAATGGCATCTGGAATATTTGCCTTTGGAGATGGCAAAACAGAATGGTCATACGAAATAAAAGCATAATCAAGTGGTTTGTTCATCGTTTTTGTTTCTTTATTGTTGGGCATAAAAACATAAAGTTGATTTCTCATTTCACCAACTTGAGTAATTTTATTATTTTTAATTGTATATACCTTTGTTTTGTCAAATATAAATTTCATGTTTGATTTAGAAGAAGCCATTTTGACAGAAATCAAGTTTACGTTGCCATCAGGAACATATGCCACATTGTATAATGTGACATGTCCTAGTTGTACTGTACCAATACCTTTAATAGCAGTTTTACCTCCAATGCCTTCGATAACCCCAAACTCATTCTCATCTCCTTCAACTAACTCGCAAAACATTGAACGGTCGTGAGATATGTGCTGGGTACAACCAGTATCAAAATACCAATCGTTTCTCGATGTTGTATTTTGTTTGCTAATCAACGCAATCCAAGCCGTATGAGAATTATTAATCTTGTAATCTTTTTCATGATTTTTATTTCTTTTGTTCTTTAACCATTCTTGAAATTCTGGACACTCATTAGTTTTATGTTGTCCCCCGCATCTTTTACAATTGAAGTTTTTAACTTTTTGCTTGAATTGATTTCTTCTTCCAACAAAACTGGAGTTAGTTACTCCTCTTTTAGCATTACTAATTACATCATACACTTCTCTCAATTTAATTTCCTGATTCTTACCGAATATATCCATAAATCTTTGGTAAGACTCATCATATAAACTCATTAAAAATAATGAAGCAGCTCTTTCACGAGCTTTAATCTTGATGACTCTTAAAGCCTCTTGTTGCGCAGAAGTTAATGAATTTAAAAAATTTTCTTCACTAGATGTGGTTTCAAAAATGACCTCCACTAAACGATTAACAAGATCATACTGGTCGTCTAATGTTAAATTCCTAGCTTTAGCTAACTGAAAGAAAGGTTCTGCAGCTACATCAATAGATTCTGTACCAAAACACTCAGTTAAGTGATTTAGAAGACCTTTTCCAGTTGGGATACCGTAATCACCAGCAACATATCTATCTGCTTCTTTTTTAGCAGATCCTTCGACATTATTAACAATTAATAATTTTAATGCCGTTTCAAATAATTTTTTAATATAAGCAATCATATCATTAGATGGATTATATTGTTCAATAATAACATTTAGCTTTCCATTTTGTGCATATTGATACCAGTGTAAATTGATATCAGACATATGCATAGCTAAGATGTTTATCCATTTTTTAAAGTTCTTTTTCCCGTCCAATTTAATTGGAATACAACCTGCAGCTGTAGCTACAGGGCTCATAACCTGTTGACGCAAGGCTTCAGAATCAAAAATTCTAGTCGAGTTCATTTTAAACTAATATAATAAGATAATGTAACTTACAATAGGATATTGGTGGTATTATAAGTTCTATTATTATTTATAGTAGGAAGTTAGTGGTACTATAAATTGTTATTTTATTGCTTAGTCCTTTTCTTTCTATATAAGTAATATACAAGATACAATATTATACAGTATACTCATTTTATCTTTGAATCTTCTTTACTATAAATTTTCATACCTTTTAATCACTTAGTACGATGAATTTAGATTATCAAACATAACTCTAATAATTATATTTCAACACTTATTTTGTTGCTTTTTTTAAAGAACGAAAATAAATAATCTTTTTTATGTTGATCAGAAAAATTTTCAGAGTTGATATGTTAATAGCCATAACTTAGACACAAGTGTGATTGGGAATGAATAAACCACCGTAACCACTGATGAAAAAAAATATCAGCTATTACAATCAGAGTTGCAACATATTTTCTACTATTCTATGTCCCCAGAGTCAGTCCCACCAATACCGAAGACATAAAAACAAAACGCCATAGAGTCTCCTTTGAGAAATATCAGCAGATGTTAAAACAAGCCTATGAACACTAAATTAACCAATTTACTCAAAAGAGTAGAAATAATAATGTATATCTAACCCTATACACCTGTATTTATGGGCAACAGAGATATGATCTGGGTTTTACTTTTTTTTTCTATACATAAAGTAATATATTTTGTTGTAACTTTATTTCAAATATACCAAAAGGGAGGAAAGATATCTTATTACTGATTTGCAAAAAGTTCAAGTACTAAAATATTAAATCAATTGCTAGTAAACTACTTTCAGATATCTAATAGCCAATAGCAAGTTTACTGAATACTTGTACAAAAACACAATATTTTGAAAATGAATCCAGTACTTTGTTAAAACCAAACCACGTTGAAAAGCTAACCAACAGTGGTTAGAAATCTAGTAAAGTAATGATTCATGGGACATCAACGAAATTAGGTTAGTTAGATGAAGCTTTACTAAAAGCTATAAATGTCCACAACAAAGTTTCCGACAATTTCAGAAATAATAACTTCCACGGTAAACCTTTTAAACCATTCTGGTAAATTGTCTATTCAGATTAGAAAATTAATAAGTAAAATTGCCCATTTATATACACTTTCCTTTTTGATAAATTTTTATAGTATTTTTTCTTATTTTAATTTTATTGGAAATTATCTCCAGAATACTGGATTATGCAGTACTCACATTTTTCTTCCTTGAGATAATGATTCACTTCCTAAACAATTAGAACATCATTCCAGCAATCAACAAGGAAATAAATTATGTATAAAGAGGACAAAGGATACATGCTATACAACATATCCCACGTTATAGACTAATTATTATTACTGTTTCAATGTCAGAAATGAAATAGGAAAAAAATGAAAAAAAAATGCATGATTGCGAGACTATTTATGAAATAGCCTATAGCGGCCTATTTGTATAACAGTTGTTTATTATGAAAGCTATTAGGAAATATACTGATATATCTATTGTTAATACACCGGAAAAAAAGATTTGTTTGTTTATTTAAACGTTTTCATTTTGGTGAATTTTGAAAAATCTTGATAATTCTCGAAGTTTATATTACCTTTTCGCGATCATATTGTTTTCGTTACCCGTATTATATTTCCCGCATATGACAATAGTTCCGTAGTAAAAAATTTTTTCATTGAGAAAAATCCTTTTTTTTCCCCTCCTTAACTCAAGTTAGATGCACTTACGTACAATTGTAGAATCGTGTAGTTCACTGTAGATGAAACTTTTAAACAAAAATATCTCAGTCTCGTTATATTCTAACTAAAATAAAAAGTTTCTTTAAGGGAGAAAAAAAAACTTCCAGATTTATTAGTTCTGGGGACAATTCTTGGGAAGAGATTGAAATCTAAAGTCAAATATATCCGACATACACATTAATTACCAACTTTGGTTGACAAAAAACTCTAAACTTTTCTTAAAACAGAAAAAGAGCAAGATTAATCTTTTTGTTAAGAAAACAATACAGGGTTTATGCAAACAAAAAAACATTTTTAAAGAAAAACTAAAGATCCTCCACTTTTTAAAAAACGTTGATTACTGTGATTTTCTTGACAAAACAAAAATAAGGGATTTCTCTTAGTCAAAATTGGTCAAAATGTACCAAAAAGGAAATGAGAAAAAAAAAAGAATTACAAAATTTGAAAAAGAAAAAAAAAACCGGTTTTCAAATTGTCAGTCATCATTTTTTTTTTTTGTTTTCTATCAAAATTTTCTAATCTTAAAATTTTTCAGACACCATAAACCTCCCCAAAAAAGAGGCATCATATCATAAGATAATGTGTATTTTTGGTATATCCTCAAAAATGTTTAAAATTTTGAAATGTAGGGCAGAAATCTTTCTTTTACTATTTTATTGAAAACATACACATCATACTTTAGGTTCTGATAATATTTTAGAAAAAATTAAAAGAAATTCAAAGAATAAAATTCTTCTTAAAGAGTTAATGCTAGTAATTACATATATTGTGTTCGTTACTTGCTTCCAATTCTTTGTTTGTATACCATATAGTTCTAAAAAATAATCAAATTATTTCTTTATTATATCTTTACACCAGGTTTAACTTGTCTACAGAAACATTTAAATAAGGGACTTTAAAAAATCTTGCTAGGTTGAAGAAATCTGAAGGAAAATAAAACTTTGATTATTCAAGCCCTCATCTTATTTTTTTCTAAAAAATAACATTGTTTAATTTAACATCCAGGAAATATTATGTTCCTCGAATGCTATTTGCCGATATTATGTATATGCAAAAAATTTAGAAATATGTACTAAATTTTTGGAACTACAATTATTCATGCTATTATTAATAAATAAATATGTCCCTATGTTGTTAACCGATATTTTTCTTGAAAAAAAAAAGTCAACAATAAATTTTTCTAAAATTTGCTTTAAATAACATTGTTACGTAACAATAATCTTTATATACAATAGCTTATATTGTATAAGCTATTGTTCAACATTTTCATGCTAGATGTCGGAGTGGTGTGAAAAATTCCATTTTCTGTTATCTTATTTTTGGAAAAAAAAACTTGCCCTATATCCAGTATATAAAAAAAAAAGAGCCTGTATTACAAACCTACTAATAATGAAATGTTTAGAGTACGCAAAAACGAAACCTAAGCAAATCAAAATATATATTAAGAATATATATACAAGATTCATCAACGTATCATGAAAAAAAAAAACTATTACAAATTCTTAAATGCATATTACAGTCCGTTGGTAGTATTCTTGATTTTTGATAATAAATTTGTTAAACTTATTTCATGCTTCTCACCAGTATATCTGTTTGTCAAGAATTGGCAGCCTCTGTATTGAAATACTTGAATATACTTTAGAATTAAAGTATCATATAGGTATTAGTATTCAAAAAAGGAACCTAGTCTTGCATTTTTCTTCTGTATATATAATATAAAAACTATATCATACACAACAAAATGTGAATAAAATAAGATAAAAATAAATAAAAACTCTTGAACTTATAAATATAAATAGATGTACTTGAGTAAATATATCAAGTTGCTTCCTGCTACAAACTCCAAAAAAAATTAACGAAAGAGTGCTATTAACATTTAGAGATATGTGAAAACAATTTTACCTCAATACTATATCATCTAGTTTCTCATGAAAACTAATAGTTCTATTTCTTTCATATGTTTAACAGCAGAACTCAACAATCCCATTGGTTAAACAAATCACTTCCTGTTCTTAAGTAAGGTAAAGCAGTAGATAGGTAACTAAAGTAGAATGAGTAATCAAACAACAAGATATATAGGTATGTATGATTTCTGTTATTACACAGAGGAAAAAAAAATGAAATATAGATAATGCATCCTTTCCACTCTCATTTGAAAACAATAACTGGATTCTACAAGTAGAATATATCTACTAACTTCCATATTTTGTCATGTCTAGTAACAACAAAAAAGGACTTTACATGAGAACATCTTAGGAAAAAGAAAGACAAAATTTGGAATCTTTTAATGAACCCTACTTTATTTCTCTTCAAGAGGTGAATATTTATCAAATATTTTACTTTTAGGACTCGACAGACCTAGAAATAGAAAACAATAGGGTGTGCGGATCTCTTTCATCACCCAGACACCAATTTGGGATGATCGAATTATACATGCATAATATATATCTGTATATTTATCTCCAGAACAAGGACCTAGATCTTATTGGTTAGTCTCGTTCCATTTTTAACGGTATCATTAGTGATTGTTTGTAATAAATAATTAAAATGCACACATATATAAGTATTTATCTATATATCTACATGTCTACAGCTTGAAAAGTAATCTCTATTTCTTCCCTATCTTGATTCTCGAAATGTTCTAGTTTTTTTTATTTTTCACTCCTACCCTTGCGTGTTTTTTCCCAGTACATCTACAGACAAAAATCGACGAGAAAAAAAAAAACAAATAGCTAAGATAAAATAAAATAAAATAACATTGAATTAAACATTATTCATTTGTTATCCTTAAAATGCAGCTATTAGTTTTGTGGTCCTTACTAGGGTTACTTGTGACCAAAATAAGTGCTGCTACAACAACTATTTCGGCACCTACAACCTTGTCAGGTGATCAAACGTTTTCCAATGATATCGTAATTGAATCAGGTGCTACTCTTGCATTAATATCTGGTTCTTCATATTCTTTCAATGGCAATATTGACGTTAAAGGTTCTTTAGACATCGTCGGTGATTCAACAAACGGGTTAACTAGTTTACAATTTGGTTCTACTACAACAATCACAAACAGTGGTAACATCAACATCGAAAATATTAAATCGGCAGGTTCTGCCAGTGATTTTGTTATTGCACCTGCAAGTATTGATAACTCTGGTATATTTACTGTTTCACAATTAAATGCTGCTGCTACTATACCAGGTACTAATTTTACTATAGCTCCAACCGGTTCCTTCATTAACACAGGTACTATTGATTATGATACTGCTGATAAAGGTGGGACCACAAACGGGTTCCTTTACCTTGGTGCTATAACAAATAATGGTGTTATAAAGTCTGGTGGGTTTGCTGGCTTAATAAATGAAGCATCTTATTTGATCCCTAGTAGATATGATATGAAAGGTATCATTTTCAATAATCCTATAGAAGGTCAAGGTGAAGTTACTGGTAATCAGGGGTCAATTGTTCTTATTAACACAAATAATATTGGAGAACAAACCTTCAATGTTTACAAGGGTATGTATATTATTAATCCAAAAATTGTACCAAGCTCACTTATAGTCAAGAATTCAATCGAGTCTATGATTGTATTCTTAGGTGTTGACTATTATCCATGGAATGCTAAAAATTTTAACACCTTACCAGGATCTCTACAAATTAATTTTGCAATAGATGGTCACCGTTACTGGTTCAACACAAGTTGTGATGGTGGTTGGCAAACACAAAATAATCCATTTGTTGTTACTCCATCTGATCCTCAATATCAAATTGGTGGTACCTTTATATATATACAGCAATTTTATTATTTTCCAAACTGTGCATGGATATCTGAACCAATTACAAAGACAACAACTGTTACTACTGAGGGTTTTATTACTGAAGCTACTACTATTTCAACAGTAACAACATCTACAACTAACCAATACGGATATACTGTCACTGAAATTATCTATGATGTTGCTGTACCTGCAGAATCTACTGTGTATACCACCACCACCGGTACAGTCACTGTTCCAACCACATCGACCTTCACAACTGTAGTCACCAACAGCAACGGTTCCTCCTCTACTGAAGTTGTTGTTGTTGTGATCACCCCAGCTCCATCTACCTTATCCACTACCACCACTGGTGCAGTCACTGTTCCAACTACCTCTACTTTCACAACTGTAGTCACCAACAGCAACGGTTCATCTTCTACTGAAGTTGTTGTTGTTGTGATCACCCCAGCTCCATCTACCTTATCCACTACCACCACTGGTGCAGTCACTGTTCCAACCACATCGACCTTCACAACTGTAGTCACCAACAGCAACGGTTCCTCCTCTACTGAAGTTGTTGTTGTCGTGATCACCCCAGCTCCATCTACCTTATCCACTACCACCACTGGTGCAGTCACTGTTCCAACCACATCGACCTTCACAACTGTAGTCACCAACAGCAATGGTTCCTCCTCTACTGAAGTTGTTGTTGTTGTGATCACTCCACCTGCCATTAGTAGTTTTAGAGAATCATCAGTTATAATTTCAGCTCCTATTTATCAAAACTCCACCAGAACAGGTTCTCCGATGTCGTCTTATTTGTCTTTATCTTCTGCTTTTAAACCATCTCAATCGTCTACTAAGACTAGTATTTTATCCACCGCTTCTTCATCCACCTCTCCAGTATTTACTAACAATGAAAATAAACCAACATCTAGAAACTATAGAACATCTGCTAGTATCATTGTTGGATCTACAAATAGTAATACAGATAGTATTTCAATGACTAATACTGTAATAGACACTGTTAAGTCTGGAAGATCAAAACCATCGTCAACAACAATGGTGACACCTATCTCCCAATATATTTCTGAGCAATTCTCCTCATCACCAACAACTATGACACTATCTCATGGAAGTGTACCCTCTCTTGTATCATATGAAGGTAAAGGTAATAAAATATATATAAAGTGGAGTGTTGCTCATTTCGTTGGCCTATTATTATTTATGATTATTTGAAATGTCCACACGTGAACAATTTTAAAATGAAGAAGCCTAAATAAATATATAATTAATATATTACTATCATAAACATATATGATATCCCAATGTTAGTAATATCGCTTATTTTTGTTATTTATATGATTGTTTACTAGTTATATTATACACTAAGAATAGATATGATAATACTTAATAAATCAATAATTTCCTCTCTTAATTTCAATTAATGTTAATTATGTAACACAATTATGTAATCTAACAGATTTGATATAAGTCTTTTAAATAACATATTTTTTTATCATGTATTTATGAAATTAAATTTTTTGTTTCCTTTAAATCATCCTTATCCTGTTCTAACACGTCACTCTCTTAAATGAACGATAATATATTTTCTAATTCAGCGTTAGGATGTTGTATAGTCTTCAAACCTGATGCAATTTTACTTAAAATATAGTAGAACCAACAATGATTAGTCCATCAAGGTATTTTAAATTGAATTATTACATTTGGTTTCCTATGTCTATTATTTATAACTGTAGTGTTGTTATACAATAAAATTTTCGATAACCTTAGCGGCTTAATCTTATCTGGGCTTAAGTAAACAAAAAAAAAGGCATTTCTCAACATTCAAGTATATTTAATCAAAAAATTCCAATATAAGGTAGCTTACTATTGTATAACGCTAAAGTCGATTGAGCATGATTTAAGAACTTTAAAAGTATAAAACCTTGCTAATTAAAAAAAATTGCAATTTTAAAGATCTGGTATTAACTGAATTTAAAGAGATTGAAAAAAAATCTTGATAAATATTTCAAAAAACATAATAATTTTTCCTACAGTTACAACCATAATGTTTACTAAAGGTGTATAATCCAGAAATTAGAAACAAAAGTGTCATAAATTTTTTTATTTTCCAAATTCTTCATTTTTTGCTTTCTTTCCCTTGCATATACATATATGTGGGTATAGAAAAGCTGATACGTATATATATTGATAGATATACAATAACTAAATGTCGCCATACTCTACTAAACCATATAACTGTGTATATGCATATGTCTATTTATGTAAATATGCTTACTTTCATCTCTTCTCCCTTAACTATTGTATCTACATCTACTTCTTTTTGTGTGTAACATATTCTTCAATCATAAATAAAATGGCATATTCAGCAACTAATATACTCAATTGAGCGATAAAAATATAGCATGAAATTACTTTAACAATATTTAAAACAATGAAAACTCTTTCTATATATCAAAGGGAAGAATAGAAAAGGGAGAGAAGGAGATAACTATTCCCCAAATAGATAGATTAGTATACATGATAAATTCTAGTTACGATACGCTTCAGTGACACTAAATATAATATATATATATACAATATATTATGATAGTTATATCTTATTTTCTTACTAATCTGTTGTAACTCCTCTTACAATTTACAGGAAATGGAATACACAAAATTTTAGAGAATATTAGAGGATTTCTCTCTTCTACCCCCCCCCTGAACCTTTAAAAATGCTGAAGTCGAACGTTCTAGAATAAATAGCTAAATCAATTCGATTTTAGGAAACTATTAATTGATAACAACATATGGAGAATGTATTGTTTGCTTATCAGTAGATGTAAACAAACATTATCAACCATTTGGTGCTGCACGTAGACGAGATAGGTCAAATATGCAAATATATAAAGCCGACATTTTTTTCATGTCCTTTTTCTTCCCTTATTATCTTTTAATCATTCTTGTATATTGTATATAGATAAAATAACTGAAGAACTTAATTATAATTTTGTACACTATATCTATCTACTATAATATCGAGAACATTTACGATATATCCAATTACTATAGGTGCTAATTTTCGACAAAAAAGCACTTACAAAATAAATAATCCATTTTGCATCTAAGACAAAGAATAAACTAGAAAGATAAGTTGTCTTATAATATTACCGTAGATTGATTTACAAATGTATGTAATAACCTACGATATCTACTTAACTACTATCAAAAATAATGCAATGACTCTAAAAAGCAATATCATCCAGCTGATTGTTCTGTTATTTGCAATCCAATAATTAAACTGGTATTATATTATAACCATATTTAAAGGTAAATTCTACTTCCTTCTTCCTAATAATTACTTTTTATATTATATAAACACTATATAACATAGACATAGATGTTAATATATACAATTTTTTTGCAATTATTTAAAACGATCAATTACTACAAAAAACTATTTACACATAGTTCTTGATATCTAGAAATAACTTTACAGAATTCGTTTTCGACATTTTTTACTATTTGAACTTACCTTGAGTTGCAGTTAAGAAGAAATTAAAATGACTTTTTTATTTCATTAAAATATGATCAGAGATATCGTTTATAACTCTTTTGGTCTATTTGTAAAATGAATTAAAACCATCAGAAACATTTCTAAACATATTTCAATATGCCTCTATAAGCTAACTTCCTGTTTTATATTTTTTAATAAATAAGTTTCGGTCTTTTGTATAAACACGCCTTTTGATAAAGCCTTGGTCATTACACCAGCAATTTTCTCGACTATAGTGATCTAATAACCAACTTGAATAATTCTTGTTTCCACTTGATATCTGATAAAGTAATAACGCAACTTCACGTAGTTTATTTTTGAATATTTCAATGAGATGCATCTGAAAATTTTTCGATGTAAATGAAGGATTTAGTATTATAGACTAGCCTTAGTTATTTAATGGTATATAAGTGTTGCATAATTCCATGTACGTCTCTTTAATGTATCTCTCTAAAATTTGCAAAAAAAATCGTGATAGTAGTTAAACAGAACAATTAGGACGTTCAACATTACTCGTAAAGAACAGCTAACCAACAATATTATAATATTAAGTTATATTGCAAATCTTTGGAGACCCTGTGTCAAAGTAATCAACTGTCTTAAACAATGAAAATCCCATGTTTTTATTTAAGTCAATTTAACAACTTTGAGAAGCTTTAGTAACATAATTCTCCACCGAAAGAGTTATGTTGTTCAAATCATCTTGCTGAACATTCATTTCCAAAAAAATAGAAACCGGATACCGATAATACCATTATGACGACTTACATAAATTAAGTTGCTATTAAATTTATTCAACAACAACAACTAAATATTGAACTTTTGTATATTCCACAATGTGATTTCTCCTTTATCTACTGGTTTATCAATTATATTATTCTCCCCATTTTAATTTGTAAAATATATCTGACAAAATGGTAGTATTGTACATTTCTATGCATAGACTTTTAATAATATTTTCATAGTGCTATAGAAAATTACAACATAGGATGGTGTTATGATACTAGACATGTTTCCATAATAATCAAACTTCATAAATTGGTTATAGAAATATGAAATCTAAAAGAAAAATATTTTTATAATATTACTGGTAAACCTTTACTAAAACATATAAGTACTGGATAGAAGTTAAAAGTTAAACAGTGAAAGTACTTAATTATGCACACCGAAGGGATATTTGAATTTTTTAATGAGCATAAAAAGGCTTGTTTGAACAAAATACACAAATCAAACTCTAGCCAGAGAAGTGCACTTACATCATAAGTTTGAAAAGAAAAAAAAAGATTATATAGTCAAAAATTCTGTTTTACTATTTTATCAAGGGTTTATTCATCTATTTTTATCTTTTTTAGTTTTGAATAATGGTCATTAAATACAAAGTTATTATTCAGACATTTACTTTTTTTAAAAAAAAAGGAATATTTCTTGTATTTTGCTAGAAAAGATTAATAATTTGAGATTAAACGTTTTCAAAACTAATTTAATATTGTTATATTCCATCTATATAGGAATTATTGTCATAAGACAAAAATAAATTGATATAACCAACTTCTATCTCTGTGAAAAAAAAATTTTGGTCCAAAATTTGTCTAACAAAACATTGTAATACTCCAAATATAATCCTGCATTGACATAGTTACCAGTCTACATTTTTGGATTACAATATTAGAGTGTTTTCTTTTTCTTTTTTGTAAGGACTATAATATTAAATTTAGTAAAGTTGGTAGCACAGCAATCCTTTTATGAAAACACAGTTCCAAGAGCTTCTGATGGATCTCGAAAAGAAACTTTAAAGAATATTAAAGACACCAAAAGTTAGCTATAGATATGGTTTTTTTCATCTAGTAATAAAATATTTAATATAATTAAACAAAACTTTACTGAATACTAGAAGAACCTTTTTCAGCGTTTCACAACCTTCTGACCTTCAAAAGACATCAATTAGGCGTCCCAAAACCTTGCTAGAATGACATGGACATATTCTCCTATATTAAAAACAAAAAAAATTACTGCAGTGAAAGAAGAGAGGAATAAGTACTAACAATTTCCAAACACTTGAGCACACGTTGACATCCAACCCAGCAACACACTCGTTGAAAAATAATGGGAAAAAGCAGGTGTTTTATATTTTGTTTCATGACAGAATAACTTTCTTCTTTTTTGTCTCTTATTCTTCTTTCAAGATTTTCGCCATTTCCTCGAAGAATTGAAAAAAAAAAAAATAAGAAGAAGACACGTAAACTTTTTCACAGAAGAGAGAAAGACAAAAAATGGAAAAAAAAAGAAGAGAAGAGAAGCAGAACCAGTAGAAAATAGTTGGTTAGTTTTTTTATATGACTGTAGCAACTTTTTTTGCCACTCATTTGTCTGTCTATTGACCTCTGCTACTCATAAGAGATTATATTTTTGTTTCTAACACCTTTGTTTCCCCTTACCTATTTACTATAGCTAAACTTTACAAATCAAATCTGATCAGAAAGAATATAAGGAACTTCTTTATTGTCTATACATGGGTTACTATGATCTTGATGACATCTTAGCAGATTCTGCTGAAATTCCATGTAAATTTTTACATGATATTCCAGGTTTAGGCTATTTGGAGAATAACCCTGGTGGTACGATTCACGTCAATACCCAGTTGAAGTTACCTCTATGGCTGGCTCGTGTTCTAGCCATTATCGATGCATCATCAGCATCAGATGACGTTGGAAATGCTGACATTTTTAATACTGAACAACAATTTACTCCATTTCTTAACATGCTGACACCGGAAACTTTTACTAATAAAGTTATTAATGCAATCAAGACCGATCCAATATCCCTTGATTTGCATTCTATTAACCCTTATTTTTACGCTCTGGCCATCAAATGGATTGAATTATTTAGTGATAAAGATTTGGCAGAAATAGTTAGTGATCTGTTATTACAAAGGTCTCAAGTTATTAATGCTCATGCTAATAGTACCACTATATCGTATAATAATAACAGCAATAGCACTAGCTCCACTGGTAATAATAATACAACCAATAACAATCACGCCCTGTTCACTCTAACGTTAGATGAATTTGAGAAAAAAATCTATAAAGAAGCTAATGATTCATACAAGGATATCAAGAAATGGATATATCAATATTAATTCAAAGAAAAATGTTCATAGACGTATATAAATACATACATAAATTAATATGATACAATACAATAGTCAAAAACCTACACTTTTAATACTATGTTTTCCTTATTTTTTGTTTTGTTCCTATTTAAAATAGCCCATCATCGTCATCGTCATCATTAGAGAATTGTGCTTCTTCATCACTATCATCAATAAAATCTTTAGAAGGATCAGAGTTCTTCTTTTGTAACTTTGCTCTCTTAGTCTTAATCTCTTCATCACTGTCACCATTATCATAATCATTATCTATGTCCAGATCCTCACTGTCGCTCTCTCTATCCTTTTTATTAATTTTCTTCTTGGTATTGGCACTTCTTCTCTTTCTCTTTCTCTTTTTTTTTTCACCTTCATTTTCACCTCCCTCACTTTCATTGAAGTCACTGTCCACATCACTCTCTCCAACTTCTTCTTTCTCTTCATACACTGCACGTTCTTGAACATATTTTTTGGCTTCTTCTTGCAATCTCTTATATTCTTCTGCTTTTCTTGCTTCTTCCTTGGACCTCTCTTCTTCAAGCTTAGCTAATCTTTGTCTTTCTTCTTCTTCTTTCAATTCCGCTTGTCTTTTAGCTTCTTCTAATTTGTGTTTAATATCTTCATCATATTTTATTTGTTCAGCTAGACAACGTTCTAAAGAACTCTTCATGGTAGTCTCACCCAATTGAATTCTTTGTTCTACTTCGTCCTTTGATACAACCTTAAAAGATTCATTTTCTTTCAACTCCTTTAAAATTACAATAGCATCATTCAATTCGTTTAATACAAATTTAATATCTTCTACTTTACGTGTTTTAATATTTGATCTTCTCAATGTTTCAGCTATTTGAAACTGTAAAAGTGCACAATTAAATTTCAATTCACTTAATAATTTAGCGCTTCTTTCATTGATATTCATAGATTTTATTGATTCCTTAACTTTTGCCAATGATTTCATAAACCATTCAATATTATGCTCTTTTAACCCTCTTTGATACCAGGCTTTACCTAAAAGATTTAATATGTATGATTTAAGCTTAATATCTGGATATTTCTTTAATACAATTTCATAATTTTCAATAGCTTTTGAATATTCATTCATTTCTAACAAACAATTTGATAGATTGATATGAACATTAGCGTTATTTATGGAATCTCTAACCTTTCTTAATACCTCTAATGCTGGACCTAATCTTTTACTTTGAGCAAAGCAAATGGCAATTCCCTGTGCTGCATAACAATTTAATGGATCAATTTGTAAAACCTTTTGATATAGTTGAATTGCCTTTAATAAAGATTGCTTTGACTTATCCATATCTTTGGGAGACTGTGTCTTTTTCAAATCGCGTGCAATAATCAAATATAGATTGGCTAATGATATTAATGCATATAAATCATGAGAATCATACTTAGTCAAAGTTTCCTTATTGTGTTCAGTTAATAGTGTATTTAAGGTCTTTTTAGATCTTGATTCATCGTTGTTTAAAAACCAAGTATAAAATGATCTAACTTCCAAATTACTTTGATATTTAGAAACCAAATTTTCAATATCTTTCATTAAAGTCTCATCTGTATTTGATTCCTTAGTAGTAATAAACTTACAGAAAAGATATTTCACTTTTGCTCCAATATAACTTGGATGCTCTTTGATAATAGATGAATAAAGTATTTCTGCATCCTTTGGACTGGTCTCTTCTGTGATTCTTGCAATATTGAAATCAGTTGTAATATTTAGTGAATTGGCATATACACCATCTTCGACAACATTGCTAGATAATAAAGATTTACTTTTAGTAAAATAATCCTTAGCTTTTTCAGATTCTCCTATAATGAAATGGAAGCAGCCTAAATTATTTAAAATTTCAATTGGAATCTTGCTTTCCTCAGAATTATTAACAAACAATGTTTGTTCGCTAACTTTAGACAAATACTCTAACGATTTCTTATAATGATTTTGCAATTCATATAATTGTGATATAACTAAATACGCCTTGGGGATAACTAACTGATTTTTCTTGGCCAATGTCAAGTTTACGTATCTTTCCAAAAATTGTAGTGCCTTAGTAACTAAAGAATTAAATTCTTTACCACGATTCATTTTTTGATCTGTTTGTTTAAACACTTTGTTTGAATAAAGCAAACCTAGAATATAATTCAGTTCTTGAATATTTTCGTTACCTTTATAAATATTCTCGAACTTTATTATACTTTCTTCTACTAAATTAGTTTTAATTTGTGATTGGCCAACCCCGATTTTTGCTAATAGGTTATCTTCATTCATCTTCAGACTTTCATTAAATAAAAGAAAAGATTTACGATAATCCTCCATTGCATAATATGCCCTTGCACACCAAAATGTAGATTCGGAAAAGATAAGTGAATCAATCACTTGTCTTTTTGGCTCAATTTTTGATTCATATATTCTAATTACACGGGTATAATCTTTTTGAAAATAATAATATTGTTGTAAAAGGGACAATAGCACTGGTGAATCTTTATCAGACTCTAAGAGAGTATTAAGTTCACTTAATGCTTGTGTAAAACTTTCTTTAAAAGCCATATCACTTTCTGAATTGACAATAGTCTCATGAAATTTACCTAAAAGCACCAATATAGAAAGGTTCTTATTCTTTGGGTTCAGGTCGTATGCTCTTTGCCAAGATTGAATTGCCATTTTAAAATCTTTCAATTTCCAAAAGCACAATCCGATACCAATACGAGGGTCTGGTTTAAACATTGGATTTGATACTAATAATTCTTGAAAGGAATGTAAACTAGCTACATAATTTTTCTTTTGATAAAGTAACTTAGCTCTTGTTAAAAGAAACATACAATTAATCCTTGGAGGCCCTCCTAGTCTGCGTTCCTTAGCTTGTGTACTTTTAATGAAAATATCAGTTGTCTCTAAAGCTTTATCGTAATCACCCTTCTGATAGTATAGATCTACTGTAGCTAACATATTACCTATCCAAGATGCATCTAACCCAATAGCATTTTTCAATTCATTTTCCGCTTGTTGTAAATATTTATCTCTTTGAGAGGTATCTTTTGTGGATTTAGCCAACCTTAAATAGGCCCAACATAAAAATGTGTATAATGATGCTTTTAAGGAACCTTCAAAGACTTCTAAAGCTATATTAACTAATTTTATACCTTGCTCAATGCGACCTTGATTACAATACGCAATAGCAATAGTCAACCAATGCTCTTTATCTGAACTCTCTTCTACAAGAAGAGTCTTCAGGTCAGCAGAATCCTCAGGCAAATCTGTTTCTAAATCAATACTCACTAATTCTTCAGAAGCTCTTAATGGAATATCCAATACTCTAGGCCATTCAACAATAGGATAAGCCTCTAAAGGACCATTAGAATTATATGTAGTTTCCATGATCTCTATTTTGCTTTCTACCTTCTATTACTGACTGTTTTAATCTATAACTCGTTCACTTTTATCGTATTTTTAATGTCTAAACTATCAGAAAGTCTTTCAGTAGTGTCAGCAATATAGTTGGCAAAGTGAACCAAGTGTTTATGCTAGATACAAATTCCTTTTTTCCTTGACACACACTTGGGTGATTCATTAATAAGTTATGTTTTAGCATCTTTACTCTTTTTATTTATTTCTGGATAATTTGAAATTTTTTAGGTTTTTTCAGGGTAACATATTTTTTGAGATTCTGAAATTTTTTTCTTTCTCAAAAACTTTTTATATGCGATGAGCTTCACGATATTTATTCAACTATTGTATAGAATATAACATATATGTATACTTATTTATCATACAATCACTTCCCATCCTGTATTAAATCGATACATTTGCGGAGTAATAAACAAGCATAACAAGGTAAATATTCATATAACTACATTTTTATATACACCTGGAGATGGTGACACATAGAGTATTTGTTGGAAACATATTTCATAATTATGATACATGTCTGGATGAATTGAAATCTAGATTTGATAAGTTTGGTAAGTGTTCAGAGGATGGGTTTGAAAAATTCACTACATTTGCATATATTAACATTGATTTTGAAGATGATTTAGATTTTAGTAAATTGAAACAAAGTTTAAATAATGTCAAATTCAAGGGCAATCTATTGAAGATTGATATAGCCAAGCCTGATTGGAAAGTCAAGTGGAATTTACAACATAAGAATGATTTAGCAGAAGATGTGAGGATTGGAAAACTGAATAAATTACAGGAGTGGAGACATTATAAAAAATTGGAAAATATTCGTATGTCGTGGAAGGACCAAAAAGAAGTTATTCCAGGGAGATATCGTAAAGCGGAAAGATCACGTACTCAGTTGAGAAACCCCACGTTTAGAATAAACGTTAATGGGTCATTAAAAGTCTACAAATTGTATAAGAACAAATTATGGGGCTATGAGAGAAACAAGACTGTTAAGGATCTTGCATATCAATATGTCAATGGAAAATGGTGGAATAATTATAATCATATTATTGATAGATTGGATTACACTAGATCAAGAAAGACAATGACTCATAAAAATCTAACAGACTATAATATTAAACAAGAATCAAAAATAAATACTACTTCAAATCTTATCAATAGTAATGAAAATAGAAGAAATGATAAACCTAATAAAAATAACCAAGAAGAAGAAGTTGACTTAGAAGAACAAATGATACAAGAAGAAAGATATAAGAATAATAACATATTAAATGAGCTTTTAGGAGAAGTGAATTTCGATAAACCATTAACAGTTGTTGACTCTGATGAAGCTGAAGTCTTTGGGTTTTCGAATAAAGAGAATGATGAAAGGATAGAGACAGAAAGGGAAAGCGAAGAAGAAGAGTTTATTCCAACATTTGATGTCACAAAAGATGAAGCAGAACAAGTGTCTGAACCTATCCAAGGGACTATCAGCAACACTGAAACTCTTAGAGCATTATTTAATCCAGACACAGCTAAGGTACCAACTTCTTTAAATATAAAAAATAACGCTGATGATAATATAAACAAAACTTTTAAGTTGATTCAAGATGATGATGAGGATATTGACCAAAGTAAAGCTATCACAGATGACATTATCAATGAGTACAATGAAAAGGATAAAAATGATAATTCAATGAATTTTATATTGCAAACACGTAATCAAAACCGTTTATTCTTTCCTCATTTTGATTCGCCATTTTTAATTGGTCAAACACAGTTAACTCAAATTGAAACTGGGAATAAACGTGATATATGGTCTAAGTGGGAAGAACTATTTTGGGAGAACAGAGGTCAATGGATGAAAGAGATGAAGAATAGAAGAAGAGATGCCTTAAGGCAAAGAAAAAAAAGACAAGCAAAGGATGGTAATAATAACATAATTATGATATAGTAACTAATCTATATAGAACTATTTAAATAGCAGTAAAATAAATAGTAGAAGCATTAAATGATATAAGGTAAACATACTATATTTTAATATAGCAACTGCATAAACTATTATTGACAGTACTGTACTAACGATTAATAATTATAAGAGTGACAAGAGAACAACAAAAATTATTTAACCTTCTTTATATTAGAATCTATTTATTTATATATCATCAAATTTATCAAGCATTATATATTTTTTAGAATGGACATTGAGGACCAAATTTAGTAGCCATCTCAACAGCAGCAGCACCCCAATCTTCACCATGGTTATGCATACTTTTAGCTTCGTCAATACCAGCTCTGGCAAATGCTTGTTCTTCAGTCAAACAAGTTAACAAACCAAAAATGACTGGTAAATCAACCTTTTCTTGTAAATTCATTAAAGCATGAGTAGTTGAATCAGAGATATATTCAAAATGCATTGTACTTCCTTTTATTAGTACACCAATTGGAATAACTGCATCTAATGGTTTGCCCTCCTTCTTTTGTCTGTCAACAAATCTTTTCGTACCCCATGGCAATTCATATGAACCTGGAACACTTTCAATAATAATATTTTCTTCTTTGACACCAAGAAACTTCATTCTTTTAATAGCACCTTCCACTAAAGCATCAATAATAACACGATTCCAACGAGCATGTATAATACCAATTTTTAAATTTGAACCATCATATTCCTGGTCAAGTTGTCCTAAACCCTTTACAGCCATTTTTTTTTTATGATCAGATAGATAAATGTACGTACGCTTTGTTCAGTTAATTCGGATCGATCTTTGTAGTTTTTTCGAATGTCACCAACTATAGATATTTTTGATTTCTATTGAAAGAATAATCTTAAGTGACTTTAATGTATTTATAAGGAGGGATAGCAGTCGTTAGTCTCCCTATACTCATGTTATTTATTTGCTCGTATTATAAATCCTTTTTTCAAACGTTTCTTTTTTCTCAAATTTTTGCCAGTCTTTGGATTAACATGGAAAAATTTAGAAAAAGGGAAAAAGAAAAAAGAAAAAAAAAAGAACAATTAGTAAGCATCATATTCAAATATGACTAAGCAAACTGCTAACAAAATATTGGTTCAATAATTAGTAAAAGGAACACTTATAAATGAAAGCCAATTTAGCCTTCAAAATTTTCCTTAATTTGAAGATAATGACTAAACTCCTCTGGAGAGACGCTTGGAACTAATTCAGACTGTGCTTTAAGAAAATCTTCCATTCGAACAGACACCGTAATATCGTCTTTAGTAGCAATTTTATCAAACCATTGTCGTATGGATAACTTTTTACTAGCACTTTTATTATATTGATCAACTTTACTGTCCACAGTCTTGGCTGCACGAGTCATGGCATTTAACATAGAGTCGGAACAAAGTGCATAAAAATCTGCACCTGTGTAATTGAAGGGGCAAATGTCTACAATCTCATGAAGATCCACATCCTCAGATAAAGTAAATTTTCTTGTCAGTGCCTTTAATATGTTATACTGCTTCTCGTTCGTATCAGCTATTCCCAAATATAACAGCTTATCAAATCTTCCCGGCCTTAACAATGCTTCATCAAGTAAATCTGGACGATTTGTTGCTGCAATTACAAAGATTCCATCACCGTTTCCTGTCATACCATCCAGTTCGGCTAATAACTGAGACACAATTCTATCCATAACACCTCCTGAATCCCCTTGATTGCCTCTTTTAGGTGCTACAGAATCAATCTCATCAAAAAAAATAACACACGGTTTTGCCTCTCTTGCCTTCTGAAATATACGACGAACATTAGCCTCTGATTCACCAATGTACATATTTAACAATTCTGGACCCTTTACACTGAAAAAATTCAGAGAAAAGTTAGTAGCAATTGCTTTAGCCATTAGTGTCTTCCCAGTACCAGGTGGTCCGTAAAACAATATACCACTTCTTTGTTTGGAACCTGAACGGAACAATTCAGGATGTCGTAATGGCATATCTATAGTATCCATGATTTCTCCCTTTATTATATCAACACCACCTATATCATCCCAAGTAACATTAGGAATCTTTGGTGCGCCAATGGATATAGAAAAATCACCACGAGTAAAAGATATAGATTCTTTTAATTTTTCCATAGATACTGATATGGTATAATGATTCCAAAGTAACATATCATATGGACTGTTTCTTCCCATTATATCATTATAGGATGCAGCTCTAGCCTTTTGAACTATATATTTGATATCCAGTGGTGTTAAACCTGCAGAGTGGATAGCTAATTGACTCAAATCAATATCGCTACTTTGAATAAACCGAATGGATGAATCTTCATTTTTTAAACAATCAGAATTCAATCTATCTACAGAAAGATACCATTGAAAGATATCCTTTCTTTGGCTTTCAGTAGGAACAGGTACTTTTATCTCAAAATTAATCTTACTTCTAATTTTACTGGGGATATTTTCGATGTTATTTGATGAATAAACAAATATGATGTGCTTATTAGTTTCCATAGATTTTTCTATAATATTCAGAAATTCTGTTTCCAAAGAAGTAGATAATTTAAAAGTGATTGAATCTTGATTTGGGTCAACTTTAGTGAATAGTTCTTCCAAATGAGTAATATAAACAATCGTTGATATATTTGTCATATGTATGTTATTACTTATCTTAGCCTTTATAGTGCCGAGAATTTTTGAAATTGAATCAGAAGAAGCTATGCTAGATATAATTTGACGACAATCGAATGAAATCAGATTTATTCCCAACTCTAAGGATAACCATCTTATCAATGTATTTTTTCCTGAGCTTGTCCTAGTAGAATGAACCATAATCGATATTTTCATTGGAATACCTTTTTGAATGCAATCAACTGTTGAATTAACAATTTTAAGAAGTTTTGCTGCGTAGGGGAAATGTTTCAGATTATAATTAAATATTGGTGGTAAATCATAATACGATATATAATCACACTGTTTTAAAGCGAAAGGTTTTTCATAAACAACATTTTCGCTTACCAATTTAACATTTTCTAATGGATCAACTCTATAATAGTTAATATCAGAATCAAATATAGATTTAGCATCTTTTTCTAAATTTATGCCATCATCTTCCTCATTGGAACTGATATCTGCTATTTTGAACCATGTAATACAATCATGCTTGGAATGAGAATTCAAGTTTAAATTCTCTAATTGATCATAGCTATTTGGTAGCATAGTAAGTGTCGAATCAAAAGTTATTGGAATTAGCTCATTTCTTTTAATTAGCCGTGGTTCTTTCACAAAAAAATCCTTAATCTCTTTAGAAATTATATTTTGATATATTTTTTCATTCTGGTACATGTCATTGACTCTTGTCAATATTATCTCTTTGGCTAAAGGAATATCCTTAATACTAAATGATGACTTTTTAAGAATACATTGATTTGTATCTCTGAATTGCATTTTTAATCTTGGTGATACATATACTGTAGATAGATCCATCTTGTGAGGTTCAATAAATGCAAATATATTTGAAATGACCTTCTGGTTGCTATCAATATTTGATAATTCAACATACGAACCGTCAACAAGATCTAATTGAATTAAAATGCTTCTATCAGTCAATATAACCAAAGATTTGTCAACACTTTTTTCGAGAGTTCCATTGTTACATAATATTAAATCTTGATACCTTTTATGTTCCAAGCACTTTAAAGACACATTTAAAGATGTCTTTATGCCAATCTCCAAGTCTGGATTCAATAACAATGGTTGCTTGGCAATGAATTGTGTACCTATTGTATCACTCACGATAATGAATTTAGTTTTATTAAAATCTACTATACCTTGTAAACAAGGTTTTGTATTAATAGTTTTGCACCATTTATAGGACAAAAACTTGCCAGAATGGATTATTGTTTTATTTTCTTCCACACCAAACTTCTTTGAGACAAATTCCATAATATCTTTTGAATCTGGTAATTGTATTAATATATTGTATAGAGAAGGATTGAATAATAAAGTTACTTCTTTTAAAATAGGTATGGTCGTGCTCTCAAGATCCAACTTTTCAATTTGACATGTATTGATAATAAAAGTATCGTTTGTTGTAACATCTAATAGCGTGTCTTTTAAACGTATATGGTTAATTGGTAGGGTTGAATCCCCCTTACAGTTAACAATAAAGCTGGAAGGATTATTATTGGAGTAAATTAAATATTTTAACTTGCAGTATGCTGTCCTATGATCATTTTTCTCTTGGGAAGGTTCTATTAAATAGTCAAATATGTCATCTGAAACTTGGCATTGATAAATTCCATCATTGTGATCAATTAATAGATTCGCACTTATCATTTAGGGAAAACAAATATAGATCCTGCACACGTTTTCACTAACCGTACTTATTACTGCTACTACATACACCTTTCTATTTAATAATAGATAGAAATGAAAAAAAAAGTAAGAAAAAAATAAGATTTGACAGCTACGTTGCACTCTCAAAACTTGTAAAGGTTGTGGAGGATTTGGTTTAATCTTTGTTGTTTTAACATATATAAGAAAATAAAACAACTAAATAAAGATAAAATAACAAAAAAAAAATGTAAAGGATAGGGAGAAGGGGTATATATTTCAAATGTTACAAAGAAGATAAAAAGTACATAAAAAACAAATATACAAACATTTATTGGAGAGCAATATAGTGATAAAGAGTTGCGACTTGTCTGTTATATTGAATATTAATATGTATGAACGCATGTATATACGTATATTTGCATGATATAATATTTTGTTCTATCTTCTATTATATGATCATTGCTTACGCACCAGTACACTATTAAACAGCAATTCTCTTGCCTCGTTAATCTTTGTAGTCACATATGGACTCCCCCCTTTATCTGGATGATTCAATATCAAGGCTTTCCTGTATTTTCTTTTCAACATCTCTGAATCCAAATCTTTAATCTCTTCGGAAGAAATATTTAAGATCAACAATGCTTCAGACTCATTCATGATATGACCGAACCCGCCATAGTATTGTTCCAAGTTTTTTCTTAGGATGGGGTTTATGTTGTTACTTAAGAACCTTGGATCACTAGAGAGATCGGAATGGACTTGATTAAATTTGATTCCATTCAATTTTGCAATTGTGATTGGAGTCAATGTTTTGTATACGTTCCAAGCTCTGAATGAAGATTGTATTGATAATGCTAAAACTGTGACTCCACATCCAATTAATATGGGGAGAACCATTTCATGTCAAATTAAAAATGATCACTAGGACAATGTAGTATACTACAATACGATACACTACAATATAATCTATGTATTCAATGTGAATAACAAATATTCAAAATATTAAAAAAAAAAAATAAGATATATACAACTTTCTGTATAAGAATTACCGGAATCAAGATCATTAAGAAATAGAAGCCAGTATCGATGGATATTTTGTAATACATTTTGGTTTTTCTTCTTACTCTATAGACCCCATCTTCTTTTCTTGTCTATTATAGATTTTACGCAATATCTTTCTTTCTTTTTTTTTGGTTTTTTTTTTCTTCTTTCTCCCATGTTTTTTAGTCTATATTTCTTTTCTTTGGTTCTAGACAGATGGGTGTTAGTCAATAGTGGAAATCCAATTATAGATGATATGGAACATAATTCAGTGTGGTGGCAGGTCTCAGATATGCTCAAGGAGATAAGGGAGAAGTTCTCTTAGAGAGAAACAAAAAACAAATTACATTAAACAAAGTTAATAGTCTCTATGCCTTCGCTCTTTCTCTCTCTTATTTGTTATCCATGTTAAACTGTTAGGACTTGAGATTTCTGCAGAGACAGAAATAGACTTTACTTTGTTGGTAAACTCTGTGTTCATTGACGTATAACTGTTATGCTTAAACTGACTTCAAAACCTCTATTATTTGAACCAGCTTAGGAAAACGTAACTAACTTCAATTGTAGCAATTTTGAGACTAACAACACTACGTACCGTTATTTATTATTATTATTATTACTGCTATTGTTGCTATTGTTATTATTCTTGGTTCTCCTCTACCTGGTATTGTTTCAAAGTATCATCTCTATTGTTTTGTGACTCTTTGTTCTTTGCCATTTTCGACTGTTTTTGCCTTTTTCCTATTTATCCTCCCATTCCCCTAGTAGTTGGTAAGTGTATGGGTTTTTGCACGTGTTTGTTCGGAGTTTTTCAATTGCATGACCGAAATAGGAAATCCGGTGCACGTCTTGCTTGAGGCGAGTTAATCAATAAAATAAAAAAAAAAAAGAAAAGAAAAGAGAAGAAAAAACGGAAAAACGCAGTGGTTTGCCCAGCATAGGCCCAGTTTCCTCTTTTGGAGCATTTAAGAAAGGCAGGCAACTTTGTGCCTTGCTTGGCTTTTGCTGGTGTCACAAAATGGTAGATATCCTCTAAGCTTCTTCTTCTTCTTCTTCTTCTTATTATTATTACTACTCTTGTCTTTATGTTAATCCTGTTTACTGAAGATTCCAAGTTAAGATACATACAATTGTTTTCTCTTAACCTTTTAAAATATTTGTTGACCTGAATAAGTAGCTTTTGAACTATTATTATTTTCTTTTCAATGAAAAATCTTTTCCTCTCCTTCCTAGTTCTCAAGACCCTAAAGATAGTTAACATTGTAAAGCTGTGCTTTTTCTGGGCTATTTTATTTAATACTATTAGATGAGTTAGCTAAACAAATCTTTTACTTTACCCTATTTTATTTTTGCTTTTGTAGAAAGTATTAGAGTGTTGTGATTCTAAACTTAAACTAAATCGATCAAGTATCCAAAGCAAAAAAAAAAAAAAGTATTTAAAGATGATGGAGTCAAACATATATATGCTAAACATCATTTGTTCCTTGCTTAATGGATGTCTCTCATTCTTTTTGTTTTTTTACTTTAAAAAAAAAAAACTCTTGAATAATTAAGTCTGAGCAATCAATCAATCAATCAACGAAAATAATCTATTTATATAAATATCCATATATACATTCCCAATATCAAAAATGCTCACAAGTATAACGTTTTTATTACATTTTCTACTCATATCAATTGCATTCGGTAAAAATATTTGTTTCACAAATATCAAACTTATAGACTCTTACACTAAAACCCAAAACTGTACAGATCCGGCACATTTTTTCCTTATTGAAACCCAATTATCCATAAGTAAAAGCTCTTATAAAGACGATGTCTATTTTAATGTTCCTTCCCAATTCGACTCTTTCCCAACTTTACCTCTAAATATCTCTAACAATGGTCAAATCGTCGCCTCTATCTATGAAAAGGGAAATAACGTTGTTGGAATCAATTTCCCAAATTCTTTCTCGCAAGATACTACCATCAATTTCAATATTTTGACTAAGTTGAGCAATTCAACTATCAATTCCATTAAATTAGGTGAAAATATCACTTTCTCCTTTACAACATCAACAAAGAACATATTTAATTCAAAGATCTATTTCTTAGGTAAAACCTCTGATTCATTGACAACTAATGGTGGGTATTCCTCCAATAATAACACTGCTTGGTTTATTGCCGATATTCCAATCTCTCTATTGAGAAAAGCTATCACTTTCAAGTCTGTTAAGACCGGTGCTAACGAATACTCCTTTAATATAAGTGCTACCAAATTGGAAGCTGTCACTAGTGTAGATTCTCAAGGTAATCCTTTGAAAAGTGTCCCTTTCACTGCTTACACTGATAAGTCTACAACTAATCAAATTGAAATTTTAATCGATACAATGATTAGTGGATCTGCTAAGTTTGTTCGTGTCTATTATTTCACCACTAAATTGAGTAAGACTCCAATCTCTTATTCTGCTAAATTAATCCAATCTAACTCTTTGAAAAAGAGAGATTTAACAGACTCTATCACTGGTACTATCTATGGCGGTAATATTGGCACCGAAACTAACAATAGTGTCATTGTATCTTCTGTTTCTACCACTTCCATTTCCATGTCTACTGGTTATATCTCAACTCCTTTGTATTCTAATAACACTTATACATCTACTCCATCATACATTGCCTCCACCTCATACACAACTTCACCAACATTTGATTCTGATGTAAATGATATTTTTATGAGACTTTCATCTGGATTAATCACTACAACTAGCAATAATTCTTCTTCTATTATCACATCTGTTCCTTCCTCCTTTTCCTCCTCCTCTTCCTTATCTTCTTCTTCTTTCCCTTCTTCTAATACCACCTTTTTCTCAAACACCACTTCTCTACCATCTTTAGTTACATCCAATAATGTTGTTATGACTTACAAAGTTTACACTACAACAAATAGTGCCGTAGTTACTGAGATTGGCTCTTATGTCGCTATTTCTACCATTGAACCAACAGCAACTTCTGTTTCTATTATCTCTAAAGCAAACTTATCCGCTACTTCTTTAACTTCAATTGTCAATACTTTTACCTCCAACAGCATAAATATTGCCTCCACTGTTACTGATATTTCTTCAGTTGTTTCCACTACCAGTACCACAAAAGATTCTGAAATCATGACTGCAAAGTCTTACGAAACAACCATTGCTACAACTGGTGCCACTATCGATTCAACAAATAAACAAACTACCTCAGTTTTATCCAATTCTACCTTTAATGCTAGTTCAAATGACTTGTATACAATAATTGTTAACGGTGTTGTTATAAGTAAAACTTTGTCTGGTGATTATTCCGTAGAGACTGATTTGATTCCAATATCTACCTTATCTAACGGAAATGTTATTAACGTTTACCAAACTGAGGTGTCTGGCTCTTTGGTGACTAAAACTATGACAGCCATTAAATCAGTTTACACAGAATTTGCCGCAATTACAAGAATCTATAATTTGACTACCACTATCTCCTGTTCCACTGAAGCCTCTTTTACTGTTATTACAAAGATTCAAAATGGACTCGAATCAGTTGCTACTGACTTTGCTGCCATTGCTACAATTCGTAATAAGACTATTGCTTTATCAAGTACTTCCACACAAGTTGGAAAAGTTGTATCGACTACTACTCTTTTACCAATTAATTCAGTGTACAGCAGTCTAGTTCAAGTTGCAGCTTTATCTACTGAAAATGAACACCAATCGCCAACTATAATCAATACTGCTTTGGATGTCTTAACAAGATCGACATCCATTCTTAAAACCACAGCTACGATTAAACCTGCTTCCTCTTCTTCTGATGCTAACCAGTCAATATCCATTTCTATGGCTGTTCCTTTGATTCAAAGTGAAATAGCTCAATATTCAAATTTCACTCATACTACAATGTCTGTCGTTCCATATGAAGCAGGTTCAAACAAATTAGTTTCCAGTATTAGCTGCTTCTTTATCACTTTACTTGCTCTATTATTCTAAGTAAGGTGTAATTATTTAATCAGTTTTTTCTTTTGTTGATTGACTCATCCAATTTTTATTGGTTTTCTTCGGGGCTTCCTTTTATTTTATTTTAGTTCTTATAACAGCACTAGTTGTTATCACTTTTTGGTTTTTTTTCTTTTGTTGGTTCTGAAACCACTTTTTGCATTAATAGAAATGATAATCTTTTCAATTAGAGGACAATATCTTTAACATTTATATCCCTATATATTTATGTACATATATTTGTAACATGAACAATTTTATAATACATTTCATTCTTAACTACTTATATTCAATATTGATACTTACAAGTTCTTAAAAATTATTAATTAATTAGTGGCCTCTCAACATCTAATGAAGATTTAGGAGTCACTCTTCTAAGTAGTCTGTCTTGTAATTCTGCACTTTCTAGAAGTTGATTATTTTTGAGATTATTGATTTTAAAATACAAACCTTTATTGTCGAGTGTATTTATGCAGGTTTGCGGTCTGATCTTGGAGATTGGCAAACACCATTCTTTCCATGTTGTTCCCATTACATCTTTCCAATTTTCACAGGCAGAACCTAAATTGAAAAGATTATAATCGTTTGTTGATTGTACATCACCATGTAAAATACGGATCTCTTCTTTATAACGTCTTAGACTGTATGTTTCTATAGTAGTTTGATTTTGGCACAACTGATATATACTAAACCCAGTGAAAAATGTCACTGACACAGAAACAGCAACACCTACAAGCCAAGCAGATAATAATTGAAGGTCAATGATCTCTTCTTCAAATTGTTTCCCCTTGAACCACCTATATAACTGGAAGAAAGTAAGACTTGTCACTATCAGAGCATATGATGAAGTGTAAATTAGAAACTGGATAAAAAATTTTTGATTGTTAAATCCAATACAACTTGCAAACCAGGGACAATGATGATCCATTTTCAACACACATTTTTCACAGGTGGAACAATGATGGCATCGATCAGGTTTCCAGCACTTACAACTTTGACACACTCTAAATCTTCCATTGTGTTTTATCGTTATTGATTTTCTGGAAATATATACTGGTGGTAATTCATTACCTGATTCTACTTCATGAAGATTATTGACTTTTAAATCCAAAAAATCCATCGGATATCCTGGTCCAACCTGTATAACTTTAAAATAAGTGTATAATGCAATCAAAACTCCCAAAGTTAGAAATATGAATAAAATACCCCGTGGGATACCAACAACCCTCGTTAAAGTGACATGGTATGTCCATATAAATAAAATGACCGTCAGGCATTTGGGAAATAATTTACTCAGCTTCGCTACCCATGACATTTTCAACTAATACATTTTTGTTTCTCGGTATTAACCTGATAGACTTTACAATAATACAAACTTGCCACTCGTCAAGATCAATTATATAAAGTGACGAGGATGTCTTATGTTTGTATGGTTATAGTGTAGATGTGTTATTCTCTAGCATCCACTTTTTATTTTTTTTAAAGCTTTGGTTTAGATGTACTAATTTTTTTTTTTTTCATATTGCTTATTATCCTCTCGAAGAATAAAAAACTTGACAGGTCCTCATATTACATGCAAAATATGGAAATTACTGTAAGAAGAATCGCTAGTCCCTTCCCATGTAATCTGTAAATATGAATATGTATATTATTAACAAAACAATTGATTATATACCAGTACGTAAATAACTCTAAGACTTATTTAGCCTAGCCAACAAAAATAAAATCATTATTTGCCATTTTAATTGAATTATGGTACAGTTGGAAATCAGCCTCATTAACTGTCGCCTTAAGAATACTATGTATCACCTGATTATAATCTTCTAGAGGTTTTAAGGCATTCAAATTCATCTGTGATAAATCAAAACTACAGCCTTGCGGATCAGCAGAAATACATTTAAATGGATATACATCATTAATGTTCATTTTGTGAGGGGTGTCTGCTAATGAGTTAGTAGGAGAAAATGATGATAATGATCTTTGCGATACTCCATCATAATTATCATTTAATGTCAAAGACGATAATAAAATAGGTATTTCACGATGCGATAAATCAAACAAGCTAGATTTTATTTGTTGTTCATTATCAATCAATTTATTCAAGCAATGTAACGATAATTCTATTTCATCATTTCTAGTTACGTCCTTCTTTGGCTGTTGTTCTGTTATAATGATTTTTCTTTTACACTTCTCTTCTTCTGCAACTAGTAGAGTCCTTAATCTTTTATTAATCCAACTTTGTTTTCTAGAAACAAATGGAGAATTCATGGTCATATCACTATTACTATATTGATTATGACTGTCACTATGATTACCACCTTCATATATTTTACTCCTCTGGTTACTTTCACCAACGTTAGATTTACTAGTATCATTATTATTTTTATCCAGACTCATTAAATGTTGATATCTTCTCGTAGAATTCATATTGTAGGTAAACAAATCTGTAATCCAGGTTAAACTTCTTGGTAAATAATATTCATTCCAATAATTATCAAATGCATCAGGAAATCCACGTATATTGACTCTAATTTTCTCTATTGTAATGTCGTTATATTTTTCAATAATTTCTTCTTTAATTAATTCTCTAATACTTTTTATATGATATTCATTCCACCAATGCGTATAGCTTCTCTTAGGTCCCATGGATTTAGATTCATTATGAAGATAAAAATCTGTATTTAATTCCCAAATAGGTGGTTCATTTTCTTTCCAAATATAATTACCTAGAAACAAATTTATAGCATCTTGTCTTTGAGAGTCCATAAATGAATTACTATAAAACCTTTTAATGCTCTCAACCATGTCTCTTGAATGTGAGCTCCATTGATTTATCTTTCTATATGTCTCCATTGTGTTAACTAAATGTGATCCACCATATTGCAATGCAATAGTATCACCAAGATCATGAAATAGTTCAGTTAGGATATTTACTATATCAGAATCATATTCCAGATAACTATCATCTATTATACCTAAAGCTTGTAACTGAACACCAAGAGCTCTTTTTCCAATGACAAATTGTGCTGCATTAGTCCTATCTAAACAATCAATGCAATTACTTCTACATATTCCTTCTTGTAATTTAGTGTCTCTAAAAGTCGAATAATTATGGAATATTCCAGTTTCCGAAACACTTCTTAAAGCATATGTTTCCAAAAATTCAATAACCTTTTGGCCGTTCTGTTTTGATGCTCTGCTCATATCCCAAGAAATGTAATCAATCTTTTTCGTTTCAGGTAACTGTTTATTTAAATATGTGATACATTGCTCGAATTCCTTCAACAATTTAGTCTCCCTTGGTGTCTTTTCTTTTGTTTTGATTAAATTTAGGATTTGAATAGTCCCGCCACCGTACCTTTGAAACAATCTATCAAAATGCAATGCAGCGGGACTAAAAAATGGATCAACTACATTTATTTTGATTGGGGGTTTAGCTGTTAGGTTAGATGCTTCTTGAATCCAGTATAATGGTATTGAACCTCTATGTTGTACAAATGAAGTGTACCGATCACTATCAAAATAACCTTGACCTGATTGATGAAAAGGAGTCAGTGACATATCAATGACGATTTGCTCGGTCTCTACTTCGTTTGCAACATATCCATACGTGTTAACACCCCTTTTCAAGAATCTGGCACCAGCAAAATGATGGGATCTTCTTGCAATCAAAGTGATATATATGTTTTTACCCAAGGTTGGAACGTTGACTTGATCAATAAATCCATGGATAATACATTGAAACCAATCGTATACAGTCGTTATGCAATTAAAGAGGGGTAGCAAAAGAAATTTATTCCACATGAACATTTCATTATAATTTGGTATCCCTGAAGGAATAGAGATGTCTAATCTGTTAACAGCTTTCAATTTTTCTCTCAAAAGATTAGTCTGTAAGGTATTGGTAATATCGTAGGTATAACTGAAATAGAAAGTTTTAGTGAGATCCAAATTTTGGAAAGTACTCATCAATTTAGATTCATTAGAATATTTATCAGGTTTTTTATAGTTATTTGAAATGGGAATCAACTCAGTACCATCTATATGGAATATAGAATGTCCACCGATGACAGCTACCTGTCTGAGCTTAGTGACAATGACAAGGTAGTAACATGACGTGAATCTAATAAACCCTAATAAGGCATATCCAGTCAGTTTTTTATGTAATCCACCTTCACTAGAATTTTCTAATTCTGCTAAGACATCAATAATTTCATTTCTAGTGAAAAATACGTTTGGATCTTCCAATACGGTTAAATCATCCATGGTCAAATCGATCTCAAGAATTCTAAACATTGATTCTCTTTTATTTGACCCAACTACATACATTCTATCCTTAGTTTCGTACAATGTAAATTTAGATAAGATGAATTTACTTGTCTTTTTCTGTTTTGGAGCATCATTAGTGATACCATGGTCATTATTATTATTATTATTATTATTATTATTATTATTATTATTATTATTATTAATAGTTGTATTAGTCGTTGCTGTGGTGGTGGTAGTAGTATCATTAACAAAAGTATTAGTCCTGTCATTAGTGTCTTGATTGATAATATTTAGCGTAGGGGATAATAAGGGTGTTAGGTTTGCGCCTAAAGATTCATTAGCATTAGATACATTATTAGTGATATCATTATTATCTCTTAGTACATTGGAATGTTTCAGTTCTGTCACTAAGGAGAGTGGTTGCGTGCTATTAGTTATTATATTAGTAGCAATACTTTGTTTCTCATTATTTTCAATGGTTACATCATCCATTATGGACCAAATCACATCAAGAACAAAAATAAAAATGAAGAAGAAGAAGAAGAAGAAACAGCCCAGTATGAATAAACACAATAGTTTAGTCGATTAAGATGCATATATAGGAATTATTTAAATGTTTGTATAATCTGGTTCTTCACTCTCGTGACTGTATTCTATTCTTTGATCTTTTTTGTTATATTGTTGATCAATAAGTTTTTTCAAAAAATAAATAAATAAAAAATATAGAAAGTAAAAGTAAATGATTCAGGAAGGAAAATACCAGTGAACACAACTTGTTTTATTTTATAACAGACTTGAAAGGATATATAGAGTTTGTTTATCTATCTATAGTAGCATTATATAAAAGGAGAACAAAGTGGAAAAGGAATAATAAATGCTATGTATTTTTCTTTTGTCTTTTTTTTTTTATACATATTATTACTATTATTACTATTTTATTTTTCATAATAACCATGATAACAAAATTGCACAAATGGATAATATTGGATGACTTGCTTGTAGAATAAATGCATTATTATACTTGATTGTAGTTAGATGTTCAGGCTTGACCACACCAACTTCACCAGATATTGTGCCTAATCCAATGGATCCAGAACTTGGTTGAGCAATAGTCGAGTACTGGGTACTGAACCTTTGGATATACGTTGTAGAAATTGTAGCCAAGGCACCATTAGTGGTGACAGTAATCCAGATGATGATTGGAGACAAACTTGTGGTGTATGTGGTATCACCCTCAGTGATGGTGGCCCAACTTTGCCAAGATAAAGTGGTCACGGGGGTAAGAGGTTCTGGGGTCACTGAAGTGCTTGGGTCTGGTCTATGTCTTGAATTGACGTAAGAGGTGGTACTGAAAGAAGCTAATGGAATAACGGTGGTATATGTGGTCAAAGCACCATTATCCAAACTAGAAGTAATAACAGCAGTTACCATGCCAGTGGTGATAGGTTTGGTAGTGGTGGTAGGCTTAGTGGTTGCTGTAGTAGCAGGTGTAGTAGGTTTAGTAGATTTACTAGATTTACTAGATTTACTAGTAGCAGTAGTAATAGCAGTAGTAACGGGTGTTGTAGGTGTGATAGGTGTGGTAGTGGAAGTAGTTATAAGTGGTGTTGTAAGTTTGGTGGTCTTTTTAGTTTTCGTTATTTTATCTTCCGGATCATATATACTAGTCATGGTAGATACGACACCAGCCACGTTAGTAGTGACGATGTAGTCTGTGACTAAAGCAGAAAGAACGTATGGAATAATCAGGAGAAATGAAAGTAGATTTAGTCTCATGTCTCACGGATATATAATGTTTTCTGTACTAGCTATGGATAAGCGACGGATCAGTAGAATAGAACAAAAGCTAACAATATCGGATGGGATTATAAAAATATAAAAGTATAAAAATAAGTATAAATATGAATATACTTGAGTGTATGTATGTATGATTAGATGGATGTGTATATGTGTGTATATGTATATCTATTACTCACAGATAACAGGTCGTGGACTACAAAGAATGAATAGAAGGATACACACACACACACACACACACAAGGTCCTCTATACCACTCAACTTCCAACTCTCTTTCGAAGTCCAAAGTCTCTTTTTCTTTTTTACCTTCTGGGTTTCTTTTTTCTTTTTTCTGTTTATTTCTTTTTTTCCAAAACAACGACGCCAAAAAAGCAAAAAAAAAGAAGCAAGACCCAGACACCACAGAGTTTCATTCTTTTATTTTATTTTTTTTTTGCGTCTCTCCCCGACGGCGCCAGCGTTTGGTCTCTTGGTGCGGGGAGCAATTTGTGCTGTTCGCTACGTCGTGCAGAATGACAGAGGTATGTGTTAGGATCGTTTCCTCTTTGGATAACTGTTTTCCTGTTTTGTTTGGCTTCTCCTATTTTGTATATCTTTTCCTGTTTTTGTTTACGGTTTCTGCATTTCGTTTGATCTAAAGGGATTTGACTTGATGGGTTTGACATCTGGCACTACAGTACATTAGAGAGCAGTGGTAAGTAGCAAGTAATTACTATAGATAGTAGTTGATACTAGTAAACACTACTTTCATTACCACCTATATCTATACCTCATATGAGATAAGATCTAATCAAATCTAATCTGACTATTTTAAACCCATTAAAACATACATTTTTTCTTTTCCTCTACTCTATTTTTTTTCTTTGTTTTTTTATATCTTTTTTATTATTTTATTATATTGTATTATATTGTATTTTATTTTATTTTATTGTATTTTATTTTATTTTATTGCATCATGGATGATTCATCCACTGAACCACCTGATACTTCTTCGGTAGTGGTGAAATCCAAAAAGAACATATCTCAAACCACACCAATTATACAGGAAAATATCCATGGAACAAGAATATTTAGTGTAGATGACGATCCAGAAGAAGTTAAACATGATATTCGGTACCTAGAAGGTCTCCATGATGGGTTCCACTACGCTTTGCATACTCAGAAGTCTAGAAATGCATTATCTGCAATCAAATCAGCTCCAAATATAGACATTTTAAATAATAATAATAATAACACTACTGTTAGCCTTGCTAATCCTGTCACAAATACAACTGTTCAAGGATCTAGACCAAAACAACATCGTAGTATATCTAAACTCGCTATTTTGACTACTCCAGATTCTGGTATAGGTTTTGATTTAAATAATTCTATTAAGCATGAAATATCTGAGAGTAATCTTAATTCATTGAGAGGCAACAATAGCAACAATAATAACAACAATGTTGTTAGTAATAATATCATAGCTGCTAGTGCCCTTTTAGACAATATCTCCGATAGATATATTGTTCATGATACTTCCTTTCACGACCACAAAAATACTAATCACAGCAACAACAGCACAACTAATAATAATAATAATAATAATAATAATAATGATTTGAGTATTCAAGAGATCCCACTATCATCCAATTACACTGATGATCAAGATTTGGAATCAAATCTACTAAACGCAATCAACCAACTAAACAATAATAATATTAATAATAATAATGATGATGATGATGATCAGGTCTCTATAGCCTCCTCTATTGAATCCTTTACTTTAAAGGAACGACAAGACGCAATCAATAAAACCCATCCCTTCGGTATAAGAATCTGGAAACCTGCTCTTTACAAAAAACAAAGATCGGTACAAAAAGCTGCAGATGAAGATATCCATGAAACTAAACTTAAACATATAAGCATCTATGTGCATCTCTCCAATGTGCTCTGGTCACTCACTATGGGTCTGACCTTATTTGTCATCTTTCTAATGGCATCGATCTTAGTTTTCATATTGGGCGGATTCACTCAATCATCCAGAAATTATTCTAAAGTCTTTTTCAATTTATCTAAATATTTGCTTTGGCCATTCGGTAAAGTAGTCTTTCTTTTAAAAGATGAACATTATTTGAAAGAGGATAGAGGTGAGGGGATAAGTGTTCCACAATTCTACAAGTGGGTCACATCCTATGGTAACAGATTGTTTTTCCATCAATCTCAAACTTTGTCCCCCACAGTAAGTAGCAATGAAAGATTACAGTATCCTTCGTATGGCTCTATCCCTCTTTCAAATAATCAACAACAAACTGTGGTGCCCGGTAGTAGTAAAACACATAACTCTACCACTTTTGCCAATAATCTTAACCTTAATCACTCTGCTAACTCACCTGTTGAAAATAGCACATTACAACAAAGAAGATTTTTTGGTAGAGGTGAATGGACACTTGGTAGAATCATCTTTTATACACTTTTCCACCTAATATTAGAACCCATCGTCATGCTCTTCGCACTGATCACATGGCTATTTGTGTTCACTATTCCCATGAGTAATATTCTATGGAATTTATTATACCATTTAAGGAAACATCCTTTAGCATTAGGTTTTAAGAATTTGCAAAATTCATCCACTACCCTGAATAACGTTGATAATGGAACGAATAAAAATATCCTGTTATGTACCTTTCGTTGTGCAGGATGGCATTATTACAAATTTACTGTAGATGGTACAAATGTCATAGTGGTAAATTTAATATTCTTGGTGTTTTTCACAATATTCGATTTTTTTGTGTTGAAATCATACTTTAACATCAACCACACTTGGTTAACAGATGAATCAAGTATCTTTATCCTTTGCTTATCATCAATTATTCCATTGGCCTTTTATATTGGTCAAGCTGTAGCATCCATATCCGCACAGACCTCTATGGGTGTTGGTGCAGTCATCAACGCATTCTTCTCAACTATAGTGGAAATATATCTATATTGTATCGCTTTGAAAAAAGGTGAAGGTCCCTTAGTGGAAGGCTCCATAATTGGTTCCATTCTTGGTGCAGTTCTTTTATTACCTGGGTTATCCATGTGTGGTGGTGCATGGAACAGAAAGACGCAAAGATATAATCCAGCCAGTGCAGGTGTTTCATCTGCATTATTGATCTTTTCAACAATCGTGTTATACGCACCAACAATAATTTATGAAATATATGGAGAGTATACCGTAATATGTATGGATAATGGAAACAGTAATCACAACAGTAACAACAACAATAATACTGTGTATGGTTTAACTATGAAAAGTGCCACCATGGCCATATTTTCAGATCAATGTTATTTTAGACATCCACCATTAAGATATGATAATATGTATACAGATATTATTCAACCTATGTCCATTTCATGCGCAATTGTGCTATTCTTGGCTTACATTATTGGATTATGGTTTACTTTAAGAACACATGCAAAATTAATTTGGGAACTACCTATTACAGAACAGATAAAAGAAAGTTCTGTCAATATTGAAGATGGTGAACATTGTTTAGAGAACGACAGAAATCTAGCACATGAAGGCCATGAGGCACCAAATTGGTCTAGATCTAAATCAACATATATTCTTTTGATTGCCACAGTACTATACGCAGTGATTGCAGAGATACTTGTTGCCTGTGTGGATTCTGTCTTAGAGGATTTCCCTGGTCTAAGTCCAAAATTCTTAGGTCTGACTATCTTTGCTTTAGTTCCCAATACTACTGAATTTTTGAATGCTATTTCCTTTGCTGTACATGGTAATGTAGCACTTTCAATGGAAATTGGTACTGCTTATGCTTTGCAAGTGTGTCAATTGCAGATTCCAGCTTTAATTTTATACTCAATCATTTATACATGGAATATATCACGTCAAGACATAAACATCAAGAAACAAATGTTTACACTAATATTTCCTAAATGGGATCTTATTGGCTCCTTTGCAGGCATATTTATGTTTACGTATCTGTATGCAGAGGGCAAATCTAATTACTTTAAAGGTTCAATGTTGATTCTTATCTATGTAATTGTCATGTTGGGATTTTTTTACCAAGGCATTTTAAATGATGGTTCCTTTGATCCAAGAAATATATAACTGTTACTAAATATAGATTAAATATAGCTATCTTTTTAAGTGTGGATACACACACACACACACACATATATATATATATAGTATGATTATTTTTTACTGTTATGTTGATTACATTTCATTATTAGTTTTCTTCGAGAGATTTTTGAAGTCAGGATGAACAAAATTAACCCCGAGATCAAGAAATATGCAAAGATTAAAAAGGAGAAAGCAGGTTGGAAAATGATAGTGGGAATGGTATTAAAAGTAGAGGGATGAAAGAAAGTGAATGTTGGCATACTTACAGAAGCCTAATAACAGCAGAAAGTTATTTAACTCTCATGCTCCTTTGCAAATTTTTTTTTATATTTGGTTAATAATCCTCTAGGTTTTTAACAATCTCTTCATACTTTGCTGCACCATGTTAATGAATTATATTCGAAAGTTTGTTGTAGGCACTATTACTCTCTCAACAATAACATTAGCAACATTATATATATTTCAGAATAAGTTGGTCTACCCGTCATGGGCTCAAAATGCAAGAAAACATGTAGATACTCCCGCTATTAGAGGTTTGCCCTATGAAAGGGTTTTGTTAACTACAGCAGATAGGGTTAAGATTGAGGCTTATGACTTGCAGAACGAAAATTCTAAGTCTACAGTACTTATATTGTGTCCTAATGCTGGGAATATTGGGTTTTTCATTCCTATTGTAGAACTGTTTTATCGCCAATTGGGAATGAGTGTGTTTATTTATTCTTACAGGGGATATGGGTTCTCTGAAGGTTCTCCCAGTGAAAAAGGTCTGAAATTAGATGCTGATCGTGCTATATCATATTTGGCCACTAATAATTTTCATAAAAATAAACAATTGGTTCTTTATGGTCGTTCACTAGGTGGTGCCAATGCTATATATATTGCATCAAAGTATCCTGAACTTGTGGATGGTGTTATACTAGAGAACACATTTTTAAGTATTAGAAAGGTCATTCCATATATGTTCCCGTATTTAAAATCAGTGGCGTTTATGTGTCATGAAATTTGGAACTCTGAAGGATTAATTCCAAATTGTAATACAAATACACCATTTTTATTTTTAAGAGGATTAAAAGATGAAATTGTACCACCTAGTCATATGAGACAATTATACGAATTATGTCCATCGACTTTAAAACGTATTTTCGAATTTCCATTTGGACATCACAATGATACCATCCTACAGGATGGTTATTGGGATGTAATTAAACAGTTTTTAAAAAAGAATGATTTTATTTAATTAATGTTAAAAAGAAAGAATCAATTACATATTTTTATTTTGCACTTAGTAAGAAAAAAGTATAAATAAAGCTAATAAGTCTATGACTAAGTACCATATGAAGGACAACAAAAAAAAATAATAATGTAAATTAACAAATGTTACACATATCATATAATTAGATATGCAAATGAATAAATATATAGATAAATAAACAAAGAATAGTACTTAGTTAGAGCCAGAATATCTGGTTTATTATAATGATTCTCTAATTGATTAGTAATATTCATTACCATATCGATCTGGTTTTAACGGATCAACTAACTCATTTTTAATGGAACTAAACATGAAATCAATTTGATCGTTATTTTTTCCTTTAGTTTCAGGTACCATAAACCAAATAAAGAATATTGATATAAATAAGAAGAATGAAAAGATATATCCTAGAAAAAAATCCATATTTTTTGTTAATACTGGTATTAATAAAGAGATAAAAAAATTAACTATCCAATTAGTAGCAGAACAAAGAGCCATCGATAGTGCTCTAGTTCTAATGGGGTATAATTCAGAAACAACAACAAATGTGACTGGTCCAGATGTAGTAGCAAAGAAAACAATATAAGCGCATGTTACTATAATCATTCCCCAAACTGCTTTCTCATTGCTTAGAAAAAAACTCCCAATACTTGAGTATAGCGTCATACAAATAAACATCCCTATTGAGCCAACAAATAAAGAGAATTTTCTCCCCCATGATTCAACAAGATAAATGCCAGCAAATGTAGATAAAAAATTGACACTAGACAATATCATAGCCGCAGTATAAGGATTACTCATACCTGCTTTTCCAAATAGCATAGTTCCATAATAAAAAAAGTAATTAATACCTGACAGTTGTTGAAATGCCATTAATAGTACGCCTATCAATACACGTAATCCCAATTTGGGACTTCCAGAAATAAATTCATGCCATTTTTTCCTATTTATCCTTTCTTGAGTTGATAAAAATAATTTATCTTGCATATTGTTAAGAAAATCATCGGTTTTATGATGGTATACGGAAATACCATTCATCTTAGCAAATGACAGTCTGGCACTATCCTCATTCATTTTTTGGATTGCTAAATATTCAGCTGACTCTGGAACAAATATTAGCCCAACTAATAATATGGCAGCCCATAGCAAACCTAGAGTTGTAGGAATACCCCAGGAGTAATTAGAGTCATTGAAGTATGTTACACAGAAGAAATTTGTTATATTTCCTACTAAGATACCAAAAGTTACTAGGACCTGAAAGAGGACCACCATTGCACCCCTAATGTTAATTGGAGCACTTTCGGATATAAACATTGGTACTAAGACAGCATTACAACCAACACCTAAGCCACATATAACCCTTCCTATCATGAATTGGTACCATACTTGATCATTGATGATTTGAATGAAGATTCCTAGCATATAAATTGTGGTAGCTAAAGTTATTCCCAATTTTCTTCCTATGTAATCGCCAAGTTTTGCTAGGAATATTCCACCTAGAGCTCCACCTATGTTAAAAATTGATATGATAAGACCGGTTAGTATATCAGGGAAGTCAATTTCCATTGATTCTGTATTATATATAGTTCCAAAGTGATTTTTGAATGATTTCATATTGATTATACCACCAATCGTTCCCACGTCCCAACCAAAGATAAACCCTCCAAAGGAGATGATTAGACATAATAATATAGGGATTATCAATGGTTTTTGTAAAACAACAGGGTGACTATTACTTTGAGTTGAATGGAGATCTCTTTTGGAAGAGTAGGGTGATGTTATACTCTCTGGACCGTCATCTATTAATATTATTGAATCCATTCCTGGTTCATTCATATCTATTCAATTTCCTGTTACTAGTTAAATTATTGGATTGAAAGTACAGATAAAAAAAAAGTCTCAGTGAACAAATCAAACAAGGAATCCCACAGTTGTTGACACTGTTAAATATAATTATATTTTATTTCTGTCTCTTATATATTATACTGATATTTTAAATCATATTCAATATGTTGGTGTGTTAAAATTGTTTAATTTAGCAAAAGGAAAGTAATGTATATTTAATAGTAAAATTACTTCGTAAATTATGTCAATGTAACAGAAATATTCAAAAAGCTATCGTTTATCCAAATGAGTTTAAGCAATAGGATTTATTAGAAATGTGCCAATTATTATAATGATATCCCACAAGTAATAAAATTTTATTAATAGATTTTTTTTTCTTATTTTTACACATATCAAAATAACAATTTTTCTTTGCTATATACTCAAGTTTTTTTTTCTTTAATTGATGGTAGTTTAAGTATTCTGAAGTTGAGACAGATATTTGTTGTAATAGTGTTTAACAAGATATTTTTATCAGTTGATGGATGAGAGAGCATGCCATTCATACTCAGCTAGAAAAAAATTGAGAAAAGGAGAACTATTGGTAATATCTTTCATTTCTTGGGAAAATACCCCATAAACACCATTGAAGACATTTCTCATCAAATTGTTTATAAAACAAGTCAATATCTGTCTTATCATGGTTGAATGTATATTCTATAAAAAACACATACTGCCATTTTCTTGGTGATGTAGTACTATTATATGGTCTGGAATGAATAGATGACATATTTACAGAATGTTCTTTTAAAATGTTCAGCACGTCCACCAAAGACCCAGGCTCATCTTGTTCTATGGTGAAGGTTAATAAGCTGACGTTGACTGATCCATTTGAATTGCCAGTTTCTTTAGGTTCAATCTTGTGATTTGTTCTCTTTAAAACAAGAAATCGGGTGGTATTTCCAACAATATCATTGATGGAACGTTCAATAATATTAACATGATCCAAAAAAGCAGCTGTTTCCCCTGCAATAGATAAATATATTGTATCTTTGTTGGTCGGATCCAAATTATCTTGTTCTGCCTTTGCTAAAATCACAGCGTTGGAAGTTGAATCAGCATCAAGCAATTGAATAGTACCACATATTGATTTCAATTTATTTAAATAATTTGATACTTGGCCCCAGACTTGTGGATGAGAATAAATTTTGATATTTTTATAAGTCGATAAATCGTTTATAGATGAGATTGAAGTAGACGAAGACAATAAACAGTGTGAGATTGACACGTACTGTTCTCCAACAACTTCTAAATCAGGAACTACTCTTTTACCTATCCTTGAAGTATCCTTTTGTAGCATTTTATCTCTTAATAAATCGAAAGAATACACGACTTGTCCATTTGTTGAATTTTCTAAAGGAACCACAGAGTAAGAGATGTCTTTATTATTTTCTAGATCATTGAAGCATTGCGGGATAGATTGTGTTGGAATATATTCAACTGTAGAACCCTCATCACTGAATTGTTGTAAAGCAGCTTGATGAGAATAGGTACCTTTAGGACCTAAAAAAATCACACGTGTAGGAGACATTGTCTGATGGGTAGATTATTTGGAGATGAATAATTTAGAAATGTTTTCTCTTTTGAATCGTATTTCATTGAAAGTTATTCAATTGTAACTACCTAATGTAAATTAATACAGAGGTCAGTGAGTATGAAAATACATATAATGATAGTTTTGTTTTTTAAAGATGATTTTTGATAATATATGAGTCATGATTGAAAAACAAAAAGATAAGCTTAAATTAAAAGGGTAAGCTATCCAAATATAAAATGCGTATAATAATTCATTGTAGCAACAAATGAACAAAAAATAAGAGATAAATTGGTTAAAGCTAACTTTTTGAATAGGTTATGGAAGCAAGGCCTCCATAGATGACGATTTTTTTATTATATTTTTCTATGCTACTGTCTATGAATTGTATGAGGAATAATCTAGATCTACTGATAAATTTAATATGTAAATTTAGTCTTATGTGGGAAAAAAGCTGATATGTAGTTATTTACAAGAAAAATACATATATATATAGATAGATAGGTGTATGCGTATGTGTGTATACTTTTCAAAATATTAATTTTCCATAGATTGTGATAATTCGATAAGTCTATCAACATTGAAGGCTTTTGAGCCTCTGTTAAATTGTTTCAATAGATCTAATCTTTCTTGACTTATCTTTGATTGAGTACCCATTGCACCATAAAATCTTTGAATGTTTAATAAGAGATAATGGGCATCCTGTAATGTTACATTGCAATCATCCTCTACTTGGCCCTTCATTAAAACTAGCCCCATATCGCCACTTAACTCAGAATGGAATTCCAAAACAGTATGAGGTCTGGCAAATTGGTTATGTAACTTATATTCTGCTAGACTTGTCAAGATACAGTGCGAGGTATTTGAATCAGGAAAGCTCCACTGAATATAGTGCAATTCCATACCTTCATCAGAAACGTTATCTTTATCGTTGTCCTTTTCCTTTGAAGTAATATTATTATGACCTTTTTCATTATTCAATTTTCTTGGTAACGGTAGTACAAAGACAGGATTCTCTTTAGCAACTTGATAGAATTTTTCGAATACACCATTCGGGACAACAGCAACCAATGAAGAATCCTTAGTAGACCATTTAGCTCTCCATAGATATTCAATTTGTTGAGAAGTTAAAGACTTTAATTTACTTAAGTCCATATAAGAATCCAAAGTCTTGAAAGGGATAAAACTATTGTGTGATTTACTATTGTTGTGATCTGATGATTTTTTAAGAGGGTCTCTTATCTTGGTGGTGATACAATTACTCCTTGGATTCGATTGTTTGGATTTATTTAATTCTTCCAGTGGGTCATTTTTATTAAATTCTATCTTTTGCATATCTATTTGTTCCTTCAAATGGTCTCTTAGCTGCTTAATTGAATCGAAGCCATATTCTTTTGCCTTTTTCAGTAATTTGTCTCTGTATACCTCTGAATAATCTATTGAATAAAAATAATTCGATGGTCTTAGGCTACGTGTCAAATTATTCTGAATTTTTGTTGGGTTGAATCGTCTTAGAGCAGACCACATTAGTAGAATATCAATAATCAAGAGGTTTTTCGTCCTGTTTCTTTAAAAAAATCAACCAGACTGCTTTTCAAAAAGTATAGGAGCTTGAAATGTGTATATGTGTAGGTGTATTTTTGCTTGTAGTTCTACTTCCTTCTTTTCTTCATCTTCATTTTTTGAGAGTAAGAAAGAAGTGTTTAAATAAAACTCCAAATTTTTTAAGCAAGACTAATATTTTATTTCATTCAACAACATAAAGAGATCTATCGATCTCCTATAACACACAAAGCTCACATGCACAGATTTGGATACAACATGTGTGTTTCTACAGAACCTCTACGTTTTGCTATAGACCCTTCTCGAAGATATTTGCTCTTTTGTGGGAAAGATCTCCCGTTCGAATCCCGATGGAATTTTCTCTTTCTCGACAGAAGGAAACTCTCGAGAAGTTCAGTGGAAGCAATGAAGAAAGAAAGAAAGAACCAGAGATGGGCTGCTGCAGTGTAGACTGTTGAAGAAACGTTGGTATGTTCTATTGCCAAATTCAATCATCGTAATGGTTGTAATTTGTGTACAGTTGGTAAAGTATTTGCTTTTACCTTTTGTTTTTTTTTCAGTTTGATTACAATCTACTAAGGGTCTAGCAGTTGTTTGGTTACTCATGGCTTTTGGATAGGTTAGTAAGGAAAAGAATTATCTATTACAGTGTACATTTTAACAAGAAATAATCTTTGGTATATGTTTAAAAAAGAAATTTTCCCTTCTGCTGGAGCATACATACGCACGCACATATATATATGCAGGTCTCAAAATCTTCTTTTAAGCCATAACACAGATAGCAATATTAATAATAAATTATAGAGTGTATTTGGTTTATAAAATGAAGAGCTTTCAACTGTTTGGAAGATCCAAATATTTTTCTTTAACTAGTTCTTCCATTGTATCATCAGTAGAATCTTCGGAAGAAAGTTTTCCTACAATTATACATAATGAAGGGTCTTTCGATAGTAACCAAAATCATCGAAATAATAATAATAATGATATATCAGGATTGAATACTACAATTACATTACTTTCACTTCCAGATAAGATTTTATGTAAAATTTTAGTCGAGTTGGATCTCTCTACCTTATTGAAATTGTGTCATTTAAATTCAAGGTTGTATGGTATAATATCTAACAAATTTCTGTTCAATCATCCGAGAAGAAATATTAAATTATTCGATAAGATGGCACTTTTGAAATTTAATGCTTTGATTCATGCAGAATTTAAAACTGCCAATATGCTTCGTGGTTATAAAAATTATACAAACAAGATTGCAAGGTTCCTGGTGACAACCATTGAATTTGTTAATCCACAATGTCAGGATTCTCTTTTAAAATATTCCAGATTTTATAATAAACAAGATCACTCATCATTGATTGGTGGTTCATTTAATCTAAATTCCATAACTTCCTCGCCTAGTTCTATAACCAATTCATATCATCGTACAAATAATACTCAGTCAATCTCAAAAAATAAAAAGGCAAGCAAAACAATTGATCTTTTGGACAAACTGGAAATCAAATATTCACACTACACATATATCGAATTGATGTTGGATATTATTGATTATTTGCCTAATCTAATGCATGTTAAATTGACTCAAATAGACAAAAATTTTAAGATTCCATTATGGTATTCTGTATTTAATGATGGTTCTAAAGAGTTTATGAAAAAAATTATAAGAGGTCAACAATCTATCACGATTGATGATTTGAGGACTTTTCAAATATCAGATTCTTTTGCAAAACAATATGAATGTCAATTTTATAGTCTTCAGAGGATAAAAAAACTAGAATTACAGGGTGCACTTGAAAATGGAACTGATGTTACTGTACCGTTAAGAAGTAATTTGTTATGTTGTTTTGGGATTATTACTGAATTGATCTTAGAGAATTTAGTAATTGATAAACTTTCATTGGACACTCCAATGGAATTTTTACCCTTATATTTAAGAAAGGAAACCAAGATAAATAACAGTACTGCCAATAATTATTCTGACAGTGGAAGTAATTATAGGGATAATCGATCTGTTCATCATAAGATGAAGCATAGACAACAATGTATGGAATCATTATCGTATACAGTTAATTCAACATATACTGCGCTCACATTAAAATCGTGTAATATTATAGCAGGTAATGGTATTTTACGTTTATTTCAGTCTTATTTTAAGGGTGTGAAACGACTCTCCTTGTTTAATTTGTTATCTAAGTATGATCTTTTAATTGTGAACTGTTTCCCTAGTTTAACAGATTTAACTATTGATTGTAACAGTAAATGTTTTATTGATGAGATGTATGTTCCTGAAGAGTATTATTATGATCAAAGGAATGTTCCTGTGGATCCATATAATGAAAGTTCATTATATTCCGATTGTATATCGATGACAGAGACTTTATTGGATGATCCAGGTGAATCCATCTTACAATCGCCGCCACCTACTTCATTTGTAGTTATGTCATTGAATTTAAATTACATTAATAGAACCATTACAGACATTCAAAATAATAAAAGAAAGCCTTCCATGTTAACCAGAGAACAAGGTCAGTTTTTCCAATCAATTAGAGTTCCAGCATTTCATTGTTTTTTTCATTATTATAAGAACTTATGGGATAGATTACCATATAAGTCTATCAACATTAATATCATTAATATTCCATTTACTAATGTTTTCCCCCTGTCTCCTAGAAAATTTATTGAAAATATGTTACAGCATAGTGATAATATTCCCAATTATTGTCTAGACAATGAAGATATCCATTACCATTCCGTTGACCAAGAGACTTTAATAGCATTCAGAAACAATCATGAAGCTCCAGATTACTACTGGAATAGTAATATAAAACAATGTATTAGTGATATTTTAGATAGGATAAGAGGGGTACCTACAGAACAGATCGAGTCTATAGTGGCTAATATAGATACTGATTTGTTCAATAATTATCAAAATTACAAATACTTTAAAGATATTCCAAATTTGAACTTATATTATTTTCTTCAGTCATTGTCTAAATTTAAGTCTGTAAAGATTCAAATGTTAAGAAAATTTGTAAATTGCACAGTTAGAACACGTTATGATTGGGAGTTATTATTAGACCCATTGTTAAATGTTAATGTTCCGATCGAAGTGACTGATAAAGATGGAATCAAATTGTATTCATATGGTGTAAAACAATAAATTTTACGTACGCATGACTCCTCAAATATATAGGATATAAAATTTTTGTACATATATCCTTCTGCATATTTCACATGCTCAACTTCTATAATGCTATATAAATTTTTTATTGATTATACATATATATATATCATAGAATGGATACAGTAAGTATAATTTTATTAGTGTGATTATTCTCAACATTTTGTTGATCATAGCAAATCATTATTTTTATATTTAATAATTCAATCTTTAAAACATTTGTACTTGTTAAACTGTTTTGAAAAGGAGAAAGGTGAAAAAAATATTAAATAATTTTTTTGTCTATTAAGAAAGGTACACTTCGATGATAAAAATAGTAAAAAAAAAAGAGATCTACACATTCCAATAGTATTCCAGGTGTGTATTCTTTCAGAGATGTGTCTATGAGGAAGAATTGTAATTCGAGTATGATAGAGGGATTTTCCAGTGATAATGAAGGCCAACCGGTAAGAAAAAAGTTTAAAAATAATTTATCCACCATCAATATTGAATATAACTTAGATCCTTCATCAGAGGAGGAGGATGCACATTTTGACAGCAGTGAACCTGATAATTTAAAAGATCATGAGGATAATATTATGAGTGCAGAAAAATTCAATTCTGAAAATTCGATTCACCAAGAGAGAAAAGAATCTAATGACGAAACTGTCAACTTAAGTTTCCTTAAAGATAATAAGATGAAGATATTTAATACCAAACATGGGACAACTGCTGATCATTTTGATAAACAAGGAAGTTATGTATCACAATATGACCCTAACGATAGTGGAGATGAAGATGAAGATGATATATTTCAAGGAGGTTCAGTGAATAAATTGGAAGAAATACAAAAAGTAGCTGAAGCACATAAGATACAGTTGTTGATGCTTAAGAAAAGAGAACGACAAGTTGCAAAAAATAGAAGGAAATATATGTTAGATGAAGCTCTTCTGAGATTATATTATTTTACTAAGAATGAATATACCGTTCTTGAGACTTTATCATATTTTAACTCACTACGAAAATCTTCAACAAACGATATAGAAATTTCTACATTTAGTAATGCAATCGATTTATTAACTGATCTAATTGAAATTCTAGAAAAGAAGGGTATAGAAGATGTTTATGAGCTGACACGTCCTAAAATTAAGAAGTTACTAGACGAAGAAGAATCCTTATCTGGAATATCGAATATTAATAAAGATGATAAAGTGTGGAGTTTTAAATGGATTAACGATTTACAAAAAATTCATGAATTTTATTCCAACTATGAGATGAATTACTGGAAGCACAATTATTTTAAAGGAAAAGTGATTGTCAAATATAAAGAAGATGATGATATCCCAAAAAATTGGATTCATATTTCTTGTATTACTTTCATGTAATCTTTTCAACTTTTCACTATCTTAAACGAAAAATTGAAGCTATGTATTTATCTATTATCCATTTTTGAGTTGCTAAATAATTCCTGCATGCATAAATAACTGAATAAATATTGATTTCCTAATGTGTCATTGATATTCAAAAGTTTTTAATATTATGGATAATAAACTTTTAATATCACGATATATACTCTAAAATACAGAAGTATATATTATGATTAAACATATAATTACAGATATATATATATGTAGATCCCATGATACTTCAAATATTACTTATTCTGCGTTAATAAATGTGTAATAAAGTCTAATCCTTATTCGCTATTGGCTTTTTCATTATCATTATTTGTGACATATTTTGATAGCATGAGTTTCAATTTCTCAGGGATATCCTCAAGGACCAAATCCTCAGCAGATTGAGAAACATTTTCTCCCTTTGCCTTCAAAATGTCTTCAATGTTGATACTGTGATCACTGAAGATCTTTAAATGATCAGCAATTAAGTGTCTATTTTTACAACCGGGACATTGGATCAATACGGTACCTTTAGTGTAGGCTTGCTTAGACATTGTGTGTGAAGATCTTGTATTACATTTTTTACAAGTAAACGCTATCATCAACTGTGGTTGTTTTGCTTTGGAATCATGTGCGTTGTCATTGCCATTACTTTTGTTGGAGGAAAGAATATTATCAGTTTTCTTCTTATTCTGAATAGATGAAACAGTATGGAAGGAGCATTTTTTAAAACCTATGTCAAATTTTGCGTTACTAAATAATGCTATATGCCTACTGGCTAATCCCAAGAATATGGACGGTATATTGTATGAATAATGCTTCTTTGTAAAATACCTAATCCAATTAGTCTGTAGAAAACGTCTTCGTGCAACACTTGTTATCATTTTGAAGGAAAGGTAAAAAAAAAAAAAGAATAAAACAAAATCAATATTAACTACAACCCTTGTAATATCTAAATAACAGACTATGCAATGGTAGGTGTGTATAATGAATATCTAGAGTCGTCCTAATTAGTGCAAGTCTCCCTAGCTCTCTACAGCAAATGTTCTTGTGTTTGATTTGCACCTTTTGAACAGCAAAACATGTTCTTTTGGGTTTTCATCTCATTGCAAAATTTCGTTTGTTTTCAAGAAATTTTTCACATGAAATCTTGAAAATTTCCTTTTTGGTATGTATCACCAAATGAGGAAATACACCACATTAGGAAATAGTTGTTTTTTCTGGTGGTTCCATCAAATTTCTTTTCTTTTCTTTTTTTTTTTCTTCGAACTGCAAAGACCCAAAAAAATTAAAAAAAAAATAAAATCGAAATATTTTTGATATTTGATATGATCCTATGTCCTATGTGGATTTGCGATCTGTGGATGAATTCTGTAGAGCCAGTGCCAAGAAAATAGTACAAGAGAGAAGCCAATCGAACATAGTTGTTGGATCTAACTCATTCAACTCATCCTTTTTTTATTTTATTTTTTTATTTTATTTCTCAATTCTATTAGATACAAACAAGACTGTACATGCAGTAAATCTCCGGTATTTCAATTTAACTGCGTTCGGCCCAATCAATCTTCTTTTTCTTCCCTAATATCATTTCCCACTTGATTTCCGGTTCAATACTCTGCCCTTCCTGTCATCGTCCTCACACAGTGAATGATCTCTGAACCAGTAATGACGTCCCCAGATAGGGATCTAGCAGCCAGGATTCTAGAAAGAGCCCAACTGGCTCAAATGACAAGAAATTTGAAACTTGGTTTAAGTCAAGTATCTAGCAATTCTATTGCAATGTCTGATAATAATGATACTGGTGCAACTAATACCAACAAACATGATAAAGAAAACTTAAGTTTAAAGGGTCAAGGTACTCAAACGCCATCTCTGTGCCTGTTGGAATCAAAAAAAAGAATCACTTCTATTCCACATGACAGTAAAGAAACTTCCCCATTGAAAAAACATTTGTCAGTGACTATGAAGAAAAGTGATACGAATAGTAGTAACAATAACAACAGCAGTGTGTGCACAATCAATCCTGTGGAAAATATCCCTAAAAAGGATACTTTTATTAAACCTAAATCGCCAATGAAAAATAAAGATCCTAATGACTCCTCAACCATGAAGGTTCCATCTACCCCTAAAAAATCGTCTTCCAACTCCACTACATTATCCTCAAGTAGTATTCATACAACTCCAGTGAAAAGAATCACTAGAATATCAGATGAACTTGACACAACTGATTATAATAGTAATAGCCATAATAATATCCACATTAGTAATAGTAATAGTAGTGCTACAAATCATGAAACAGATGAAATGATAAATAATTCAACAGGTGCTGATTTATTAATATATTTAGCCACAAGTCCATACTCGAAAAATGATACCAACTCTTCGTCAAAGATAAAAATTCCAACTACTCCAAGAACATCCACGTTCGGTCAATTGAATACCGATGATACAGTCCGTTTGTCTCACTTAAAACCATCTTTAACATCACCTCAATCTACCTTGAAAAACTTTAATTATCACCCTAATAATGATATGTTCAATAAACATAGCATAAACTTATCCCCCAACAACATGATATTAGAATCACCATCCTTATATAACAATAACAATAACAATAACATCAATAATAGTAATGCTAATACTAACAATAATATAAATAATAATCTATTAAAAACCCCAAATTTCAACATGGGTGATTATATACATAGTATTTTTAGTCCATCACCAAATATCAACTTAACTACTGTATCGAAAGAAAGAAATATTATTAATCTAAAACGTAGTAGTATAAGTAATAGTTTGACTCAAGTCGCTTTATTGTCTACTAGTGGGATACCAAATGAGAGCCTTTCTGCCACTATAACAAACTCAACAAATAATCACTCAAGTAATAACGATGATGGGCCAATAAAGAATTATGCTAATGATCATTTTCAGGAGGAACATCTCAACAGTACTAACAAAAGCAATAATACGAATGATAATATTAACATGTAAATCGTCGCTTTTCTAACAAATATTACATTGTATATATTTATACCTACACACACATATATATAAGGACTTATTAATATACAAATACACAATGAAATAGAGAAAGGTTTGTACACATTTCTGTTATTGCTATTAAAAGCAGCTACAATACAACTATTACAATTACTATTATTATTTTTTATTTTTTTTTTTAGACATATGATTTTTGAAATAGAATATGAGATTATGCATAATAATATTGAAATATTGAAATAATTTTATTTTTTTGAATGTTTGTGCTTATGACTTTTCTTGTGATGATGTTTAGATTTTTTAGATTTCTCACTATCTGTATCATCTTTTGGCAAACAAACACCCTCAAAACTTGGACCATTTTCATCATTAAAAGTTTTCTTCCTCCATTCTTTGATCCTTTTTGCTTTTGTCACTTTTCTCTTATCTTTATTTCTTAACTCCTTGGATCTATATGGTGCAAATTTTTTCAATGAGATGAATTCGTTTAAATCAGCATCATCAGCTGCAAAAATTTCTCTAGTGGTCAAACCAAACGATTCTGGTGATACTTCACGGTACCTGAATTTTACACCATCGGAATCATTTCTTTCCTTCGACCTGCCTCTTTCATGTAATTCATCATTTTCAACCTCATCTATAATAGCCAATTTGTTTGCCTCAACCGCGTTTTCAACCATCTCTGTCAGTTTTTTCTTTTCTCTTTTTACTGCATTCTTCATTTCTTTTTTAGATTTCTTATCAATAGTTTTATTATCCACATCTTTTTTCCTTTCATCTTCCTCTTCCTCTTTCTGATTTTCTTCCTCATTATCATCATCAAACTGATGGTTATTTCCTAGTCCATCATCATCATTCCAAGTTGGTTTTTCAGAATCGTTATTATAAAATTCATCATCAAATAACTCTGCAATAACGTTATCCCACTCATTTTCTTTGTAGTCACTATTCATTAAAGTCTTAGTAATTTTGTCAACCATATGCGATTCAATTTTAGCACCAAACTCCTTTTGTAATTGTTCCAAGACATCAGTCAATTTATTGATTTTTTTAGTCTTTTTCTTCTGAATCTTAGATTCTTTATCCTTTTTCAATTTGTCCTTAACAACCTTTTCTTCTTCTCTTTTACGTCTACGTGAGGATGTCTTTGATCTTCTCAAGGTGGCTTGATTTCTTGCATATGAAATAATTTCTGCAGAATTAGGATCTTCGTATCTAAAATTATAGGCATTTTCAAAATCCTCCACAGCATTATTAAAGTTCTCATCATCAGACTGTCCTGTTGCATCCAATTCAATGACTTTATCACCTTCTTTGGGAATCCACGCTTGTTGGGCAAGAAAATCCTTCAAAAATTGTTCGTCATTTTCATACGAAAGTTGGTTATTATCGTTGTTATCCTGTTTGATTTCTTTCTTTTTCAGAAATCCATCATCGTCTTCATCCTCACCATTTGAATCATCCATCGCACCTTTGATTTCATCTAATAATTTGTTTCTTTCATCTCTCTGTTGAACGACAAAAGATTTTTGTCCATCCACAGTCTCCATTTGATCTAATTCATCGTCACTCTTCAAAGCATCACCAGACAAGATATTCATTCTATGGTAATCCTTCAAGTAAATTGGTTTTTGAGTCTTAACTTTTTGACCAACATCCTCTTGTTCATTTTCATCTTTAAAGAACTTCACTTTTGGATCCAATAGTTTACTAGTATCGTTATTTTTGATGGCCTCCAAAACATTGTTAATACCTTGTTCTATATCTTCAGTGATCAAATCGCCATAATTGTCTTCTTCCTCACTACTACTACTACTGATGTCACTTTCGCTGTAGTTTTCATTAGGAATATGCTTACTATCAACTGTGCCAACATCCTTAACCGTATCTTTATTTGTTTGTTTCTCTTTTAAAGCAGCCTCCTTGGCAGCAGCTTCTCTAGCTTTTTTAGCAGCCGACTTCTTTCTAGGCATAATTACACCAGTCAGCCAAGATGATTGTGTTTCTTTCTTTTTTTTTATTTTTCGTTTATTTCCTTCCAGTTCAATCAAGCAACTTGTCTATTAAATAGAAGATAGTATCATAGTAACCACCACTAAGGTTACCCTTACTGTTTCATCTTTTGCTAAGCTGATATAAATCAATTGAATTACCTTCAGCAATCTCGAAGTCATCGCAAAGTTAAAAAAAAAAAAAAAAAATTTCTCTTGAGGAAAAAAAAAAAAAATACACCCAGACATCAAATCTAAAAAAGCCGATGACGAAATTTGTGTTCGTTCAAAATGATTTAGTTTACTAAACGTTACCAAGTTTAAAATCAAAAAAATAGAAGAAAAAAAAAAAGAAAAGAATGAGAAAAGGGTTTTATTGGAAAACTAGAAAGTACCCTTCAGGAGATGATAGAGAGATACAATACGAAAGGTATTTCTGATTTGTTGGTTTGGGGTTCTCAGATTATAGAACAAACTATAGAATAATACTGCAACTGATAACAAGATAACAGGGACAAATAGGGTAGTATAGAAAAAAGATGAGCTCGAGAATCACTCCTGGTTTTACAAACTTGGTCAAGCAAGTCAAGATACCCAACTTGCAAAACAACGTCAAATCTAAACCACAATTACACAAATATACGTTACATTGTCTCTTCACTAAAAACAACACCCATTTTACACTATGTTCACACTGGGAAGATCCGCAAAACCCAATTTTGACTTCACCTGATTCTACATACGATGAAAAATTTAAGTATTGGCTGCATTTACCAAGTAAAGTGGAATTTAAATTGTCTACTGGTCCATTAGGGTTTAGAAAAGCTAATAGGGGTGAATACGAAGCAGGTTTCCAGACTGCTGCTAAATGCTTAGAGATGTTACATAATCAAATCCGTCGTGACAGAATCAAAAATTCTACATATAACAATACTGGCAACCAATATCATAACAACAATTTCCATAATCAATTTGTTCCTGTAGATATTATAATGAAAGATTTTGGAAAAGGTAGAAGTGCGTTTATCACCGCGGTGAATGGTAAAGAAGGCTCGCAAATAAGGCAATATATAAGGCAGATCAGTGATGCAACACGTTTGAAATTCGGTGGTGTACGTTCTCCAAAAATCCGTAGATTATAGACTAAAGACGATATTTTCGGCTATCTTTTAGGCAAGAAAATAAACATTCACACTTTCATGTATATAGGATTATACATACACACACACATATATATATATACGTATATATATATATGTGTGTGTGTCAGCCTGCGAAGATACATTACATATTCTTTATATTTAATTCTCCGCCTCTTTTTTTATGTTCTTTCTTCTTTAAATCTTTTATTTTGTTTCAATTATATAAGTACATATATGTATGCAAGTTTATGTTTTGCTACTAGTGGTGGTTAAAGTTAGCAGGAATAAGTTCTGAACAAAACTAAGAAATAAATCAGCGACTTTATAGAGAACAACCATGACAAGTTCATGTATAGTCAACAACACAAAGTATTTTAAGATACAGTGAATTTCATTCTACGATTATTCGCATTTTTTTTTTTTTCAAAACTTGCACTTTTTCAAGACTGTTTTTCGTTTACCAGTAGTTTTTTTCTGTAAGAGGTCTGGATGTATTTTCTTAATTTTTCTTTCCACTACAATTTCCGTTTTTGGAAATTATATTATTTGTGTGCATACTATACAAAATTGCAGTAGTATATATTCTACAGTGGTGATATAGTTTCGCTCGTTCAGGCCTGTGATGTGCGAAAGGAGCAAACAGGGAAACTTGAATTCTCGTCTCTCTAATCTTTGCCGCATGGAACATGTATAGGTTTCAGGTGTTAGGACCAGATCGAAATAACACTGGCACCGCTGCTTTCTCCTTCTCCTATTGAACCTCATTATGTCCCCCACCTTTTTCTCCTTGTTTCTTCCTCCCAGTCTGACAAGCAAGTAATCTCAGCAAGAGGCAAAAGGCAGAGAGAGGTTGGCTGGCGCGCTACCACCACACTTCCCTTCCCTTTTGCTCTCAATCATCTCTTCCTCCCTTCCACAGAGGGGAGCAGCGGGCGGGGGAAGGATCACTAGTAGTCCTTGTACAGTCTGTCTAACCTATCCACGAAACAGAAGGAAGACAAGAGGGAAGGAGAGGGGGAGGAAGAGAAATTACATCACTCTCTCACCACCCCCTGCCTACGAATCTATCTGTCTTTGTAGGAAGGAGGGCCAGCTGGAATCCAGGAGTTGGTGTGAGGCCAGAAGGAGGTTGGGCTGGGAAATGTCTGTTTATTCCTGTTCCCAGTAACAAAGTCAGGAAAAGATCTTTTGATGTCGATGTTTCCATCCATCGCCATACCCTCCCATTAACTTAAGCATCTTGCTATAGTCGTAATTTTTGTTGCGAAGGTATTCCGAATAGTACATAGATATGTTCAATATTACCAATGTTTCTTATTACCCACTGTGAAAATTGGTTCCAATTGTTATATGTGTTACGTTTGTAGTATTGGACATTTGCTGCATTGTTGTTTGCTTCTGTAATAGGTATTCTTAAAAGAACCTTTTTGTGATATTTGGTATTCAAGTGTTTTACTGTGTTTTCGGTTTCCTTTAATATTTGAGAAACTCATACTGAAACATCTAGATATCAACTAATCGAGGAACAAAAATGGCTCCATCTGCTAAAGCTACTGCTGCCAAGAAGGCTGTCGTTAAAGGTACCAACGGTAAGAAGGCTCTAAAGGTTAGAACCAGTGCCACTTTCAGATTACCAAAGACTTTGAAGTTATCTAGATCTCCAAAATATGTCTCCAAGTCTGTCCCACACTACAGCAGATTAGATTCTTACCAAGTCATTGAACAACCAATCACCTCTGAAACTGCCATGAAGAAGGTCGAAGATGGTAACATTTTAGTTTTCCAAGTTTCTTTAAAAGCCAACAAGTATCAAATCAAGAAGGCTGTCAAGGAATTATATGATGTCGATGTCCAATCCGTCAACACTTTAGTCAGACCAAACGGTACCAAGAAGGCCTACGTTAGATTAACTGCTGATTACGATGCTTTAGACATTGCCAACAGAATTGGTTACATCTAAATGATCTTCCTCTCAATAATATATATGTATATGTGTGTATAGATATAAGACCAATTATATTTAATTATCTTTACTTTTTTCTTTCCTTTATATGTATATATATGTATATGTATATATGTATATTTAATTTGGTAAGTTGCTTTTTTTAAAGAAAAAAAAAGAGTCATTTTAATATATGATAGCATTATAATAGCATTAATAATAATAATAATAACAATAATAATAATAGCTGTCAATAAAGTGAATGAAACTGGGATGAAATATTTTATTCGTTTGAAGGTCTTATAGACTGACACATATATAGAAATATAGATGGGGATATACAGATTTTATATGTTATCTATTCGTCATTGTGAGATAAGATCCTCAATACAGATAAAAATAGATTGATGATGTCAAGATACAACATCATTGAACAACGGATCTCTTCATCACAATGTACCTTCCTCAACACCAGCTGCAGATCGACCAAAAGATATACGGAAAACAAGACTGCACCAAACCAACCATACAATAGATCCCATTTGTCGTTCCATGGAATAAAGAAACTAGTTAACCCTAGTCCAATCATGATCCAAAGTGACCAATTCAGCCAGTAATAAATGGACGTGTTTGATTCTACAAGGAACGACAGTCTATCATATCTGGACAACACAGAGATTGCCAGGACAAGGATTGTGGTTATCACAATGGCTCTCAACACAATTTCATATCTGTATGATAGCGTAACAATGGTGACCAACCAGGATTCGGTCAAAGTAAAGACGGATAATAGGACGTATTGACCGCGTTTCGCATACACATACCAAGGGATATCTTGGTTTGACTCGTAGTTTTCCAGTCTTGGCATTAAAGACAGCCAAATACACGTTATTATACTTGTTATGAAGGAGAAGATAAGCATGAAGCCATTATTTATCATGAAGTTATGGAAGAAAGACCATTGGAATGCTAGTAAAATAAATGCTAGAGTGAGAGACAGCTGGAAAGAGAGAATGTTCATCACTTTACTTATGAAATGGGCTCTAACTGGCAATTCACAGGAGTAAACTTTAGTAGAGTAGTTGAAATCATCTGGTATGAAGGGGCCATCATAATTTGGTGAATTTATTGTATCTTGATAGGAAGGTGGAGGTACATTATCGTTACGTGTTGTTGAGTACATAACTAAATAGTTTCTGTTAGGTATTCTCGAGTAGTGCTGGCAATTACAAGAGTTTAGCATACACATACATACATAATAACATATATATATATATATGTATGTATGCATACTGTTACAGAACATATCCTTCTTCTTCTTCTAAGTTTTGTTATGCGCTGCTTGCATTTCCCCTTTCTTCCTTCTGTATATAAAAGAAAAAAAAAAAAAAAAGAAAAGAAGAAAATACCTCTGGTGTGTGGGTGTTAGGGGTTGGGCAACGCCTCTCGAAAAAAAACAACGACGTCAAAAAAAAAACTACACGAAAAATAAAAAAGAAAAAAATCAACAAAACAAAACAAAACAACGAAAAAAAAAATCCCAGTCGATGGGATGAGTTCGAGAACTATTGTCGGTTTTTAACAGTGAAAGAGAGTTAAGGAAATACTTTATAAGCAAGCACGAGAGTTGGTGTGTAAGAAGGATAGATATTGAGTTCGCTATATGTGTGTGTTCATATAGATTACTAACTAACCAGAAGGAAAGAAGGAATAAAAAATAAAATAAAATAAAATAAAATAAAAAAAGAGATGTATTGAGTCTGTACTGTGCTCTTTCCTTTCCTTTTGGATTTTATTTATGGTTGTAGTGAGTATATGTATCAGTATTTATTATGAAGTCAAATAAGAGACACAGCACTTCATTCTATTCATTGTCTGCTTCTTCGGATATATACTTGTCCAACACGTCAGTTACTTCTCCAATCAACACGTCCTTGGACACGATCTCTTTCCACGGCGACTTTCTAACGGATCTGCCAAACATTAAATTATTATTAATTGGTAATGCAAATGTCGGCAAGACTGCTATCATATTGAGATTCTGTGACGAGCTGCCCACTAAAGGACAGTTGCGTCGATTGAAAACGTCACGGAGTCTCAAGGGCTCAGTTGTTAACCGTTCCCTCAGTTCTTCTTCTTCAACGAATAACGAACAAAATGTTAAGCTTCGAGATATGAAAAAAGATAATAGAAGAATAGGGTTAATTGGAGCAGTTCCTGCTGAGGTCTCGTTGCACGGTGGAGGTGTCGATGATAATGTTATTAGACATAGACGGAGAAGGAAGGGTTTTGGACTAATTAATGAAACTGAGGAGAGAAAACGGTACAGTTCCACGGATTTTGATGAATTCAACAAGAGAAGATCGCTGATTTTTACCAATAATTATTCTTCGTTATTTAATGAACACTTGAAACAAGATTCAACGTCCACAACAACAACAACAGCAACAGCAACAGCATCCAGTAATGGGTATAATTATAAATATGGCTACAACTATAACGAGGATGAAGATGAGGATGACGATGAGATAATGTTGTACACACAGTCAACGATTGGTGTAGACATTAAGACGCGCTTAATTAATGTAGACAATCAGTTTTTTAACTGTACATTCTGGGACACGGCAGGACAGGAAAGGTACAGAAATGCGTTGATTCCATCACTATACAAGAATTGCAATGGGATAATCTTAACGTATGATATTACCAATTGGCAGTCATTTCAAGACTGTTTCCAGATATGGTTGATTGAGTCTTTGAAGTATATACCGACAGAACAACTGAGACGATGCAGGATCTATTTGATCGGTAATAAGATTGATCTGTATCCTGATAGACAGGTGACACACCAGGATATTTTGAAATCCATATATCAGGTCGAAAAGAAACTGAATGTTAAGATTCATGGAAACTTCGAAGTCACTTGTAAATGGGGAGGAATAATTGATAATATAATTAATTCCATTGTTGCAGATTTGATATCGAACGGATGCTATCAAGATGTTAGAGGTGTCCAAAATGATGATATAGATTATTTTAACAGTGACCACAGGAAGAAAATATTATGTGATGACAGTGATGAAGAGGAAGATATAGAAATGGTAAAAGTCAAAGATGATTCGTTTCATTCAACTCTCAGTGATAACAATAATAGTCATCAGTGTAAGGATAAACCAACCACAAGTGTTATTGATATAACGAAAACCAAAGAGACTGAAACTGCACAGCCTGCATATTCCTGCTGTATGTAACATTATATATATGTATTTATGTGTATATACATTTGTAAAGCATTGGAGGGGAGAGGGACATTAACAATCTAACTGAAGCCTGTTAATATTAACTAATTAATTAACTGATTAAATAAAAGGAAAGATTACAACGAATATTTTATTAAGAAATATATAAATATAAATATGTATATATATATAATATTGCTGGTTTAAATTATTTATTCGTCTTCTTCTAAAGTTTGAGCGGCAATACGGTCCAAATCTCTTTGACCGTTTTCAGAGATTCTTCTACCACCCTTTGGAGAAATTTCAACGACACCAATCTTTTCTAAAGCTTGTAAGACCTTTCTGTTAATAGAACCAGAAGCATCGACGTGCTTGTTTGGTCTGACACCTCTAGATTTGGCGTTACCGTATAACTTGTTCAATTTACCGACACCAACGTTCTTTCTTAAGTAGATGTGTCTGGCGACGGAAGCAGCTCTCTTGTAGAACCAACCTTCGGCGTCTTGTGGTGGCATTTCATTACCAGCAGAGGTCTTGACAATGTCAACGTAACCTGGGACTTCTAATTTACCTTGTCTTTGTAAGAAAGAAGCATAAGCGTTAATGAAATCTTGAGCAGCAACGTCTCTGTATCAAAAAATAAATAAATAAATAAACGAACAAAAGAAAAACTTGAAAAATTTGAAAATAGTAGAGGATAAATAATTTACAGCAAAACTCATTTATCTCTTTTTTTGTTTTTATCATTTTTCAATTTTTATGGTTGCTTTGTTAGTAAATAAATTCGATGTTCATTTAAAGAAGGTTATAAAATAGAAGAAGAAGATCGAGTCTGTTTCTATTTTTTTTTTTGCCTTTCCTTCTTACTCAATGGGTTTATAAAAACCTAGAAATATAAAAAAAAAAAGAAATATTATAGGATTATTCATACTTTTCAAGATTGAATCATACTATAATTCTAACATCTTTTTTTTCTCCCCACTTTCTTTATATTTTTATATAATAGATTTGATATCCCCCCTCAATTACGAGCAAATAGGTACATACCTAACGGAAACACCAGCCATTTTGTTCTTGTCCTTGTTGTTTTGGTTAGCCAGTTTTATTACAGCAAAAAAAAAGAATAAGTGCTGTTTAAATAAATAGTACAAGCTCAAGTAGTAGATGGGCTACTATCATAGTCAGGAAATAACTACCATTATGTAAGAATTATAGATAACAATATTTAGGGCGATATACCGTACAATGCATTTTTGCAAAAGGAGGATAATGAGGAAAGTTTCTTTGGTGAGTTTGTGAAGACTCGATAGTACACTCAAGAGAGAATAATTGATCAAGTGAGTAACGATGCCAGTAACTTAGAATATTGTGGAACTGCGAAATTACGGAAAATTGCGAAAAGTGTGAAATCGGGGGAGAACGTAGAAGGAGGGAATGCGGTTAGTTTGGTACTGGCACATATTTTGCAGAGTGCCGCACCAACCAAACCATCCTCTTCCCTTCTGTTTTTGACAGAGCCAAGCTGGGGAGAAGGGGGGGAGGGGGAGGGGATGTGGTAAAGTCAGACGATAGAAGAAACCAGTTAGCATTCTCCCCCTCTGTTCATCCCCCCCCGCTATTCTTTGCGTCCCCTCGGCATTTTTCAATGATTTGAATTCGTTCACCCTACCTTCTTTTGTTTTCTTTCCCGTTTTTTGTATTTTCCACTGGGTTCTTTGGTAAGAGAAATACGAAACAGTGATGTACATTTATGCCTTAAAAGGGAAATCCATGGAAGACAACAAAAAAAACAGGACTGTTATGCAACCCATACACCCACCGCACGGTCTGTGAATGTGAGACGAAGTTATTGGAGAGAAAAAAAGCTGTTTTTATATAGCAACAGAAATTCTGGCACACCGGGATATACATGTTAGGGTTGCAAGGGTTTGACACTACTATGTGTGAGAAGAGAACATGTTAATAACTGGCCTTGTAGATAAAATGATTCTCTTGATTATTAGGGATCAAGAACGGCGGTAATGATTTGTAATGACTTATTATGTTGGATAGCTTAGTTCTATGGCTATGAAAGATTGCATATTCACTACAGTATACACGGTCATTCAAATGCTAACTTGTCTACTCTTAATCTTTAGTGAGAAGGAGAGGGTGTCGTCTTCTTTAGGGTTCTATTGATATATCATTATTGGTTTTTCCTAAATCTGACAAATGTAATGAGGGTTGCATAATAAAAAAAATAGAATAAGATAAAATGAAAAAAACTAAGAACATCCTCAAATACTGCTCAAGATATCCTTTTCTACGAAGGTATTCCTAAAAAAGGAAAGTAGATTCCATCTTTTTTCTTTTCTTACTGAGGACAAGAAAATTACAAATGGAGGGTCGAGGAATATGAAGCATTTCGTGCATTTTTTTTTTGTCTCATTTCGCTGATGGTTAACGAAACGAAATAAAGTCATGGTATGATTAACATTGTAGCACACTATACTCGCCTCACTGTCGCCAATTGTTAAGAAAAGCAAGGAAAACAACTTATATCTATCTCGGTTTATCCACTAATCGTGTAAGCAGATGCGACTTCTTGACATTTGGTGTCCCTTCGCTACACACACACACACATACACACACCTAATGGTAATTTTGAGGTTTCAAATAGTTGAGTCACGAAATGGATATAGTAAGATACAATTGAAGCAAGGATAACAATATTTAGAACAAAATTGCTACTACCACCATTTGTTATTATTGTTATTATTATCGTGATGATTTGATCTGATTTGATTTGATTTGAATGGATCAAACAAAAGACAAACAGACGTGTAATGCCCTATTACAGTTAAGTTCCACTCTATTGGGTTTTGTTTATTTAATGGTAAACTTTTTTAGAACAAACAAAAAAAAAAAAAAAAAAAGAAGTAATTGTGGACTTTTTCAAATGATTGTTTTATGTGTCATTGTTACATGGTTTTGTCCAACATGATTAATATTTCGTGTTCAAACGCCAAAACGAAAAAAGAATCCATTAAAATAAAGGAAACTAAAATAATATGATTATTATAACAATTACTTGTATTTTCTTAACGTGTTCTCCTGCTTTAATGTTGGTTTTATTAATGGACATAGGAAGTCTCTAGATATATCTTTCTTTAAAAAAAAAAAAAGATTGGATTGCAACATATATAAGCCAGTGTGTTTTTGAGAATCTTGAAAGGATAGGTCAAGCATCCCTTTTCATCTCCTGTATCATAGTTATCATCCAGTTAATATAGAACAAGATAAGACAAAACAAAAACAAAAACATTATTCAAGAGCTTACTAGCGGTCAATCTGTTTTTTTTGTTATTCCAACTATTTAGTCCTTCCTTAGAAATTAACTGTTAATACCAACTTATATTTCATTCCTTTATATTTTTATCATATCGCATACCATAAAATTGATAACTATGCAAGCCACTTCTTTAGCCATTACTTTATTCTCTCTTTTCGTTGCTTCTTTCGTCTCCGCTGATGAAGTAGTCACTACTAATGGTGAAACTATTACTTATGTCGATGTCACTACCACTCCAGAAGTAACTAAGTCTGCCGTTTCTACAGTTTTAACCACTTCTACACCACGTGTCACTATTACTGGTTCTCACAAGAAGTCTTCTTCTTCTTCTACATCTACTATTAATACTCTTTCCTCCTCCTTCTCTGTTTCATCTAATATCACTACTTCAACTGTCACTCAATCACATCTTACTCAAGAAACCAGAATCATAACAAGCTGTTCTTCTTCTTCTACTATGCCAGGTGTCTCGGCCTTTTCTGACGCTGCTGTTGCTTTAGACAGCAATATGAACAGTGTAATTGGTTTAGTCGTGTTGGCTGGTTTATCTTTATTATAAACTATTTTTTTTTATTCATTCACCAACTGTTATTCACATTTTTTTTCCTTTTATTGATATTATTACTACTACATCAAAGCATAATTTATATTCAACGAATCTCATTCACCCAAAGATAATATAAAAATTTCGGGGTGAAAACAAGATAAAAAAAAAGATTTAAAAACTCTAAGAACTCTAAGACCCTCTTTTTATGTATATTTATTTGTATCTGTATTTAATATAATTAATATGTCCAAATAGAAAAAATATAGGCAATTTTCTAGTTATTGTGTTCTTCCATATATATGCATTTTATCTGTTTATATTATATTTCCAAGTTATCTTTGTATTATTGAATATAGCATACATTGCATATTGTGTCATCATTCAATTGTTGGAAAATATGTACATTAAAAACTGAAAAAATTAAAAAAATAAAATAAAATAAAATAGAAAAACAAAATAAAACAAAAAAAAAAAGAAATGTTGGTTAAAGTCGATGAGCCTCACAAAAATACATTATAGTACGAGCATCTAGGGCAGTGTCGTTATGATTACTGTGAAATAAACACTCTATACAAAGTGGTATAAATATTCAAGGTGCTATGGTCACAATATGGTTGCCAACCGTAAGAGATTAAGAAGATCATCCTTCAATAGACTGAAAAAACATCTGGAAGTCTTTAATCACGATAACCATCATAAAAAGCAGCATAATGGTGCTAATTCGTTTGAAACGTTGATTGATGAATCATATGAAAATTTATTGGCTTTAGAATCAAATAGTAATTCTGTTGACGAAAGTAATGGTTCAGACAATGAGATAGTAGATGTGCTTTCAACCGAACAAGACAAATATGAAACAGATGACTCTGTGACAAGTAAAAGTGGTAATTTAATTGAGAATAACAATGACTTTATTGCTTTTAGCAGTGATAGTGAAGATGAACTTGAAAACTTCAATCATGAAGATAGTGAAAACGAGCAGGATGAGAGTGCAAAAAACGTTAGAGGACTAAACCCTGATTTTCCCTGGTTATTGGATCATGACCATTCCAAAGAAATTAGCATTACTGATTGGCTAACCACGGAAATAAAAGATTTTGTGGCTTATATCTCACCAAACAAAGAAGAAATCGAACAAAGAAACCATTTGATTAAGATGTTACGTTATTTAGTGAAACAACTATGGCCAGACTCAAAGTTGCATGTCTTCGGGTCCTATGCTACAGATCTCTATCTTCCTGGCTCAGATATCGATGTTGTGATTAATAGTAAGACAGGAGACAAGGAACAGAGACAATATCTATATGATTTAGCAAGACATCTAAAAGCATCTGGGTTTGCCACACACATTGAAGTGATCAGTAAGACTCGTGTTCCTATTATAAAGTTTGTGGAACCCGATTCAAATATACATGTGGATATATCATTTGAAAGAACCAATGGTATTGAAGCTGCCAAATTGATTAGAAATTGGTTATCTGTCACACCTGGAATGCGTGAATTGGTACTAATTATCAAACAATTTTTGTCAACACGAAGACTCAATGACGTACATACAGGTGGTCTTGGAGGGTTTTCTATCATCTGTATGGTTTACTCATTTTTACAACTACATCCAAGAATCAAAATGAACGAGATCGATATATCAGAGAACCTTGGTGTGTTATTGATCGAGTTCTTTGAATTGTATGGTAAAAACTTCTCATATGACGAGGTTGCATTAAGTTTTAATGAAGACGAATATCCTATATATGTGCCTAAATCCCATTGGAAAGCTTTGCTGCCTGTAAAAAGGCAATTTTCTATAGCGATCCAGGATCCAAGAGACCCATCGAACAATATTAGTCGTGGGTCCTTTAATTTGGGTACTATTAAAAAAAGTTTTGCAGGTGCATTTGATTTATTGACAGATAAATGCTTTGAATTGAATCAATGTACGTTTAGGGATCGAATTGGGAAAAGTATACTGGGGAATGTAATAAAATATAAAGGAGCTAAGAGAGATTTCAAAGATGAAAGGTCACTTGTGGTTAATACAGCAATAATAGAGAACGAAAGATTTCATTATGAAAGAAAAAGGACATTTAAGATTATGGAAGGTGAGGAAAAACAAGATGCCAATTATGAAAGTGATGAAAGATTTTTAAATCCAAGTGAGGATGAACTATTGACAGGTGGACATGATGACGTGGAAATGTACAAATTGGATAAGAATACAATTGAATTACTAAGAACTTCAAATAAAAAAGATAGTCATAGTCTTGTTCATGTTCATAGTCAGGATGTTATAAAGGTTAAAAAGCCTGGTAAGAAAAGAAAAATTAATCCTGAGATACTGATTAAAAAACGTCGTGGTAGTCCTGTGTCTAATAGAAACTGGCAATCTATAGATATTCTAATGGGATTACTAGATGAGGATGAGGATGAGGACGAAGACGAAGGTAAAGACAAAGACAAAGACGGGGATAACTATAATGCTTCAGATGATAATGAAAGCTATATAGATAGCAGGAGTACAGAACCTTCTTCAATACCGCCAACATTGGTTTCAAATAATATCAAGACCACGTCCAAATTAAAAAAAACCACTGTGGATGCACAAACAAGAAGAGATTATTGGCTGTCTAAGGGTAAAACCTTAAATTCTGGAATTATTCCTGGAACCATTTAGTTCAAAGATACATCACTCTGCAATAGAAGTTATAAAACTAAAACGATATTTTCAGCCACTGCTGATCGTCTTGACACGTAACTCTTGACACCCTCTACTCTAATAAGTTGTGATCTAACCTATAACTTACTTTTGTGGCTCTAATTATGCCAAGAAGTGCTTTCATCCACGTGACACACGCGAAGATAAAAATAAATTGAATCAAAAATGAAAAAGAGAGCGAAAACATGTCGTTTTTTCCGTTTTGGGAAGTTTCCTCGAGGACACGAAATGTCAATAAATTTCTTCTCGAAAATTTCTTTTTCTTTCTGTTTTTTGTTTTTTTTTTTTTTGTTGTATTTGTTGTTGTGGGAAAATCTGAAATTCCGAGGAAGGCGATTTGTTTTCTCGAGGGTTGAGGATCAGTGATAGGGAAATTGGACGTTTCAGCTATTTTGATCCAGTCAGTTATTGCAGCAAAGAGACTTGACAATACCTACATTCGTGCACTTAACTAAGACATTGGCTCTGCTGCCGACGACACGAACTTTTGTGGATTTCTCCAGGAGAAGAAAGAAGGAAGGGAAGTCAGGGCTTTATCGGATTCTTTGGAAAGAGTGTACCATCTACGTCAAATCTCGTTAGTAGTTTTTATCTCATTTTTAACTAGCTTACTATTCACCATTATTATTACTACTATCATTATTGCCTTTGGTCACTTCAGTCTTTCCTACTTCTATTAATAGTCTAAGCACAACCCATCAGGAATTAATTAATCATTTTGATTGGTATTATTATTCTGTTTTTTTTATTTTTATTTATTTTTCTTTTTGGATCCAATCCATAACATAACATACATTTAATTATACGTTAGACAATCAATCAATTATAGAAATTGCACTTGGTATACTAAATAGATAGATACATTAATACATAGTTTTGTTAATTAATATTAAGATTAAAATTAGGATTAACGATAATAAGAAAAATAAGGATAAAAAAGCGTATTGACTATGTCTCTCTTTGCTGCTGCAAATGATATGTCTGATAATGATTTTAACAATATCGGTCCCGCTCCAAGACCCCCTGTAACAAGGACAGGATCAGCAGCTTTTAATCAAACGCAACCCATTACTAAGTTTATGCGTCAATTGGATTTAAACAGGAGTGTTAACTCTCTTAATTCATCTCAAAGCAATTTATACAACAGTAGCAATAGCAGTAGTACAAATATGAATAGGTCATTTTCTGGTCCTTTAACACAACAGATGAAAGGGAGAAAAACAGGCACAGTCTCCTATAAAGATGATGGTGTCTTTTCCTTTCTATGGCAAAAAAGATTTCTTGTATTAAACGATTCATATTTGACACTTTACAAAAATGAAAAAAATCAAGATGATCCGATTCTAAGCATCCCATTGACCAGTATTGTCAGTGTCAGCAGAAACCAAATAAAACAAAATTGTTTCGAAGTGGTTCGTAGTAATGATAGAAATTCAAGTGGTTCATTGAATAATAGTAATTCTTTGTCCACTCTGGATTCATCGTCGAAAAAAATAATATATATTGCTACTAAGACTGAACAAGATTTACATTCATGGTTGGATTCGATCTTTGCCAGATGTCCTTTATTAAGTGGTGTCTCTTCCCCAACTAATTTCACTCATAAAGTTCATGTTGGGTTTGATCCCGAGACTGGTAGCTTTGTTGGAATGCCTACCAATTGGGAAAAGTTGTTGAAACATTCTAGAATTACAGGGGAAGATTGGAATAATGATTCTGCAGCTGTTATTCAGGTATTGCAATTTTATCAAGAATATAATGGTATTGATCTAAGTAGTAATAATAATAATAATAACCAGCCACCTAGGGTACGTGAATTAAGAGTTAGTGGGAATAATAGTAACAGTAATAATAATCACCCTATTGGGCCTACAAGTAGAAATGGTAGTACATACTCAAATACATCATCTCTTAACTCCCCAGGCTCTAGTTGCAAGCCAACTAGTAGTAGTACAAATACATCCTTTGTAGGTTTAAATGATTTAACGCCACAAAGAAGTGCTCCATCTCCAAATAAACTGAAATTGCAAACTAATAATACACCTACTGTGTCTAGTTTTAATGTGACTTCATCTAAACCAGCAACACCACAACAAAGAGTACCACATTATCAACAATTACAACAGGATAATAATATAACACCTCAAAAACTATCACAACAGCAACAAACATATGTTAAGAATCAATACCCAAATACTTCAGCTGCTGTACCTCCACAGAGATTACATCTAAGGCACTCACCATATCAAAATCTATCGCAACAGCAGCAAGCTCAGAAAATTTCACCATCTCATAATGATGAAAATCCTTATATTCAGAATAATATTAATTTCAATAATAAATTCACACAACATAATTTGAAACAAAAGATTAGTCCTTTGCCTATTAATACAAGCTACACGCCAAATCAAAATGACAATTATTACAATCAATCACCAATAAGACAAGGACCTGTAATATCTCCAATTGGACTGCAGCCTCAAAGAGCTGCACCAAAACCACCTACAGTACGTCCACAACAGAAAAATACTCTTGGTAATAACAATAATAATGATGTAAATATTAGTCTTGCAGCCGCAACAGTTGCTATGAAACAAGAATCTCCATCTAATAAATATAGCATTAATGGTAACTATCATCACCCTGTCAATAGATTCCCGCAGCCACTGAGACAGGCACCTAAGAAACCAGTTCAACAAGAATTACCAGTAGAACAAGCAAAGACTGAATCAACCCAAAATGATACTGGTGTCACTAAACTAAAAAAGTCGTCAAAACCAAAAATGTCAAATGCTGAAATTATGGATAAATTACAAAATGTTACCATTAGTTGTGATCCAACACCGTACTTTAACATGATTGAAAAGGCAGGTCAAGGTGCTAGTGGATCTGTTTATTTGGCTGAAAGAATACAATTTCCACCAATTACTGAGACTTATGACGAAGAAGTTTACGATAATATTCAAGTGGGAGATAAAGTTGCCATCAAGCAAATCATTTTATCTAAACAACCACGTAAAGAGTTGATAATTAATGAAATCCTTGTAATGAAAGATTCTCGCCATAAAAATATTGTTAATTTCCTTGAAGCATATTTAAAGACAGAAGATGATTTATGGGTAGTTATGGAGTTTATGGAAGGTGGGTCTTTAACCGATATCATTGACAATAGTCCAGCTGATCCAATCACTCATTCTCCATTAACTGAACCTCAAATTGCTTACATTGTTCGTGAGACATGTCAAGGTTTAAAATTTTTGCATGATAAACATATTATTCATAGAGATATTAAGTCTGATAATGTCTTGTTAGATAATTACGGTAGAGTTAAGATCACTGATTTTGGATTTTGTGCAAAGCTAACTGATAAGAGAAGTAAAAGAGCTACATTGGTGGGTACTCCATATTGGATGGCACCAGAAGTGGTCAAGCAACGTGAATATGATGAAAAAGTTGATGTTTGGTCCCTGGGTATTATGACAATTGAAATGTTAGAAGGTGAGCCTCCGTATTTGAATGAGGATCCATTGAAAGCATTGTATTTGATTGCTACTAATGGTACACCAAAGTTGAAATACCCTGAAACATTATCATTAGAAATCAAAAGATTTTTAAGTGTTTGTTTATGTGTGGATGTCAAATATAGAGCATCTACTGAAGAATTACTGCATCATAGTTTCTTTGAAATGGCATGTCAACCAAGTGACCTAATTCCATTATTGGAATGGAAAAATTGAAATGATATATTTTATTTATATAACATTATGAAAGGTTGTTAAATAAATTCAGAAATGTGAATAGAGACAATCTCTTTTATAGTATATATAATATAAAATATTATGTTATGCATTCTTGAGTGATTTAGTGTATTTTTGATGAAGTATGAATTTACCTATAGATCGTAGATTGTACTCAATTTGACGTACATACTATATATACACGCATAAATATATAATTAACTATTTGATTTTGATTTTGAAAGGGAATCTAATTTGGCAAAATGAAGAGACAGATTTAAGACAATATCTTGTAATCCTGATATTTTATGTGCAACTGGAATGGTTTTTAATATTAAGGGGTGTAAATTCAAGAAATTATCAATTTCGACTTTGTAAGTGGTGTGTTGTTTTGTATCGACTATCATGTCAAATATTTTGCAAAGACCATTCAGTAATGTTAAAAGTTCAATCTTTCTAACTTTTGGAATTGGGGCTCTACCAATTAAGTTTTCGTTTGCAATATATCTTTTTAAAACAAGAGCAATTCTAAGAGTTAAATATGGTGCTGTCAAATGTCTTAATAGTTTATATTCTTCGTCAGATAATAATAGGAAATCAATAAGGTTATCCAGACAATATTTAGAACAGGAAATCTTTGTTGAAAATTTGGATTCAACTGTTGATCCAAATATATTTTGGTATTCAAAAGTACAGATATTCTTTATAACAATGTCTGGCTGATCACTTTGAGATATGAATGCGTTTTCTATATCATTATGCACGTATGCAAAGGAAGCATTCCATACGCACAAGATGAATTCATGTATACTAGCCTCAGTCATTAACTTTATTACAGCTTTTTCTAATAGAATGGATTTTAAGCTATCATATTCTAAGATATCATTGTCTGCAGTTTTAAAATCGCTTGCACTTGAACTTTTTTGGATTGGAAGACAACAACATTTCACAAATAAGTTCTGGAATTCAGAAATAAATGAATCACTGAATAATGATTGAATTGGTAATTCAAACAGATGTTGAGATAATTTTCTAAAAGATTTAGATGCTAAAACCCACATTGGCAAATCATCTTTATTTGGTAAGATAATGAGAGGTTTCCTAATTATTGTATCAGATAAATTCCGTAATATCTTTAAAACAATCTTTTCTGTAGAAACCTTTATTTGAATATTGGAAATAAAATTTAATCTTTCGCATAAAACTTCTAAAGATCTGAAACTAATAGCTTCAAATGTTGGTATTCTCGATAAACTAGCATCAGACAATTTGGGTGCTAATTTTTTCATAATTTTTTCCCTTGTGTCAAACATTAATGTTGTCATAGAACTCAACTGAAATAAAATCAATAACTCAATTTTACTAGATTGACTATTTTCAAATTTTTTTAAACCTTTTAAGACGCTTTCTTGCAGGCTGGAAGGTTTAATGTTATCCTTAGAATATGGAGGAAGCAAAGGATATTTCGATGCAGTATTAAACAAGGTTAATGAACGTTCCACAAAGTCTGACGAAAGTGTATTATGTTTTGTAACAAGTTGATATATATAAGGGAAAGTTAAAATCAACTCATAGACACAATCATAATCACTCTTAGATTTTGAATTTTGTTGTTCACCAAAGTCACTATAGACAATATTATAATCTAACCAAAGTTCACATGATTTAGTGAGTAAAGTGTTTGGAATATCTTGAAGTTCTAATACTGATTCTAATGTTCTTTTATAATTAGATATTGCCACAAATTTGATTCCAGCAAATTTAGAATGAAATAAGTATTGTAATGCATCGTATAACGTAATCCATGCTTCTATGTTGATTGTAGCTCTAGTCGAATCAAAGTCACTAAAGTACGTAGGATATAAAGTGACCAATCCACTTATAGTAATATCATAAAAATCAATATATTGTGATAAATCTTCCTCCTGATGTTTCATAGTAAGAAGTGGTTTTATCACTACTAGATATATCAGTTTCCAACTTGGCAAATAATTTGAGTGTGAATCAATAATTCTAAAAAAAGTTTGAATTGCACCATTCTTGACTTCAAGTCGCTTATCTTTTGAGCATTTAACTAAACTCTCTAAAAGATAAATCCATAAACCATTATAAAAATCTACTAACGATGTTTCTTTTGAAGTAATTATTTCCATGAGACTGCCGGCATTTATTCTATCTTCAAAATTGTCAGATATTTTGTCACGAAACTCCTCTTTGAATTGTGACTTTAAGTAATCACTAACTAGCCAAAATTGACTTATTGAAGAAAATGAGATATTTAAATTCATATCTTGATTTACATAGTTAATTGATGTATCAATAACATACCTGACAGTTTCTAATGGTAATGATTGAAGGAAATCATCAGAGATCAATTTGAAAACATCGTATGAACCTTGAATCATTTCCATTCTTTTTTGTTGCAATCCTGATAACAGTGATGAATCTTCGATGTCTTGAGATTCAATAAGTGTCGCCTTATTTGACCAAAAATCAAATGGGACATTGATTATATGAAATATCACTGGCCAAGATACAGTAATCATGTCACCAAATTCATTCAAAATTCCTTTGAGAGATAGCAATAGTTGCAATATAATTTCAGCATCAGTGATAATGACACCTTGGTAAATATCGTCTTTTGACGTAGTTAATTGTGATAACGACCTTATACAGTCCATCATAGCGTTTATAACAAGTTGTTCCAGTGATTTGAATTTTGATGATTTAAGATTAATATCTTCAATCATTCCAATCTCTTCAGTAGCACCCTTGATAATATCATTAAAAATACGAACCACATAATGGCGTAAAGAATAACTCGGGATATTTCTTGAACTGATTAATTTGACAAAGTAAGACATAATCATTTCCCAACATTTTTTACCTTTATTATTGTTTAAGAATCTTTCTGTGTTATAAGAACAAATCTCCCCAATCTGGGTAATATAAAAACCTTTATTATAAACACAGGATAATATGGTACCGTCCAAACTTACAGGATAATAACTTTTAGTTATGTTATTTAATGTGGTATCTGATAGTTTATTCAAACTTTGTATTAATGTTTTAAAAGATTTAGTTGAATATGTTGGTGTGTTTTCAAATAATTTTAATACCCCAACCTCAATCGAATTGATATCATTCCTGGAAAGTGAAGGTGCTATCGGAACATCTTGTGAGTAATAGCTTTCCATAAAATCAATTGAGGGTCCATAGATGTAATATGACACCCATTGCCAGGTTAATAACATATATTCCCAACTAACCTTATCGAAATTTGTGCCTAAGGAAATAGATAAAGACATTAGTGCTCTGAACAGATTCACATGTCTTGATGTAAATATTCTTGGATATAATTTATGCTTTTCTAGGGATTCATTTGCAGAAGAAATATTGTTATTGTTGTTGTTATTATTAGTATCTTCATCTATTTCTATACTATTTTTCTCCTTTTCCTTATTCAAATTAATGCCAGCAGGTTGGATTTTTTCATCAAGTGGTTCTTCTGATTTATTATTATCAATAGTAAGAGGTGGAATATTTTTAAGTGGGATATTTTGAATAATACTCTTGGCAAACACATTTAGACATTTGTTTAGATTAGGCAACAATTGAAGAATTCCAGCACAGTGAGTCAATTTTTGGAAAGATCTTACTACAGTTTGAAAAAGATGATTATCTAACGAAGTAGAATATAAAAATATTTTATTTAATTCAAATAAATGTTCGAACATTCCTGTGTATATGGCTATCATGGTATTTCTATTCAGATCACTATTTTTGTCAGTACGATTTGTGTATATCTTTAAGGATAATTCACTTAATTCTTCAGATAATTTATCTGTGATCGATAATACTAACCAAATTATGTAAGTGATGTTAATGGATGGCGGTGACACTTTATCAAGTAACTGTATAAATTTGGAACTTGAATTTGAAGATGATGAGAAATCATGAGTAATTATGGGCATATCCATAACCTCAATTATTTCAGAAATACTCAGTATAGATTGATAGTCATTCGATTTAAGAATATTCAGACATTCTAATAGAAAGGTCTGGATGATGGAGGTCATTTTGTCACCATTGTGATTATTATCCTTATCGTTATTCTTAGTATTGCTGTTATCATACATTAAATAAAACAGTGTAACAAGTTCGAAATCATCAGAAAGATCATTAAACAATTCCAGAGAAAGTACACGTTGCCAGTCGGGAGCTTTAGAATCAATACGCATGACATGAATTAAAAGAGATAATACTACCTGTAATTCTAAGTTTAAATTTTTTAAATATTCCTTTCTTAACAAAAGTTTAATACAACGATAGCATCTAACGGCAATTGGGAAGTTTTGAGTGGTAGTTATACATCTTAGTAAAAAAGGAACTGCTTTAACTCTTAGTAAAAATTGTAAATCTGGGTAATCTAAAAATACAGACATATTATTTTCTAAAATGGATTCTAATATTTCTAGTCCGTAATCCATTGGCAACTCTTTTAGAACTAAAATATTGCCATCATTAGTATTATCAATGTCTTTACTTGTGTTTATAGAAGAAGAGATTGTACTAGTGGCAATGACTGTAGTGGAAGAAGACTGAAATTGGTTATCTAACAAAGATATGAGATTTGCAAAAATTCTATTAGCATCATATCTATAAGTATTTACCTTGATATAATTGTCATCATTAATATTCTGATTGTTAATTAAAACAGAATACTTATCTTGAAATTCTTCTAAATCATTTAAGTTTACGTTTTTAATATTATTGTTTGCTCCGGATATATCATTCTGAATAATGGTAATCCACTCATAAGATAACCTTTGAAAAATTTCATCTATCAGTTGTTGCATAGCTGCACTGGCTGCACTTGTGACCATTATGGATTTGTTAGCCAATGAAAATAGATTGGAACAACATTGTAACAATTTAGTTACAAGATGACCATATATATATCTTGCATAAGTTTTAAAAAAGAGTGGTAAGACTTGTAGTATTTTCAATTGAATATCTGTAGCCAAGTGAGTAGCTTCGACGAAAGAGACTAACAAATCCGAGAGTCTCTCTTTAGGAATACATTGGACACTAGATAATAATGGTAGGCATTGTATAGCAATTGAAGTTAATTTAACATTTCTTGATGAAAATGCTAAGATAAATGGGACAATAAAATCAGGATGTCTTATTAAATCTTCATTACTGTGTACTGTGGTCAAAATATTGATAGATTTATCACATGTTTGTTTTAATTGAGAGTTTTTCCTTCTTTTAGATTCAGAAGCCAACACAGTTAGTTCATGGCTTAATTGTTTATGAAGGGTAGTGAATGGAATTGTTCCAGGTTTTTGAGACATGCTCATCTCTAAATTCCTATCTTTTTATTATTTTATTTTTTGATGTGATTACTTAGGTTTTCTTATATGCAATATATTGTCTAGTTATGATATATGAAAAGAGTTCAATGCATAAATTACCAGGAGATGTTCTACATACAACCTTAAATTATTTTGACTTATCTGTCCTAATAACTGTGTTAAATAATATAATTATATCTATACCTATGTTTGTAGAGGTGGACCTGGGGAAATTATATGTTTCCACATTTGCAATTACCTTTATGTTTTGAATATTTCTTTTTTTTATCAGTTTAGCAGTTCTATGTAGATTTTGGCTTTTTTCCCTCAATAAAGGAAAAATATGAAGATTTGGTAAGGAAGGGGCAAGTAAACAAACTTTTAATTAGTCAATTATTTATGCTTCTTTATGCTCTTGTGTGGTTGATGTCAGTGTGTTCATATCTAAAAGAAGGAAAGGTGTGTGCGCATACCTATATGTTATGAGTCTATGGTTGGTGAAGGAATTAATAAGGTACAAAAGAACAACCATGTTAACATCAGTGAGTAAGGTTGGAAATTTGGCTTTGATGGCTACAAGAAGTGCCTTTACTAGCACAAGGTTATATTCATATTGGAGAGGAAACACTTTAATTGGAAATGAGACTATGATGATGATAATGTGTACAAGGAGGAGCATCAAAAAAATGGAGTTATATTTAACAAGTGTTAGATCTATATGTACTGGAAGTAAACAAAAGGAGAAGATAGATAATACTGAGGAGGAACTCGTAAAGAAGCAAGATAAGGATTGCTGTGATAAAGATATTAGTACTAAGATTCAAAAAGGTAATAATAATGGTAAAGATAATGACGGTAGTCGTGGTGATGATAAGAATAATTGTAAAAATACAATACCTAAATTTGTTATCCCAAAACGTGACAAACAAATTAGAAGTATGATTGTACCCCGTGTCCCCTCTACAGATTATATTTCTAGTGCCTCCATTCATATTGAAGGATTGTTTGCCGGTTATAGACCTCTTTTCTTAGGGAATTCAGTTTCTCCTTTAGACGGTAGTGATAAATATTATGATATGAGTAATAATTTATCAAACTTAGAAGGAGTGAATAGTAGAAGACTTGTTATGCCATGGAATGTTTCAATAAGTGGCATTAAATACCACAAAGATGATAATAATGATACAAGTAATATCGTAAAGGATGCTTTTCAAAATATTCCAGATAAATTATTATATAAACTACGTCCTTTTAAGCTTCATTCAGAAGATGTAGATTTATGGATTAATGGAGATAATATAGATAATAATATAAAAAGGAGTTCTTGTAATAGCGGTAAGTGTAATACTGAGAGAGGTATTTTATATGGTAGAAGAAGTAAAAGAAATAAAATGGTGGTATTAGAATTTCATAATTCAAAAATTAATGATAGACCCGAATTTGTAGATTTATATAATATTAGGGAGCAAGGTCATTATAATGAGAACACTAACACCATTTCATATCCGGGTCATAACAGTCGTAATTATAATCATGCAAAGCATTATGGATCAATTAACTATAGAGATATGGAATTCAAGAAACAGTTGAAAAGAACACAAAAATTGTATGACAATGAATTGCAAAGTTTAGCATATGATTTCCAATTTATTAGAAATGATCAAATAAAGTTTCGTGATAAAATAGAATCTCTCAATGAATCACTGATTGATAAATTTGAGGATTTAACTGGTCTAAGGATCCAATTGCAACGTCAAGAGAATCAATTACCGATATACATTTATTTTCAATCAAATCTTGTTACAAAAAGAAGATTAAAAGCAATTATTTCAAATTCTATCATTTTGCAAACAGAACCAATATTATCTACTTTATTACCAAATTTTGAAACAGCATCAAAAGCAAATTGTTATCATCTAAGATTTAAGAATAATGTGAAAAAAGTTATATCCAGTTTACTGGAAAATATTCCCTCTTTGTTGTTTGTGGATTCAAGTCGATCAATTGATTATGTTTATCAAAGAAGTCCAGTTCCTGGTTTTAAAAGAATTTACTGGTTAAATCCAAACAATAGAAGATTGGTTATTATGAATAAGAGAAGGAATTCTATGGTATTAAAGAAGAACAAAATAAGAAGAATAGGGTTCCGGGTTAGTGAGTCAATTAATTTGTATGGTAAGAAGGTAAATGAATTGTTTAAGGAATGGGATTATTATACTAAATGATGTTAACTATTGCTATTTGATTCTATAAAAAGTAATAATCTCGTGTAATTAATATGCGTATATATGCATGTATGTATGTATGTATTTAGGTATTAGAATTTTAATAATATTCGTGCAAACTTCAATGGGAAGATTTTTTTTTAAACAATCTTAGTAATAATGTTTACCAAAATCTCTTTCGAAATCCTGGTCATAATACAGGTTTTCTTGTTGTGGTTGTCTATCACTGTAATGGTCATCACAAGTATTGTTAGTGTCATAATCATTAGGATCGTTTTCGATGCCTTGGTTGTTGGAATTAATATGAGAATTGTTGAAATCGTTTGAATCTTCTGAACTGTCTGAACCGTCTGAACCATCTGAATCAAATACAACGTCTGTTGTATTATAAACATAGGTAGCAGGTGGTTTATCCAAACCAATGTGCCTCTTAATTAATTGGTACTTCTTTTTGTTTGAAGTGTTAGTTTTATCACTATTAGATGTTGAACTGAGTGACTCTGAGCCCAAATTTTTGAGGATAACATGGTCAGTAAATAAAACGAACTTATTATAGGCAGAACTAAATTTAGCTTTAAGTAAATCACTTTTTTTCTCTTTGGGATTGAAGTTGATTTCATCGATACTTTCGTGATCGGCAGTTATATCATCCATAACATAGCAAGAATTACCTGCAATAGGACGGTTTGAGAGACTACCAAAGGAAGGTGATAAAGTGTTTGAATAGTGTAGTTCTGATGTATTATCTTCAGATGCACGTCGTCTATTTACACTACGTGTATCTGTGTTCGAGCAACCTGTAAAACTAATTGATTCATGTGTCATATGGTCAATTCTATCATCATCATCATCGTCATAATTGTCATATGGTTCTTGTTGAACACGTTGGGTTCTTAATGCATACTTTGCAAATGCAAAATTTTGTTGTTCATTATCATATATAGGTCTACCTAGTATACTCTGAGCTCTTTCTGCTTTTTGTAAATTAGATAATCTTTTAAGCCATTCCCATGGCAAAAAGGTCGAACTAATGTAACAGGCATCATCGAAAACTTCACCAAGTTGTGAAATCCACAAATTAGATATATCAGCAATGAAGAACCCAGGTAAAAGTAAGACAGACAATATTGTCAATAATGTGAGAAAAATCATTTGAAGGTTTTTCAACCAGAATCTACTTTGTCTTAACGCAAACGAGATTATAAAGCAGGTGTATAAAGTTTCAATTGCAATTCTAAATAGATATACGAATACAGGGAAAATATCCCAATTTAATTGTCCATGATATATTATTGATGCACAATGAGGTGTAACCCATAAGACACAAGTTACAATTGTTAGGATGACACCACCAAACAGTATGATCCTCTTTTCCTTGTTTCTTTCAAAAGTTCTCATAACAATGAACACTTGACATAGTTGTAACATTATTAAAGAAATAAAATGTAATGAAATAATACTAACATTGTGAGAGAGTGAATCTATTATTTGAGAGGATATGGTCACACTTAAATGAGCATGTTGATCTCTTAATAATTTGAATACTCGATTCAAGGTTATAATGATATTAATTGTACAGATTAAACAGCCTATTTTTAATATGGTAGATACAAGCAAATAAGGTTTAGGTCGGATAATTATGAATGCTAATATTGTTAGGAATAGTGTTAAAACAAAATTTGCGGCATATGCAACCAATAGTGGATATATACCAGAGGTGAAATTTCCTCCAACACTGCATTTAACACTGATATATTGTTTCCAATCTTGTTCAGCGATCGGTAGATAGGATGCAGGGATACCAACATATTTAGTAGCCATATAAATGGGGTTATCTCTGTAACAAAAGTTTTGAAAATGGATGTTATCAGAATATAACACAGGGCTTGGAATATCCTTGCTGATCAAAATTCCATTGCCCAAGTTCATTCCCATACAACTCTCATAAGTTTCTATACTTTCAGAATCGGAAAGTCTCCAAATATTGTCAACCATACTAATATGTACATATATATACGTTTGTTTATGTGTGTGTATAATATAATAGTTTATTTTATAAGCAATTAATAATCTCTCATCAGCAAAGACTTATTTTTTGTGAAGGTATATATCCTTTCTTTTTTAACACCTGTTCTCTTTTATCTTACTGCGATGGAGTTCTAAAGTTGATTTTTTATCTTTGTTCATCCATATATGTTTCCCAAGCAGATTCTTTATATAAAAGATTCTGATAGATTTTTATTGTTTTCTTTCTTTAAAGGAGTTCTGCAAAGGTGAAATATATTTTGCGACACTTGGATTCACATAGAAATAAACACAAATTTGGAAAGGTAAGTTGTACTTATCTATATTTCTTTCAAAATACCACTAGAATTGATCAGCAAGTATAGAAAAAATATAGTAGACGAGGAAGGGAATAAGAAGGGCGCTTGTGTCTGTGTGTATATTACTTAAGAGAACAGGATCAAGTCAGTAAACAGCATTTCTCATATGTAAACAATCCTCTTTTGTATCTACAATTGATAGAGATAGATATACCATGGATTCACATTTACCAAGACTGCATATGCTTTCAAAATCTCCATCTGTTCCTGATTTACATGGTTCAATAAGGATAAGGAATCTAAATATGGAGATGAAAAAGACTATGTCTCCAAGGTTGCCTTCCTGGTTAGCACACGAGAAGTTTCAACAGCCATTAGAAGGTTCCAGTGAGTTAAAGTATGAACAGGAATCAATAGTTTTTAATATTAATGCTTCGAAGAATAATACTAACAAATATATTGGTGAGCATGATGATAAGGAGAAATGTAATGATAATGACGAAAATCTGAGTTTTATTGATCTTTATGGAGAAGAAGCGATGTCTGGAGTAATAGAATATGATACAGATACTAATAATAATCATGGTGGTGAAAATAAGAGAATAGACAATTCAATTAATAATGAAAGTAATAAGAATAGTCAAGTTATATCGAAAAGTGTCTTTTCAACATCAAGTGATTTTTTTAATGAGTCTTCCATTATTGGAGAGAATTCCTTTCATTTAGACAATTCATCTTTACCCTTAAAGCAGAAGATACACATCAATGATGATGATGATGGAATTTATGATCAATATGGATTTAAAAAATACACAAAATGGATAGCTGAATCTACATATGACCGTTGGTGGCATCGGTATAATATATATTGCCGAAGAAGAAAATTGAAATGGACATTATTCTTGGAGAAACATAAGATACGATCACAAATAGATCTCTCTCCACCTAAGAAATTCCCAGAGAGAAGTGAAAAACTGAAAAGATATGTTAGAAAGGGGATCCCATCTGATTGGAGAGGAGATGCGTGGTGGTATTTTGCTGATGGTGATGCTATATTACAAAAAAACATTGGTAAATATAAATCTTTAGTGAGTGAAGTGGAACGTACTAGAAATTTTTCACATAGTAATACAATTGAGAGGACTGATACGAATAAAGTGTATTTAGATATGGAAATTATTGAAAGAGATTTGTATAGAACTTTCCCGAACAACATTCATTTCCAAAAAGATGATAATTCCGATGTTGGTGAACCTGAAATGATATCAGCATTAAGAAGGGTTCTTGTAGCATTTTCAATCTATAATCCAAAGATTGGTTACTGCCAGTCTATGAATTTCTTGGTGGGTCTATTGTTATTATTCCTTGAAGAAGAGAAGTCCTTTTGGATGTTGGTAATAATAACATCTAAATATTTACCCGGTGTGCATGACGTTAATTTAGAGGGGGTAAATATTGATCAAGGTGTGTTAATGTTATGTATTAGGGAATATTTACCAGATATTTGGAAGATTATTGAACCTACATGTGAAACTATACCAACTTTGACTAATCAAGCACATCCAAAACATAAACACTTTAAAAACGAATTTCTTTTTAAATTACCTCCCATTACACTATCTACTGTTAGTTGGTTTATGAGCTGTTTTATTGGTGTTGTTCCTATTGAGACTACATTGAGGATTTGGGATTGTTTATTTTATGAAGGATCACATTTTTTGTTTAAGATATCTTTAGCTATCTTAAAAATATGTGAGCATGAATTATTACGTAAGAAGTCTCAAATAAGGATACCTGGAATTTCCTCAGCAGGCTTGGGGAAATATTCCAAATTTAATAATAGTAATGACGATAATGTCAATGGTTTCCATGTTAGAACAAAAGAAGAAGATTGTGATATTATATTATTTCAAATGGTGCAGACTTTACCAAAGACATTATTAGATCCAAATGATTTGTTTGAAAAAAGTATATTTAAAAGGACTGCAAAACTTAATATTTTAGGACAAGATGAGATTGATAGGTGTAGAAAGTATGTGATGAATCATAGGCGAAAATATAGGGATTATATGGATCTAATAAATATGCAACAGTATGCTGATGAACAAGAAAAATCAGCCACTAAGAGTTCAGATATGAGAAATGATACAGGAGATGAAAAGATAAATCATGTGAGTACTGGTATTAGTCACAACGATGATAGTAATAAATATACCACATCGATGACATCTAGTAATGAGTCAGTTATGACTGCTGAAAACTTATCTGAAGTATTAATGAGAGAAAATTATGGGTTTAAGAGAACATTGACTAATGTAAATTGGAATAGTCTCAGTTTAAAGGGAACAGTAAGACAAATACGTAAGAAGAAGGATCGTTGAGTTAGATAACAAATGGGAAAGTAATATTTATTGACTTAATAAAAAATAAATGGGTGGTGTCTTGCTTGCCAACATTATTAATGTATAATTACAAAAGAAACTTGGATTTATTATTTAATTACACAAAAGTATTCTAATAGAACAATAAAGAGAGAATAAGATAGAAAATTAGTGGATATATCACAGTAGGTGATAGTGTATTTGTTAGATGTTTGTATTAGCTCTTATATAGGTTTCTACTATAACTACATCAATAGTGTTCTTAAGCTGCAGTGAAAAAAAAAAATTATAAAGATTGTAAGACAAAAATTTCAAGATTCGAAATAATATTGATGCAATAGCATTGCTTTAAGTGAGATACAAAATACAGGAAGATCAAGTTCTTCAGACTTATAGATATTATATATAGCTTCATATGGGTTATATTTTTTAATATTTTTAGAAGTGCTTGTTAGTCAGAATATTGAGTAAACTCTTCATTAAGACAAACAATGAACGGTATCTTTGCAATCGAAAAACCAACAGGTATTTCATCCAACCAATTTATGTTGAAGATTCAACATTTATTCAATAGTAGTGAAGTGTTTTCAAAGGAAATTGCTAGAGCTACTGCAGAGAGGATGCAAGAATATAAAAGGCAAACGGGAAAAACCCCAAGTAAAAGAAAGCTACGAAAGGTCTCTAAAGTGAAAATGGGACATGGAGGTACCTTAGATCCATTGGCATCTGGTGTCTTAGTTATTGGTGTTGGATCAGGTACTAAGAAATTGTCAGAATATTTACAAGGCACTGAAAAAGTATACGAAAGTGAAGCATTGTTTGGTATTTCTACTACGTCTGGTGATGTCGAAGGTGAGATTTTGTCTGAAAACTCTGTGAAACACCTTGATATGGATGAATTGAAGACTGTTAAGGAAAAGTTCGAGGGTAATTTAAAACAGACTCCTCCTATATATGCAGCTTTGAAAATGGATGGTAAACCTTTACATGAATATGCTAGGCAGGGGATCCCATTGCCAAGAGCTATTGAACCAAGACAAGTGAAAATATATGATTTGACGATTTTCCCTGATTCTTTGACAAAAAATCACTCATATCCTTTATTAAGACCATTAACCGAAGAATCCAAGGATACAATTAAAAACTTGAATGCCAATTTGTTGCACGATACTTTATATTACTCAAAGGAATATTGTGAGAAGAAAGGTTTAGCCTCAGAGATTGCAGATATTGAAGATCCAATTCCAATCACTGAAGAAGAAAAGAAAATGATTGATGAAAATGGAGACTCATACAGGGCACCCTTGTTGCATTTCAAGGCTAAAGTATCATCAGGTACATATATTCGTTCTTTGGTGAGTGACATTGGCAAAGCCATGAGATCTTCAAGTTATATGGTTAAATTAATACGTTTACAACAAAAGGATTGGTCTTTGGAAAAAAATAATGTATTTAAATTGGAAGATTTCACTGAAAATGATGAACTTGTATGGAGTAAAGTTTTAAAGTTGGTGTTTGAAAAGGGTCCTCAGGTGAATATTGCAGAAGAAATTACGAAAGCTCGAGAAAAGTACGAAACTATTTTGAATAATAAGTCATCTGTGGAAGAATCAACCTTTGAAGAACAGCATACAAGTGCGTCGAAGAAGGAATCTGTAATGGAAGATTCTGAAAATTCATCTTTGAAGAGGAAGATTGATCAAATGTGAAAAATATTAAAAAGATGTATAGAAATATAGATATATTAATCTTATTGTTCATAGGAATGGTTTAGCGTATAGACGGGTGAATGAATATATATGTGTGTGTGTTTTAGGTATATATTATTTTTTGTTCCTTAATTATTACTTAATGTGTAACAAGTTGGAACGTCAGCATCTTCCACATAGTAATTATAACTATGTAATAATAATTCTTCATGCTTGTCTGAAGATGGGCAAGCAAATCCAAAAGCACTGGGACAATCTCTTACCATATTATAGCACATATTGATGCAGGGCAGTATTTCATAGTAGTCACGTAAGGGCCTGATAAAGCTGTTAATAAAAGAGTTCCTACTTTCGCCTTTTTTTCTTTTAATATAATATTGGGACTCTACAGTGGTGCAACGAGGGAAAGTAACTGCACATAGCCAATTTTTATAAGATTCTGCACAATCATCACATGTTCTTAATGGAGAGTATCTTGCATCTAACTCAGCATCGCAGGGTATCAACTGCAAAGCATATGAAAAATTAGTGTACAGTTGAGACGCAATAGCCTCATAAGTTGCAGCTAACAATGTTTTATTATGGCCTGCAAGTGATGAAGAAGGTACTGCATATGCAACCCCTCGGCAAAACTCTAAACTATGGATTAAAGAGCAGGTATCATCATCCATTGTAGTAAATGATTCTGCAGCGAATAAAATACCACCAACATCGGTTAAATTACCACTTTGTGCCACTTTTTTCACTAAGAATGAATAATAGGTGGTTGATGCATTTAGTCCCGTCACATAGAAATATTCAGACATTCCATAATTACTGGAGGAGACATATTTTTGGACTCTTAGTTGGTTCTCATCTAAATTTTTACTTGTTGTGTTTTCTGTTGCAGAAGTGGTCAAATAGTTTCCATTTTTAATTGCACAAAGAGAATAGGTTAAATCTGCATTAACTATCTTATTATATTCCTCCTCAGTGTAAATATAAACGTCGTATAGGGAGGGGTCATACAATGTGTAATTAGTAGACGCAGATAGACTGTCGCTTGTCACATTACCAGACATAAGTAATGCAGAGTTGTCATCGGTATCCAATAATTCCAGCCAAGACCTTTCATCCCATTGATATACTAAATCGGTCTCTGAAATTGCTAAGTTATAATTCCAAACAAGGTCTTGATTAGCTGATGCAGATTCCAAAGGTTCATTTGTAGTAGTGTTGAACAATTGGACCATGACATACAAATCCGGATACGTTAACGTATCTATCAAAGTATTGTTAGTGCTGTTATAAATAACTTTAACGGGACTGACGGCTAGACTTTCCACATAACCAGCTGAAAAAAGTTGGCGTATTGCTAAAGATCTATTTGTGGCCATTGATTTGTTAAATGAATACCACATGGCCAATTCTACATCATTTGTAACATTATTTTTAATGTTCTGTTCCATGGCAAACCTATCATTAGGTAGATATAGAGGGTATCTACATATAGTACCACTTATAAAGACTAACACTTCATAACTTGGTGCAAATCCGGTCCCTGAGGCATTTATATTGATTGGGAAAGAGTAAAAATGTTGTTGTCCAGGAGTGATGTTTGCAGAGATCGGTTTCCAAGATGATATATTGAAAGAATTGGCCATGAAATCTTCTACTAACCCATTTCCTGTTTGGTCGAATCTACCATATTTCTGACCATAGACCGATGATATAAAAAGCCAACCAAACCAAAATATCAGAGAATCAATCATTGGAATGAATCATTTAAATTTGTTGAACGTGTATGTAAGAACGGTTTAATTATGCTACTGGAGAGGAGAGAAATATTAGCATACTTTAGAACGTACAACCTTCAACTACCAAATAGATGGTAGTGCAGGACAAAAGAAAAAAAAAAACTGAGATAGGAAAGGAAAAAAAAAAGAACATAGATGCTTGTCTATTTCAAGTTATAACAAGAAGATATGCTTCTAGAAATATACATTGTTAGAGGATAGTTGGTTGATTCGATGACTTTCTCTCTCTCTATTGAAAGAAGTCGAATGTCACTGATCTGCAATTTCTTCAAACTAGAAATTTTTGTGGAAAAAAAAAAAAAGAACAGAAGAAAAAGGAAAATGAAAAGTTTTCATTCTTCTGGTCTCGAAGAATTGATTGAAATACAAAAGAGAAAAGAAAGATGACTATATAGGCAGAAGTGGGTAATGAAGCCGGTGTGAGGTGTGAGGTGTACTAGTAGATTAAAACTACAACTTCCATAATCAATTACAAAAGCAATTCAGGTTTTTTCTTTGTCAAGTTTGATACAAATAGACTTAGGATAATTTAGGAACAACTTAGAAATTATAAATATATATTATACAGTACAAGAGGTCAAGATTTAAAGGGATGACGAGTGCAATTAAGGATAATAAAGATGAGAATTTACCTTGGGTAGAAAAATACAGACCTTTGGATTTAAGTGAAGTGTATGGTCAAACAGAGATAGTGGCTATTTTACGTAAATTCATTTCAGAGAACAAATTACCGCATCTGTTATTCTATGGACCGCCAGGTACGGGTAAGACGTCTACTATAGTTGCGTTAGCACGTGAGATATATGGGAAGAACTACTCTAATATGGTCTTGGAATTGAATGCGTCGGATGATAGAGGGATAGATGTTGTTCGTAACCAAATTAAGGAATTTGCATCCACAAGACAAATATTTTCAAAGGGTTTCAAGTTGATTATATTGGATGAAGCAGATGCAATGACCAACGCGGCCCAGAATGCATTACGGCGTATCATAGAGAAGTACACTAAGAATACTAGATTTTGTATCTTGGCCAATTATTCACACAAGTTGACACCAGCGTTATTAAGTAGATGTACCCGTTTCAGATTTCAGCCACTGCCCATGGAGGCTATAGAACGTCGTATTGCTAATGTTTTAGTGCATGAGAAGATTCAGTTGAGTGAAGATGCAGAAAGGGCATTAATCAAATTATCCAGAGGTGACATGAGACGTGTTTTAAATGTTTTGCAAGCAAGCAAGGCTACGTTAGATAAGGATGATGAAGACACCGAGATAGGTGAGGATATTATATACGAGTGCTGTGGTGCACCAAGACCCACTGATATTAAGCTAGTATTGAAATCTATACTAGAAGACGATTGGAATACAGCATATTATACACTGAACAAAGTACGCAGTTTGAAAGGGTTAGCATTAATTGATTTAATTGAAGGAATTATTGAGATATTAGAGACGTATGAATTAAAACAAGAGAAAACAAGGATAGAATTATTAACGAAACTAGGTGATATAGAATATTCCATTTCGAAAGGTGGGAACGACAAAATACAGAGTAGTGCAGTCATTGGTGCAATAAAGGGCTCATTTGAAAATGAATTGCTTTGAAAAAGTGAGTCCACCTATCTATTTTTCTGTAGTTATTGATTAAATATACATATATATATAATATATACCTATCTGCATTATTAATGGAAACCAGAATTCTTATCGATCTTTTCCTTTATTTCTTCCCCCTCCGCTCCCCTCCTTTTACACTCGATAAAGAAAAGACAGTTACAGATAGTTCACTGTTGTTGTTTCAAAGAGAGCTGTGAACTTTTCACAATCGTTTAAAATTAAACTCACCTTTTTCTCCTCCCTCCACATATATCAATTATGTCAATATATCCTGTGTATTTCCAAAAGGAATCTGTATAATATCAATACTAATACTAACTACTCCTACTAAAAATAATAATAATAATAAAAATTCACTAATGAAAGTAAGAGCTGGTATCACGAAAGAAGTTTCCTGTTTTGGACAACTGCCAAATTTTCTCTTCCGATGCGAAAAACGTCCGGAAATTTCTTTTTGGAGGAGACACGAAAAGTTTGTATGAGGTGTCTCTTTATTTCTTTCTCTTGTTGAATGTAAAAATAATCTATGCATTATTATTATATTATTATCACAACACTGTGTCTACAGTAACTGCTACTGTTACTATTACTGTTACTGTTACTACTGCAGTTGCTTATTGCTATTACTGCTGCTATTTTCATCACTGTTACTGTTGTATATTACCTCATTTTCGTGTCCTTTGGATTGGTGATAATAAATAATAGCAATAATAGTAAGAAGAAAAAGAAAAAGAAGAATGAGAGTGAGAGCAACGAATAGTAACTAGGATGAGGAAGACTAAAGACAGGAAGAGACGTTTCTATCTTTTCCACTCTTCAATTCCATCCCTTCACCTCACTTATGTAGATGACACATAAATGATTCAAAAAACAACTCTTGGAAATATCATTACAGTTATGTAATATATATCAAACGTATATATAAATTTTATACAATTCAAATCTACTCAGGAATGGTTTTTTTTTTGGATGTAGATATTATGCTTGTTCTGTTGTCTATAGAAGTTGGCTGTACACCAGAAGCGATACATTCCTGCCATTACCAATTTGGAGAAGAAAATATAGTTACACACTATATATTATTATAGTACAAAATGTCTGATGAAATAAAATTGGAGAGGTTGATGAAGAGCCAAATAACCAATCAAATGATAGATCAGCTAGTATATGAGACAGAATCAGTGATCTCTGTGGTCCCAGAACCTATAACAACCAAAAACAAACTACCCACTTTGCGTGAATTCATAATAAAATTAATAGATTACACCAACGTATACACACCTACCTTACTAATGACATTGTGTTATTTGAATCGTTTGAGTTTGAAACTGCCACCGCATGCCACCGGGATGCCTTCGAGTAGACATAGAATCCTCCTTGCATGTCTAATACTGAGTGCTAAAAACCACAATGATTCATCCCCACTAAATAAACATTGGACAAAATACACGGATGGATTATTCACTTTGCAAGACGTGAATCTGATGGAACGACAATTACTGTCACTACTGGATTGGAATGTCATAATACGAGAAGACGAATTGTTGGAAGTTATGGAATCTCTATTGAACCCCAAGGTGTCTTCTGGCTCATCACTATATAAATTGGGAAGGGAGGACTCTATATGGTCTACTCTCAGTAGTTCAAGTACGCTAGTGAATCCACTGTCTCAACAGGATCTAAATAAGCCATTACGAGAGTACAATATGGTCAATAATTTAAAGAAGAAGAAGAAAGTATTCATTTTAAAGGATAATATCCTCGAAACTACAGGTGATACTAGTAATAATAATTTGAAAAGAAGTGAAAAGACTTGGTCTTTAGGGAAAATAATGAAACAATATGGATTCTAGGGTTAATAAAAAAAAGAATAAAAACAAGAATATATATATACATATATATACAAATACATTATAGAGATATAGATTTGATACCCAATTACTTATAGATTACATACATCATTTACCTTTAATTGTTATGGAAATTACTTAATACGGAGTTGCAAGCATATATATATGTGTGTGTGTTTTCTATTACTTTTTTTTGCCTGTTTTAACTGAACTGACCCGCTCTATAAAGTTAAGGGATTATGAGAGGTGTCAGCAGGTGACAACAAGTGTAGAACTAAAATACATTTGTATCCATCCATATCATGCCAAAGTAAGATATTAATCAATAATTAATCAACATTGAGGATCGAAAACTAAATCATAACATAACAGATTTGATATTATGATACAGCAGATACTTCGTGTAGAGTCATCAATACATGGATCAGCTTGAATGGCTCAAACATTACCCTAACCCTAATGCAACTTTTTTTTTTGGTGGATTGGATAAACCCTAGCTGTAAATATACTGTTATCATTTTACACGGTATAGTCCGGGTAACACAATCAATCAATTTTTTCTTGTGTTTTTTTTTTTGTATAAAATCTCTGCAGCAAAAAAAAAGATATAGAATTCAAGAAAAAAATTTTATATAAATAGAGACGGAGGGTACATTTTCGATATTGCCAATTTTTAATGTCGCTTTTGTGTGGGCTTTTTCCCGTCAGCTGCCGCCGGGAATGACGACCATCGAGCTGAGGTATATGTGGCGTATGATAGTTGTATCGTGGCCAATTTATATCTTTATTTGTTATTGTTTCCTTAAGGGTAAGAAGGAGGAAAGAAGAGCAAGATATTGTGAATAATGATAATAATGGAAAGATGTGTAGATGACGATACAAACGCTGTGCACCAGTCTGAATTTTGGCATCTATTAATGTACTCAGATGTCATTGAAGTATCAAGTATACCCAAATTTCTGATCCATCTTTTTGTTTTATTTCATTTTACTTTATTTTATATAGCTTGTTTGGTTCTCTTTTTCTTTTGTTATCTTTCTTGTCGTGTACCTTGTTTATAAGAGCAGGGGGGGGAGTTTGTTGGTCTGGTGTTTGAATTTCTGCAATGCGGTGTAATATGGCGGTACTCTGTGTCTTAAAAAAGGGGGAATGTGATTTTGTTTCATTTGCTTGTTCTTTGTAGTGAGTGTGGAAGTAGCTTTTTGTAATCTTGACTTTTGATAGATACAGTAGGTTCAGAGGTCAGACGCCTCCATTGTGAGCAGTGAATTGTTTAAATTTATCCTTCTAATTCAATAATATGTTAAAAAAAGAAAGAAAAAAGACAAGATGAACTATTATTTTGCTCATTCTTTTTTGCCTGTTCATTTTCAAAAAAAAAGTGTTTTCACATTGGATATATAGATTTTATAACTAACTGATTCATAATTCCTTATCTCTCCTTTACTTTTCGCCAATGTAAATGGCATTCAGCAACATTCATTTGATTCCTTAGCGATCTACTTTCTTCGTTAATATCCATTGACATTGAAATTGATTTTTTTTTCTTTACTGAATTTTGATAAAGTTTTAACTATGGAACTTCTTCACATATTTCAGGATCATTGTTTTGTTACGACATTGTGTTTAGTATAATCTGTATATTTTATAAACTATTACTCGCACATTTTAAATAATACAAGCATCATATATAAGACTATATAAAGTATAGCTGTATATATATATATATATACTAGAGTGATAGAAAAAAAAAAGTTGACATCTAATTGTAAAAGAATATTTTAATATAAGAATCACAGTGTTTATTTATGTTTCATATTTTACAAATTTCCATTTGAACACACCAGATAATGCATTTTTCCATGCTTATAATTGTTACTTGTTGAAATGCGATTAGAGACATATGTTATAAACTAAATAATTTGTTTCAAAAGACAGAAAAATTTTTATAATAGCATATAAAAGAAGAGTTAAAATAAAATGTGTTATAATGTATATCGGTTATATATGTGTATTAAGTATGTGGAACAGAATAGAGCAAGTAATACAAGAACACCTTATAATACCACCAATATTATATTGTAAGTTTATGTTATCTTATTATAATAATTTAAAATGAATGTTGGTGGAATTTTTTGTTATTGAAGCCTTGCATCAACATAACTTGGCAAGCTATTTCATTGTTGATAAATTATCATGGCACTTTTCGTATAGTACTGTCTCCGTGTGGCATTTTATTTTGATGGTGTATACTTTCTTGATCCTTTTTCACAGCAAATATTAGTATACATAATATTTTTAATTCTACACAGGAGAGTTTAAATAGTCTTGTTTTTATGTTTTACCATTTTAAAATAAATTGTTTATTTTATGAGAGATCCATCTTATTTCAACCACTAATTTCATCACTATGAATACAATAAAAGAAAAAAGCCACATAAATTTCAAAAAATTCATAACAAACATAAAAAAACATAAAATGTTGAGAATGAGCGCCTTTATTCATTGGATATATAGTAAACATTCTCAATATTATATTAAACAGATTTAGTATACAAAATTATAATAAAGTTCTTCACTTTCTTTCTCTATATACAACATAGAAATAATAATATACAAAGATTGTAAATAAGATAAAAATAATGTATGATGAAATCCTTGGCTTTATATATGTTAATATTGAGCCATTTTCCTCTACGAACGGTAAGATATTTAATAAACAAACTCAATAACTTTTGGTGACCTCTCAACGATTATTACTCAACAATTTATCGTTAATGTCTGCTAAAATCTTATTGTTCTATCTATTTTATTATAGAACATTCTACTTCAACATAAAAATCAAGATTTTTTTAAATTGTGAACAAAGCAATAATGCAAGATCATAAGGTGGATAAATTAAATTTTTATTTTCTCAATATGGAACATTTTCTGTTATACGTATCTATTGCCTGACTGGAAAGAAACCCCCCATCTACAGTCGAATAGTAAAAAATAGAACTACAGCTTTTTCAATTCCATAAGAATCCCTCTCTTTTTCTCTTTTCCTACTCGCACCAACAATATATTATCAATGCACATATGACCTATTCTCTGTAACGTGTATAATTTATGACTATTACGCATGTTTACTACGTCTTCAACCTCATAAGCATCAATTGTTCTTTTTTTTTTTTTGTAAGGGAAATAGACTTCTCTTCGGATTTGACGGAATTTTTCAATCCCACCACTTTTCCGCAATTCTGAAAAAAAGAAAAAAAAAACTGAAAACAGAGCACGTGACTTGTTCGTGTTCCATGACAAACCGCACCAGAAGTTTCTCTCTAATTTCCAGCCATCTTTAAAAACCTTTGGGAAGGAACATTCTAAGACGCAGAATGGGTGGGGATGGGATGGAGATGGAGGTGACGAAAAGTGATAACAAATAGCATTGAAAAGACAACTACAAAATATTCATAACTGAGAGCTACATACTTCAGATTTACATGTACACTCTATCCCTCTCTGTATATATATGTGTACATCTGCCTAATAGTAGCCTTTCAACGATTAATATTTTAAAATATCAACAAGACTTATCCTTTCTAGTGAGACACCAACAAAACAGGAAAAAGAGAAAGGACTGAAGACAAGAAAGAAAAGAAAGAAAGAAAGAAAGAAGAACGAAGAAGTAAGAAGAACTTTAAAAAAAAGTATCTATTGATATTTAGTACTACTTAAGGTCTCTCCTATTCATTTTTTCTTTTTCTAAAAAAACAAACAAACAAAGTATTGAATAGGAAAAGAAAGAGGTTAGACTCAAAGTTTTTAAAAAAAACCCATACTTCAAATAAGAATAGTACTGACTTGTTTTCTCATTTCCCCTTATCTCCTCATAATATTAAAGTATTGTAATACATAATGATGTTTGTTAATAATCCAGTTTACACTTCTACCACTGCCAACAACCAGGCTAATAATACAACCACAACCACAGCTACAGCCACAGCCACAACCAGCAATCAAACAACTAATACGATTGCTACAGCATCTGGTGCTCCAGTCAATACGGCTAATGCTTCTACTAGTACTAATGCCACTAACAATGTCCCTTCTAGTCAAAATATTCTTATAAGCACTTTAATGAATAATGCTAATACTAACGCTAATGCTAACACTTCTACAACCAATATGTCTCCACCTGGTATAGCCCCAACTACTACTGTTCCAAATCAAACTAATCCTGAAACAAAATCGCATAACATCAACGCTAACACTAACACCAACACCAACAACAACAATAACAACAATAGTACTAATAACGCTAATAACAATACACCTTTTGTGCATGCTTTGGAAGATCCAAATATTTATCACTGGATCTGCCAATTAACATACGGCCCCCAAAAAGAACAAGCTCTCTTAGAACTAGGTCGTAAGAGAGAACAATTTGACGATCTAGCAATTGTATTATGGTCTTCGTTTGGTGTAATGACTTCCTTACTATCTGAGATTATATCCGTTTATCCAATGCTACAACCAAATTTACTTTCGAATCAATTATCTAATCGTGTTTGTAACGCTTTGGTACTTCTACAATGTGTGGCTTCACACCCAGAGACCAAACATTCCTTTTTACAAGCGCACATCCCATTATTTTTGTTTCCCTTTCTAAACACAACTTCAAGACAAAGAACCTTTGAATATTTAAGATTGACTTCCCTTGGTGTAATTGGTGCACTAGTAAAAAATGATTCACAAGATGTCATCAGTTTCTTGTTAAGAACAGATATTGTTCCCCTTTGTCTAAGAATCATGGAATCGTCATCTGAATTGTCTAAAACTGTAGCTATCTTCATATTACAAAAAATTTTATTGGCAGATATTGGATTGCAGTACGTCTGTGCTACATTGGAGAGATTTTATGCTGTCACTAACGTCTTAAAAGATATGGTAGAACATTTAACTGTCCATACACCACCGGGTAGGTTATTGAAACATATCATCAGATGTTATTTGAGGTTAAGTGATGATCTGGAGGCTCGTAGATTATTGAAGGTCGTATTACCACAAAAATTAAGAGATAATACATTCACAGAGGTTTTAAAAGATGATGTTGGGTCGAAAAGATGCTTAGCTCAATTACTACTAACTCTGAATGAAGATATTCAACCACAACCACAGCCACAATTACAACAACATGGTATACCACCACAACCGATGCAACATCAATCCCAACTACAAATACCTCTACCGCAACCACAACAACCTCAACCCCAAATGACACAATAATCAATAAATCCATGAATCAGTTAATTATAAATAGTTTTCTTTAACAAAAGTACTATTCACCTATACGATTAACGAACCTCAGCATTTTAATACAAATAAACGAAATAAGTAATCAAGTAAACATTACACACATAGAGATACACATGTATAATCCTTTTTATCCTTCATCCCCTCATATCATACCTCGTATTCTTCCTACTATCTATATCCCTTATATATTTATAAAATAATTCAGCCATCAATATCCTAATTTTTGTTACAACAAATACATATAAAAATATATGGTATAGACCAACTAAGCCATAGTGGGAGAAAACCATCAAACCTCATCTCTAACGTATCTATTTCTCTCTCTTTCTTTCTCTCTGTATATATATGTATATTATTTATGGTTCTTTATTATTTGAAGGTATCATCACTTCACACGACATTTCAAGGACTTTATTATGAAAAATAAATGTAAGATGGAGAGAACCAAAAAAGAATGATCACATATCCAGGCATATATTTACGTATATGCAAAAAACACAAAGGTATATATTCATGTACTCTTTATTGTAATCTATCTGGTAGAATAAGAAGTCAGGAATACACCAAAATTAGTATCTGGTTACTTAATTGTGATTGAATAACAGGCAGTCCAGACCACACCATGTCTACCAAAACGTATAAAAAATCAGAAAATCAAATAGCAGGTGAATTGTCTGATAAGATGACAATCTATCAGGATTGTATGAATACGTTCAATGAGTTGCCTGTAAATGCTAAGAGATGTCGTATCTTAATTTCTCGTCTATTAAGGTTATTAGCTAATGGTGAAACATTCCCTGAAAGCGAAGCTACTGCGTTATTTTTCTCTGTCTCCAAATTATTCCAACACCAAGATGATTCACTAAGACAAATGGTTTATCTTGCTATCAAAGAATTAAGCAGTATTTCTGATGATGTCCTTATGGCCACTTCTTCCATTATGAAAGATATTCAAAACGGGTCCAATTTAGTCAAACCTAACGCCATTAGATCTTTAACTTATGTGCTAGACGAATCCACTGCGTTCTCCGCTGAAAGATTATTGAAGAGTGCTGTAGTGAACAAACATCCTGCTGTATCTAGTGCAGCTTTGTGTACTTCTTACCATTTACTGCCAATTTCTGAAACTACAATCAAGAGATTTTCTAATGAGGCACAAGAGGCTATCGTTGATTTAAAACAGTTTCCACACTCTTCAATGGATAATAGTGAATTTTATCCAAATTCAACTTTTATCTCTCAATACCATGCATTAGGTTTAGTTTATCAATTAAAAAAAAATGATAAAATGTCTTTATTAAAACTTGTTAGACAATTTGCCGAAGCTAATACTCTTAAAAATCAATTAGCTAAAGTTCAGTTAGTCAAATTAGTCAATGATTTGATTCATAGAGACCCACAGTTATTCACACAATTCCAATCTTTATTAGATAACTGGTTAACAAACAAATATGAGTCTGTTCAATTAGAGACTGCTAAATTGATTACTTCTTTTTCAATCAACAACAGTCATCTTGTTTCACAAGAATTGTATATTTCTGCTATTAACACACTACGTTCTTTGTTGACTGTTCCACGTGTTACTACCAGGTTTGCTGCATTAAGAGTATTAAATAGAATCTCTATTAATAACCCAGAAAAGATTATGGTTTGTAACCCAGAATTGGAATCATTAATTAATGATTCAAATAGAAATATTTCTACTTATGCAATCACCACTTTGTTAAAGACTGGTAACGCTAAAAATATTTCTTCTTTAGTCTCCACTATAACAAAATTCATTCATGAAGTTTCTGATGATTTTAAGATTATTATTATTGATGCAGTACGTACTTTGTCCTTAAATTTCCCACAAGAGTGGAAATCAATAGTCAAATTTTTAATTGATGTGTTAAAAAATGGTGAAGGTGGTTTGAAATTCAAAAACAGCATCATTGAAGCAATCATTGATATTGTTTCATTTATTCCACAATCCAAAGAATTGGTTCTTGACAATTTATGTGACTTTATTGAAGACTGTGAATATAATGAAATATTAGTCAGGGTTTTACATTTACTAGGTAAAGAAGGTCCATTTACATCTAAACCTTCCTTATACGTTAGGCATATCTATAACAGAGTCGTATTAGAAAACTCCATTATTAGATCTGCTGCTGTCATTTCATTATCTAAATTTGCTTTAACCAAGAATGATCCAACATTAAAAGACTCCATTGTCAGTCTTTTAAGAAGAATTGCTAATGATCAGGATGATGAAGTTAGAGATAGAGCCACAATTGCATTGGAGTTAATTGATGCTTCTGAAAATAAACACAGTCTTGTTGCTGAACAATTAATTCAATCCAAATATTATTATGACTTAAACTCATTGGAAAACAAGTTAACTAATTATATGTCTGCAAACGATGATTCATTCAAGACTCCATTTGATGTATCATCTATTCGTAAATTCACTGAAGATGAGGTTAAAGCCATGAAATTGAAGAAAAAACAACAACAAGCTGTTGGCAATAATGTCGAAAATACAAAGGATGCTGTTGTACCAGGAACAAAACAAACAGATAACAGAATTGATAATGACACTTACCAAGGTGCAAATCTTCAAGAACATCAAGAAGATTTATTAGAAACAAAATATGCTGATGAATTATTATCTATTGAACAATTCAAAGAATTTGGTAATTTAATAAATTCATCAAAACCAATACCATTGACTGAACCAGAAGCAGAATTTGTGGTCCATGCAGTCAAACATTTGTTCAAAGATCATGTAGTCTTCCAATTCAATGTTTCTAATACATTGACCAACGTCGTTTTAGATAAAGTTACTGTGGCTTGTTCTTCAGAGGGAGACAACCAATTGGAGGAACTATTCACATTACCAATTGATAGATTATTACCAAATACCGAAGCTGCTTGCTATGTTGCCTACAAGAAAGACGAGGCCTTCGCAATGGAAGGTTTTATAAATATCTTACATTTTACGACTAGAGAGTTAGATCCAGAAACCAATGAACCATTTGAAAATGACGAAGGTTTCGATGATGAATATGAAATTGATCCAATATATTTGACTGCTGGTGACTATGTCAAGAGCTCATTTACTGGTAATTTTGAAAACACCTTTGCTGAATTACCTAGTGAAGATGTTGCTGTATACAATATCAAAGAAGACCTTTCCTTACAAGAAATTACTGATAAGTTAATCTTGAACACAAGTTGTCTACCTGTAAGTAATACCCAATTTGCTCCAAATGACACCAATTCTCATACTTTGAAATTGTTTGGGAAAAGTGTTTTTAATGGTTCCAAGGTTGCATTAGTTGTTAAGATGATTAAAAGTTCAAAGGGTATTGCTTTAAAGGCTCAAGGTAGAGGTGAAGATGCTACTTTGTGTGCTGATTTAGTTAACAACCTTATGTAATGATCATTACACAAAATAAAAAAAGATAAACTATCACTTTTAAGTTATTAATCCATTGACAAATATTGATTTCACATATTTTTATATCCGTTTTTCTATCAACCCCTTTTTGTATATTTACTCATACAGATATATATATGTACACAATTATATTAATAAGCTTTGTTTATTAATATTGTGCTTGTATATTTAATTACCATAAAATATTGTTGAAGTTAAAGAATTATCCATAGTAATTTATGTGAAATATGGCAATAGCTCATTATGGAACTTTTTCACAGTTAAAGACAGTTTTGCCTTATTGTGCACACCGTTCACTATACAACCGAATTGAAAAATAAAATCTTTCTTCATTACAGTTCAAAATCAAGTATATATGGTCAGAAGATCACCAATATATGCATGTGTTTACATGACATTCCTACAACAAGAGACCCAGAAAACAAAGATACCTGGATTCAATTCTCTATTTAATATTCTTTACTTGTGTTGGTTTAGTGACAGAGCTGATATTGATGGATGAAGAAGAATTAGAACTTAAAGAACAATTAAGACGTGAAAAAAAAGCCATCATAGAAGAAAGGAAAAGAAAACGTGAAGAAGCCAAGATTGACTGGAAGAATTCCAAAAGCAAAAATGACAATAAACAGAGTACAAATATCTCCTTGAAAGCTGTATATATTTCAAATTTACCTATTGATTGTGAGATTGATGCTTTGCGTAATGATTTACTGCATGAATTTAATAAATTTGGAGATATTGAAAGAAGTAAAGACGATAAAATAAAATGTAAGTTATATACAAATGACCAAGGAGAACTTAAAGGAGACGCTTTAGTAGTGTATTGTAGAAAAGAATATGCTACATTAGCTATTGAAATGATGCATGGTTATAATTTTAAAGGTAAACAATTGTCAGTTGAATACGCCAATTTCAGTGACAAGAAGTTTATAAACAATAATGAAATTCCCAATCAAGATAATGAAGTAAATGATGGCAACGATGATGTTCAAAATAAAAGAAGGAAGGTAACAAATGATATTATTCTAAATACTAACATTGATTCAAGGAAGGAGAAAACGTTGGTGCTGGCTAATGTGATTGATATATATCGAGACCTAGAAACTGATGAACTCCAAGAAATTGAAGTAGACCTTGTTGATGGGTGCAAATCCTTTGGATCCATAATTTCTCATGCTATGTATGTAGATAAAGGTGAATTTCATATCACTTTCTCAGATAGGAATGGGGCGTTAGCATGCTGCAAAATTATGAATAGAAGATACTTTGACGGAAGAAAATTATTTGCATACATATTAAATGAGGAAGACTTATCTGATGATACATTAGAATCAAATTCTGAAACAGAACTCTTTATGGAAGAGAATGAAAATTTTATAGACGATGACGGTAGAATATAGAGAAAAATGAAAACGATATACAATTTTCCCCTATCACTATTAAATTAGTACATTTTTCAGGTTTTTTGTTTTTTTGGGTTTTGTTTGACTTACTCAGTATATTTGTGAACAGGATATATTAAATTTTTACTTGAGGTAGAGTTATTTCAATTAATCGTAATTACATTCATTTATTCTTTTTAACTCTTAGCAAACGAGCAAATTTCTGATATTATTAAATTTATTTTTACTTCTACTCAAAATAAACTCTACTCCAAGAATGATTAGATGGTACAAGGCTAAAATGAGAAGAAAATAAGGTTGTAAACTTTTTACCCAATATTGAAAGTAGGATATATTCAAATTACTAAAGCTAATAGCAATCTAGACAAATATTTTTATTGATCAATTGTTTCCAATTGAATGAAAAAACTTATTATTGATTTTGTTTTAAAATAAAACAGACAAACAAACAAAGTTATACACTATACGTATATATACATCAAGTTACTTCTACAATTTGTAATGTTGTTTTGTTGTTTCGTAATATGATATCTGTCTAAACCATTTGTTAATCTGCAAACACAGTGATATTCTAGTGAACTAATTAATTCATTGGAACCTCTAGTGTTTATTCTCTACAATAGTAAGAAGACAAGTCATTTAGAGAGATTATAAAACAACGAGTTATACCAAGATATTTAGATGAACATGCCACTTTATTTGTTAAACCTATTTTAGCTACTGTAACTTATGCCATTCTAATTACGACATAGCCATCCGTGTTTTTCATACTTATAAAATTTAAGCTTAATTATCTAGACTAGAAAAATCTTCCTCATACAGAATAGTATATTCTATTTATCATGTTTAAAGAACAATAGCAGTAATTATTTATCATATATTGTACCCCAAAAAAAGCCCATAACACATGGCAGGTCTTCTTCCATTACAGTTTTTGTATACTTATCAATGTGATCAAAGTATTAACGTTAAAAGACCTGCAAAAATATGAGCGGTACGAGAATCGAACCCGTGTCTCCACCTTGGAAGGGTGGAATGATAACCACTACACTAACCGCCCATCAACAACTGCTATCTGTTATAGAATAGAATAATAATTACCATGATTAGAGAATTGAGGTCCACTACTGCACCTAGATTAATGTAATAAATTTTAGGGTTTGAATCAGTCAGATCATTAATGTACTAATCTGAATAATCAATCGAGCTCCAAAAAACACATAAAAAGACAACATTTTCTGGAGATAAAAGATCATCTTCCATAACCGTTTTTTGTAAATAATCTATATATTGTATAAAAACATAAATAGAAAAACAAGCAATAATCCTTAATTCTCCTATATATAACGTTCTTATATATTTGTTATTGCCCTTACTATTCGTTCAATAGTCCTGTTAAAGAATTAGTCCTAAGTCCAAACTATAACATTATCTTGTTGTAATATAATGTGATCAGAGTTTTGTATTATTTGGGGAAGCAGTAGAAATATCAAACGGATAATCTATTAATAATCGAAACAATAATTGATACAATCGGTAATGAAATTATTAATACAGTCTTATATATTAACGGCTATATCGAGTTTATATAATTATATTATTTGCTTATTGTATTCTGCATTCGATGTTCGATGGTTGTTTGTTATTTATTTTATATATAATATATTTAAATTTTGTGTAAGAGAGGAGTGACGGAAGATAGTTCCATCTACAGAAAACGTTGTCCTTTTATATGTTTTCTGGAACTCTATCAACTCTGGAACTCTATCAACTATTCAACTTGATATATTAATGGATTAGTAGTCCATATCTTTATTATTAGTTACAATAATATAATCGAAGATCATAGAACATTTAGGACAATAGGTTATGGTGGCACAGCAACAAGAGTACATTAATACGGGGCAGATGAACACAATAGATAATTCTAAATTCAGCTAGAATCTTATGCAATTTCAATGGTAATGGTATCTTGTTACACAACATACTTTTAAGAAAGATAACATTACTAAGATTTTTTATGAGAAATTAACCATCTATTGCTATTGCACCACTTAAGATTGTGTACTGGCTGTTTAACAATGTCACCTGCTATTGAAAATATTTCATGAGATTTTATCAAAATATTTAATTAATTATTATGATATAAAATTGTTAATCCGGTAATATATTAAATTGGATAGTTAATTAAGGTTCAGAGACATATAATGGGCAGTAATTTTGAGAAAAGAATCTGCCTTCTGTAATTCTTCATTAACATTTAGTTTATATACATTACTGTATATAACAAGGACCAGAAGGAAGAAAACAAAACAAAAACAAAATAAAAAAAGATATGTTTTTGATGACATTTGGGGTAGTTGTCATTCATAAAAAAGACGAAGATCCTTCAGTTATACAATATTAATAAAAAAATATTCATTAACTTCAACATTTTTATTAAAGATTTTTATATACTTATACTCTCTAGAAAATACTTTTAGTGAAAAAAATAAATATTTTGCAAGTTACAAAAACTCTAACAAAATAGACAATTATAACTTCCATGAATGATAATTTACTTAACTCCTTCTAGTATAAGTGACCATAACAAAACGTTTATCCAATCAGTTTTCTCCTCCCTTATCATAAAGTGTCTTATCACTTACACCTACTTTTTCTTCTTGTTGTTTCAAGTTGTTGATTCTATCTTTTTTCTGTTATTTCTTCATTCATATACAACAATCTCTATCTTTATAATGCGACTAATCTTTTTTTTTTATAAATAGATGAGACTCTCATCTGTTTTTCTTTATTGGACAATATTCTAAAACAAAGTTTGCTAAGCCTATAATGCATCAAGCATCCTTACTAAAAGAAAAAAAAGGTTGGTATATTAGAATTTCTAGTATATTTCAAACTGTGAGATATAAGTCGAAGAGAGATTTTACATAAATCTGGAATAAAGAAATAAAAAAAAAATATTAATATAATATAATACTATGTTAATTATAAAAACAACAAAAGATGCAAAAAAAATAATGAAAAAAAAAAATACTAAATATCGGGTTTCTCTTATGCCCAAATACGGTATCCACTTCACTATACTATATTAAGATACCTATTTCAATACCAAATATACTTATACCTTGCAACAACACTCTTAAAGATCGAACTTCTAAAGCCAGATTTTCACTTTGATAATTAACATGTATTTTCCTATTTCTATCTTAAAAGATTTTTTACGCAGTTTCCTGATTTTATATATATATAAATCTACAGAAAACACAAACTGTCATTTTATGATTAACCAAATCATGACTCCAGGATTAATTAACATACAATGCGTTCTGGTGTACAAACCGTAATATCTATAGAAAGCTATAGACATTTAAAAAATAAAAAAAAAGCTTTGTAAAAGAAAACAAGTAAAAGAACCATTCAATAATGATAAGCTTTGGTAAATGCTGTTTTTATAGGTTACACATATCAAGTATCTTATGATTTTTGTTGATGTGTAAATCAGGGTTTATCAGATTGTTTTTACTTTTGCAAAAAAATGTAAAAATAAAAAAAAATTACTTACCCTAAAAAAATTATTTTCAGTAAATATTTAGCTATATCTACGTAAGTTTTAAACATTCTGTTGATAGAACCATACCTACAGGTCATAAATGTATCCAAATTTAATATGTAAAATAGGGCAAAACTATATAGAGAAGGGATAATAATATTGGTTAAAAATACCAACAAGCATTGGTGTTCTGCTACCTTTGCTTCCATCTAATCCATAAAAAGAAAAATTTAATTAAATGATCCTGTCCTGTACATGTCAAGAGACAAAGAAAAGGAATGCGATAGCCCCTCGATCAAACAACATCATCAACAATATGAAATAGTAGGAGACATAAGTCGTATATATGATGATTCAACGGATCCTATGGTTCAGGGACAAAAAGAACCACACTCATCTTCGTCAACTGAGTCCACAATTGGGATTATTACAGCTATAGGCCGTTCTTTGACATATAGATTAACTTCATTCTATCTAAAAACACCGATCAAATTATTTCGACCACCAAGGTTTGATATATACCATTATGTGAGAGAGGAAATGAACAATAACAGGATTAACAAAAAGAAAAAATTTTATCACAGATCATCATTGTATATTCTTAAGCAAGCACTACACAAATATGGCTGGAAAATTATACCAAAGATTATTGTTCCTCCAATCTTTGTTAATTCTTTGACAGGTGTTGTGCTATATTCGACATATATCCATGCAATTCCAAACAAACCTGCTGAGGATATTACGTGGTTCGAGTATTTCAAGACTGGTTGTGTTGCAGGTATAGCACAAACTATAGTGGCGACGCCTATTGATGCCATATATGTTCGAGCACGCACAGATGCACTTTTATCACCTGGTTATATCAGTGATAAAAGTAATGGAATAGCTAATCTGTGGATATATGGTTGGAACAAATGGAAACAAATCGGTATCGTTGGATGTTATGCGGGGTTTAATCTGACAGTGATAAAGGAAATGTTAGGATTTGGCTGTTATTTTAGTATATTTGAAAAGATGAAATTACAATTGTCAAATGAGGTTAATCATAATTTGGGAGATGATACTGAACAGACAAGAAATAATAAATGGAAACAGAGTTTTGTTACATTTATATCAGGGATTACAGCTGCATTTACGTTACAATGTATTCAATTTCCTATAAGTAAAATACAAAAGATACATTTTCAACGGCTAGAGATTTTAGATTTATTGGCTTTACCCGAAACCGTTTCAGCTTCAACCCAAAATGCATATAGTCAATTATTGAGTGTGTCTCACATCTACTGGCACTCATATGTGAATACACTACGGTATATTAAAAGAAAATATGGTTCGAAAAATGTGTCACAACTCATATTATGGCTATATAAAGGATTTACCAGAAACACAATGGCCATAATACCAAGTACCACTACAGGGTTAATAGTTTTAGATTATGTGAAAAGAAAATTGGAACCAATATGACATGTGAAGAAATACATATATATATATGCTTTATAAATCCATATCTTTTTTTTTTTTTCTTTTTTATAATTTATTTATTTTTCATCTAAATAAATCAGGTCTTGGTGACCATACAGTCTCTGGTTTTGTGAAATCTATGTTATGGTTTTTAAAGAATTGGTGTGTTATAATATCATGTAAACTCAATCTTTGACCTATATCTTTATTAAGAACCCCTTTAACCAGATCAGTCAATTGCGATGATATATTATTTGGACTATTCGAGAGAATTTCATTTATATCACAGTCTGTGATTTTTTTAAAAGTTAAATACTCAGTTTTATCCTTAAACGGTGGGATTCCAAATTTCATTTGATAAAAGATGCATGCTGCTGCCCAATAATCACATCTATAATCAGTGTATCCTGAAGCCAATAATTCTGGTGTCACATATTCTGCTGTGCCTACAAATGAGTTTGAACGGGTCAGAAGATTATAAGTTTCATTCCTATCATCGTCATGTTCATCATGTTTATCATCTAGGGGAGTCAAGATTTTAGCAGATCCGAAGTCAGATAACTTAACTGTCCATTTATCCGTAAAAAGTATATTTTCGGGTTTAATGTCTCTATGGATGATCCCATGACTTTGGATAAATCTAATGACGTCAATTAATTGTGCTCCAATATAAGCAATACTGGATTCATTTTGAGCATTAGTTGAGTCTTCTTGAATATACCTTAATAGATCGCCATTTGGAAGGTATTCCATGATATAGTATAATGAGTCCTTATCTTGTAATGTGGCAAACAATATTACGCAACCAAAATAAGAAATATTACTACTAGTACTATTACTTTTAAGGAATGCCTTTAATAATTTTTGCATAGAATCTCTCTCAATAGAGGCATATTTAACCTTTTTGTTCCTGATTAGGTGTAATTTATGCACACATTTGATTGCATATAATTTTCCTGTTATTTTTGATTTAGCTAAATCGACCTGTGAATAAGACCCTGTGCCTAATATATCCTGTGTCACAAATGTATTCAAAGCCCATTGCTCTTGAGTATTCATTTTCCTTTTATCAAAAAAACAAAAACAAAAACAAAAAAAAAAAAACAACAAATCGAACCACTGCTATGTGGATATATTTTATTCTTATTCTATTCTTTATGTAACAACGACCAACAAACTTCCACGCGGGGTCTTTACAAAGCAAGAGCCATACTATTTTACTGAATAGAATAAAAATAAGCTCATCTCTTTGTCAGACACTTTCAAATGAATGGAAACAGTATTATGGATGAAAAAGGGAGGAACGGGGAAAAAGAGAGGGAGGGAGTGCAAAAAGAAACAAACCTAAAAGAAACAAACAAATGAAACAGAAAAAAGACAAAACCCTAATAAAGCATGCCGCAACTTCTGAACAGTAACTCTAAATCTGTGAACAAGCCCTGGTCTAGAGGAATGCATTTATACAAGAGTTTCTTTGTTTTTGTTTTTGTTGTTTTTTTCCTCTCCCGTACCCCCATTGTATATTGCGAAAAACAGTACTGATGAGAATAACCAAAAAAAATAATAAAAAAAGCAAATAATAAAAGGAGAAAATAAAACATTCAGAGAAAAAAATTTGTTGAGAATTGCCCATTGTTATTTACTATTGTTATTTGTCTGTGTTTCTCGGGTTTTAGTGTTTTTCGGATTTTAAACCTTAACCCTAACCCTAACCCTCTTTTGTTTTTTTGTCTTTTTGTTTTGGTCGAATTCCCCTCGTTCAATCGACGTTGTCAATCAAATCAAAACAATCAAAACAATCACAAAACAATTGAATATTTCAGCCATTTATTATGTATTTTTTATTCTTGGTTTTTCCCTTTTCTTTTTCTTTTCTCTTTTCTCTTTTGTTGAAGACATTATAGAGATGCTTAGATAAGATGACATGTTATTGGAAAAAGCATATATATACATATATACATACATACATACATACATACATACATATATATATATAAACATTATGAAAGATACTGTTTTTTCTATTTTTTCTATTTTTTCTGTTTAATTGATTGATTTACTTTATACATACACAAACGTATATAGAATCTATTTGTCGTTCTTGAGTGTACTGTTACGTACACAAACTTGTGTTGTGTAGTCCTTTGGTAAAAACAGAGGGATTGAAGTTAACCAAACTAGTTTGTTTATATATTTATATTAATATATATTGATAGAGTATGACAGACTCTAACGTTAAAGTCAATATCTGTCCCATTGAGGAACATGAACATGAACATGAATATGAACATGAACACACTTTTTTGAAGAAAAGAATCCAATATAGACGTAAAAGTACTTCAATTGTAAGTAAAACAACCGACACTATTCAAGATAATATCGTTACCACAACTACAACTACCACCACAACAACTACAAGCACCACAAAGACCAATTACATCTATTACAAAAAACTCTGCACATTCCATGAGTTACCATCCTGGCAAAGAGATAACGATAAAATTTTAAGTGGTTACGTGAAAGAAACGAACTCTTTTAGACACTGTCTATTATCCCTGTTTTATTTCCATAACGAATCCATCAACGTCTACTCACATTTAATCCCATCGATCATATATATGGCATTAGGCATCTTCCTACTAGACAAACTTTGTATCAAAGTTTTCCCAAGTACCACCCTATACGATTATATCTTCATCAACATCTTCTTACTGGGTTGTGGTACTTGTCTCCTATTCAGTGGATGTTTCCATTGTCTGAAACAACATTCAGAGAGACAGAGCATCCTGTGGTCCAAGATAGACTACATCGGAATCATTCTGCTGATCTCCTGCTCCATGATCTCGGTCATCTACTATGGCTATTTCGACCATCCAAATATCATGTTCTCCTTCATCGCCATGGTGGTGGTCCTTGGCAGCCTGTGTTCCCTCGTGGTCACCAACGACGTCTTCAACCAACAGCACTGGAAACACGTCAGAGCCACATTCTTTGTCACCTTTGGATTAAGCGGTTCTGTCCCCATGATCTTCGGCATAATCAAATTCGGCTATCTGGAAGTCCTGAACCGGATATGTCTTAAATTTATCTGGCTGGAAACTATGTTCTATTTGCTAGGTGCCATAGTATACGGCTGCAAATTACCTGAGTCTCTGTTGATGCCAGGGGCCGTGGACCTGTTGGGTAATTCACATCAGATGTTTCATTGCATGGTAGTTCTAGGTTCAATATGCCATTGTAAAGCTGTTTTCGAATCCTATAATCTATTACATACAAGGTATACCTCTATGTAAGTATATATTCAGATATTTACATATTATGAACACACACACACACACACACATATATATATATATATATATATATATATATCTATTAGTGTGTGTATATGCGTGTGTGTGTATAATTGGCATAATAATTTTATAGAATTACGGCTAGAAATTTACTGTATAACAAATAAATATTCTTAAATTCTATTTATTTCATATGTGTATATGAATATAAATATGTTGTATATATATGTGTCACGAGTATCCTTTGTTTTTTTTTTTTTTTTTTTTTCATTTTACTCCTGTTTGTCATGGCAACATTTTCAAATTTCTCGAAAGTAGAAAAAAAAAAAGTGGACATTATTATCTGTATTCTAACTAGCATAACGTATAAACCGAGCCATACTCTCCATCTGTACCACAATCTTCTCTTTACCTCTGCACTTGGTCCGATCCAACCATAGTTGCAGCTGAATTAATAGCTAGATTATACTATCAAAGGAGTAACAAAGTTATCCAATTTATTAAATCAATATGCCCACTCAAAGTTCTATATTAACAACTTCTCAAAGGGCCCTTCAAGCTTATAGACATTGTCTAAGAGCCACCAGAGTTGCATTCGATGGCGACACAAAAATGCTGCTAGCTTCAAGAAACCAACTGAAACAAGGTATGATAACCCCCCCAGAGAATCAAAAGGACTTGTCTCCAGAGGGGAGAGTACAATTATTGGAAGATATTGCATTGTTTTTAAGACACAACATTGTTCAAGGACGTAGAGTTAGCACTGATCCTGTGACTTCCGAACCACAGTACCACTTAAATATTCATAAAGATACAGAATTAGGAGACAATGATTCTATTAAGATGAAGACGAAGCTAAAATGCCGTTCTTTCCCCAAATCTAGTACTAGTTGTTGCAGCAGTAGCAGCAATAGTACTAAATAATTATGACAACGGTGACATGAAGTAATGAAAAGAATAAAAATAAAAAAAAAAAAGAAGATATGACCATTATCACTATACTCGTCGTTATTCACTTCCAACTTCATATAATTTATCCAAATGGGCACAACACAAATATCGTAGCCCTAAGTTTCCCAACCCTACATTTCTCGGAAATCTCCGAAGATACAAGTAAAAAAAAAAAGAAATATAAAAAAAAATTTTCTTTTCTTTTTTTTTCTTTTGTTCGAATTCTCGATGAATAAATCAATTATAGCGTAGTATTATGGGGGGGGGGAGGAGAGAAGGCCTACATTATTACTATTATAACAATGATTATGTGACTCTGGAACATCAGCACGAGGTTAATCGACATATATATATATATATATATATATATATATACTCATCGTCTTGTAAATATTTATACTTTTAGGGATTTATCGTGTTCTTACATTCGAGGCATCTTTCTTTAACAACCATTGATTTCTGCCTATGTCGAATAGTGAGAAGTTATTAACACTGTCATCGAGACAAAACACATTAAATTCCCAAAACACAATACATATACAATGTCTGCTGATTTAACTACGAAATTCTTTGATGCTACTTTTGCCAACCCATTCATGAACGCTTCTGGTGTTCATTGTATGTCTATTGAAGAGTTAAAAGAATTGGATAACAACTCAAATGCAGGTTCTTTCATCACAAAGAGTGCTACCCCAGAGTTTAGACAGGGGAACCCAGAACCACGTTACTACTCGGTTCCATTGGGCTCTATCAACTCCATGGGTTTACCTAACAAAGGCTTCGACTATTATCTAAACTACGTCATCAAACGTCAACAAGAAAATAAAAATGATAATAAACCAATTTTCTTCTCTGTAGCAGGCATGTCTGTAGCAGATAATTTGGAAATGTTGGAAAAATTACAAAACAGTGAGTTCCATGGTTTCACTGAATTAAATTTGTCATGTCCTAATGTCCCAGGTAAACCACAAGTTGCATACGATTTCGAATTGACTAAAGAGATCTTGACAAAAGTTTTTGAATTCTTTAAAAAACCATTAGGTGTCAAATTACCACCATATTTCGATTTTGCACATTTCGATATGATGGCTGCTATCTTGAATGAATTCCCATTAGCATATGTCAACTGTATCAATTCCATTGGTAATGGGTTATACATCGATGTGGACACTGAAACTGTTGTTGTTAAACCAAAGAACGGATTTGGTGGGATCGGTGGTGATTACGTGAAACCAACTGCATTAGCAAACGTTAGAGCCTTCCAACAAAGACTAAGACCAGAAATCAAAGTTATTGGTACAGGTGGTATTAAATCAGGACAGGATGCGTTTGAACATTTACTTTGTGGTGCAACAATGTTGCAAATCGGTACTCAGTTGGTCAAAGAAGGTCCATCTGTCTTTGCAAGAATTGAAAAGGAGTTGAAGGAAATTATGGACAAGAAAGGCTATAAGACTATTGGTGAATTCCGTGGTAAATTGAAAAGTATTGAATAAATGTATCCACGATAGTTGTTAATTCCATTTATATCAACCTACATATCTACATACTCATACATTATATACATGAACGCCACCAATAATAATGAAATAAAACCATACATAGTTTGAATACAGACATTTTATTGATTGATTAATTGATCGATGGATTTCTTCCTTTCCACACGTGTTACGGTTTATTAGGATTAGAGTTTGATGAGATTCACAATTTCTTGAGGTGTATGGGTGTATAGATAAAAGGAATTTCGGTAGAAAATAAAAAAAAGGAAGAAACTAGAAATGCAGAGCTTAAGGATCCTCGAAAACTATCAACTTTCTCTATGTGTAAAAGGAAACATACTCTTCAGATAAGATCTCCAAGTTCCCACAAGATTGTGTATATTGACCATACATATATACAAATAAACCCAGACAAAAGAAAGTGTATGTTATGAATAAATTGGTTGCAGTTCAGAGAGTGCCTCGTGCTCTCTACAGCACTGAGATTACTCAAGATTTCTTAAAGGATCTATTAGATAGAGCCAAAAAAGCTACTACTTTACGAAGTACTACACCAACTAAGCATGTAAATAATTCTAATAAACAATTTACCAAGGGGCTAAAACACGGCAAAAAGAAATTTACTGCTCCAAAGAGGTCAAGACAAAATTTTAAAAACAATAATAACAATATTAAAAATACTAATTTAGACTTTCATCCTATGACTTCTAAAGTAACTAAAGAGACAATTTCGACTAATTTACCCAAACAACCACAATTTCAAAAGACTAGTAGACAGATTGAAGGCATGGATACCGACTTACTTGATGTGCTAGATAATACAGAAAAGGGTAAAATTTCTTCAACGACACCTACGGAAGAAAAGTTAAAATTACAATCTAACAGAAACAGAAACTCTAACAATAGAAATAAAAATAAAAACAGAAATAGAAATACAAATAAATTTGACCAGCCTTCTGGGTTTATATATAGAAAACCCATCTCTCCAACATTGAATAAAAGTTTGGTTAAATCACAGACTGTTCCTAAAACTTTTCAATTAAATCCAATCAATCCAAATAGTTTGTTCAAATTCTATCCATCCTTAAATGTTAGTACAAAGACAAGATGGATTAACTTCATCTTGAATTCAATGAATGAAGCTAATTTCCCATTGTATCGTGAACCAAATATCTCATACGCTAAACTAATTAAAGATCAAATCGAGGGACCAATTAAACCAAATCACATCTTTACTGTAAAGACACCAGGCTTTGGTAAATATATTTATGAGAATTCATATTCGGTTAAATTAGAAAGAGAACCCCAAGTGGAAAATATAAATGTCACTCTTAACAAAGATAAATTCAGTGAAATAGTTCTAGGGAAATACGAGTCGATAGCAACTGAAATAGATTCCTCTTTTGATAATCATGAGACAAGAGTGAAATTAAGTTTACAACAATGTGCAGGCTTATCAAATACTGATAAAAAATGGTTATATGAAGTTTGCTCTGGTTCTATTCCATTGACTCAAATTAGTAAATGAATCTGAAGGATAAAAAAAAAAGAATAAGAGTACAATCATCAAATATATTTTATACCTATATCTGTATTTATATACCTTTGTTTATCTATTCCTTTTGAATGTAAAATTCTGTAAATAATATGTAACTCCATTGAATATTAACATTATTCTCTTTTTAAACATGTATATATCTAACTGTGTTTTTTATTATCTCTAATCCTCTATCTTATCCACGATGCCTAAAACTTCATTGAACCTATTTAATTCACTTTTCAAAAGCATCTTTTTAATTGTAACATCCTCTGCTAATGACTTTTCTTGGTTTAATACAGATATAAGGAATGGTGATATAATTGCAACTGGCGATTCCTTTGGAATTATATCCCGAATCATTTCAAGTATCAGAGACTTATTATTTTCATAGATTTGTCGATGCTTAATTAAAATTTTACAAATTAATTCACTAGAATAAGGAATTTTTGCTATATTTGTTATCCATCTTAAAACTTCTAGTATGTTAAATTTATCTATCCTTTTATCAACTTCTTTGAAATCATTATATTTCAATGCCTGATTTAAAAGTTGTTTATCGTTTAAATGATGACAAACTAATTTCTTGTGAACATTTCTATCTTCATAATCAAAAAAGAATAAAATTACTAAAATATCATGTGTATAATTGTCGTCTTTACTAAATTTTATTATATGTTCATATAATTGATTCGATAAATGATCATCACCTTTACAAAGTTTAATGATACGCTCATATTGAGTCTGAAATCTGGAAAATTTTGAATCATACTTGAACTTGCACCTGAGATATTCCAAAATGTTTGGTTTACTATAATTTAAATCATCACGATATTCATTAACAATTTTTTCAAAAGCGCCTGATAAAGCTTCCTTAATGATTATCTCGTACATCTTTCCAATGTAATAATCCATTAAAAAACCTTTGTCTTGTCTATCTTCAATGCCTATAATTTCAAGTATATGGACTTTTAAACTGATATTATCTATTAAATCTAAAATAGCGTGATAATCTATATGAATATCTGACATCAGTTTTAAAGTTTTTTTTATTATTTCATTATCATTTTTATTCTTATCACTATGATTACCATCAAAAGACTCATTTGTAATAATTGTAGCAAGATCAGTTAAAATATTGTTTTGTTTATAATCATTTGTCAAGTTGTCAACGTTTTTTATTAAAAAATTGAGTAAATTTAAGTATTTTTTATCTTCCTTTAAAATTGCAATTACATCGTCAACCATGCCTTGTTTTATGTATATTTCTGTCAATAAGGATTTTTGCTCAATCGTATTATTGTCTTTAATTGTCTTAATAATTGCATTTAAACTTATCTCTTCGAAATCATCTAAATTAATTTTAATTTTAGAGTTTAATTGTTGCATAAAAATATTCACATCAAGTGTTATCATTATAATATTATATTCAATGAAATCTTTATCGTTAGAATATTTCTTAATAAGATATTGTTTCATGATTTTTAAATACTCCAAGATTTCTGATTGTGAACTTAATTTATTGATTACCTTTAAAGATTTTAATTTATTTATAAAAGATAATAACCCGTTAGGACACCAACATTCCCCCAGTATTATTAGATCAAACAAATATAATAATATTCTTATATCAATATATTTCATATCCCAACACCATAGCTTAATAGAATTTTTATCAATTATATCACAATGCAACAGTACTAGCAGATGGTGCAATAACTTCAAGTATTTTATTTCTACTTGTTGAATTCTATTTAATTGAGCATTGTTACTGTTGGAAGTCAAATACTTTTCGATATTTACTATTTGAATTTCATTATAATTTTTAATCTCCATAAAAAATGGCATTTGGAAAGTTTCGTATACAGCAAAATTATCATAAAATATTAAATTTGTGCTGAAATTGATAATATCTTTAATAAATGCCTTCTCTCTATCTATTCGATACTCTACAGTAGTAGGAGGGCTTTCCTTGATAACATCCATGTTTAATTTATTATTTGATATTACTAGTGGAGAAGACCTTAATTTATCTATTATTTGATCTATTTTTTGTAATCTTTTGTCATCTGCATTTGTTAGATAAGCATCACTATGGAAGAATTTATTCACTTTGTTAAACATTAGTCGAATATCCGTCAATCGTTCATTATTGATATTATTATATTTTATAGTCTGTATCAGAATTGGATTTTCATTGCTTACTAATTTGAAGATATCTATTTCTTGAAAATCAATATTCACCATCACATAAGGGAAAAAAACAACGATATCTCTTGGATAATTCCTTAATGCAATTGTTCCTTGAGTAATATCACCATCCAAATTTATCACAAGAGCCATAGCTTCATTTTCGTATGATGAACCACCTGAACAAACCAATACCTCTTTCGAACTAAAATCTGCAATAATTGGTATTAAGCCATTACTACCAATTTCATTAGGAGCACTATCGGTCTCAGATACTTTAAATAACGGAACTTCTTTATTTGCTAACATATCAAATATCATGTACTCATTACGTTGGGCTAAAATCAATTTATCTTTTTTAATTAAGGCTTTTCTAACATCACATAGGTTATCAAACTTTTTTAATAAATTGAAGGAACTGCTAGAAACTTGATATATTGCGCTATGATCTAAAAAAAAAACCATTATACTATTTATCATATTATTCTTAATAATTTGAACATCGTTTATGCTCCTTAAGCATTTTGAATTTGGAACTGGTGCAAACTCTGGGAGTAAAAAAAGTGTCAAAATCCCTTGACTTAAAACACCTGCTCTCTCAATTGATGGAAGTAAGATAATTTTGTCTATTGGTTCAGCTTTAGAGTCGTCTAATTTTATTCTTGATACAAGAAAATAATTCCCAGTTTCAATTTCAAAATAATGGAGCAATTCACCTGTTTCTGTCCCTAAGTAGATATGCTCTGCGTATGATTCACAGCATGTATAATTCAGCTTTCCCGATAGATCTTCGATAATAGGTAATAACGAGAATGGACCATCTGAGGCGTCTAGACTAAAATCTGACACCTTTATTTCTTCTTGAGTCTCTAATTCCTCATCTTGCTCCTCCTTTATGATAGTCTTGGAATTATTTTCAAACTCTTCAATTTCTCTAACTTCACTCATTACTATCTCAAAGTTTATCTTTTGCAAATACTTTTTTATATTTTTTTTTCACCTACTTGTCTATATTTTATTATCCTTTGAAAATTGTCATTTGTGAGTTACTTACTTAGTTGGTTTAACTGCTATTTAAGGTGTATAACATATATTATTTTACCGCTAATCTACTTTATGCAAAAATGTATAGAATTTTTCTTCCTAAATTTCAACTTTATTTTCAAAAGTTGTCGGACCGATTTCTGAATTTATATAATGTTGATTATTTTCATATTTAATATACAAATAATTATGGATGTGTGCTATCAAATACACAAACATGCATAAGTGATAACCTAGATAGATGGTTAGAGATGATTATATATAACTATTTAGATAAAAAGATTCCAATAGCAAAAAGGTATTCCCTTCTTGATTTCTTATTACTTAATTATAGTCTCTTTCTATTTGCTTTTTTTATTAAGTTTAATTCAATAACTTGAAAAGTAACTGGGCACCTTTATTGACAGTCTCTTCAGAAACATCGATATCTTGTTTGATACTGTTCAAGTCATCCAACAATTGCTTGCCTTCATCCTTTTCATGTAATGATTCATATAATGCAACGATAATAAAAGAACTATCTTTGTTGTTAATCCATGTTAATAAATTAGAAGAGTCTACAATTTCATCATAAAATTTACAAGCAAATTTTACACCAAGACCTTCCACCTTAATTAATGGTTCAATTTTTTTCTCCTTGTTATTCCATTTACCACCTTGTATTAATGATTTTAACAATCTTGCAGAAAATGGTCTATGAATTGGATGTTCATCTTCTGTAATATCACCTTTAAACGCAATAGAAATGGATTCCACTAGTTCATGGAATTGTTTCTTCCCTCTATCATCTAACTGTTCATATAAGTCATCGCTTGTTAATAATTCAGAGATGAATTGAGAACCGATATTTGCTGACAATAAATCAGAATAATCCTTGTTAACAATTTTTAAGATCAAAGGGGCAAATTTATTTAATAACTGTTGTCTTCTAACCAATGGATCTTTTTTAGAACTCTCTTTAGACATCTCAATGTATTTGTTCAATTCCTTTTTAACATTAGGAGCAAAATATTTCCCATCTAATTCCAACAACATATAAAGGAATGGTCTCCTACCATATTTGTTCAAGATGAAATCTGTTAAATGTTCTTTCACAATATCTGAGAAAGTTTTGAAGATTAAAACAGTGTCATCTACAGTTAATAATAATGTGATAAACACTATATTACCATGTTCGTTCTTAATCAATTCTTCTGCATGTACTTTTAATGCTTTTAATATTAATTTTCTCTGTTTAGCCGTGGCTTTAGCTATTAATGTACATGCTACTTCAGAACCTTCAGGAGTGTGAACTAATTCAGCGAATTGTTCATGCAACAATTCTATCATTTCATTAATTTCCTTTTGATTTGCGATCTTTATCATTTCTCTCATAGCAGCATGTAATATCTGAAACCCAGTAGATCCTTTTTCCACCGAGGCAGCGATGGTACCAATCAAGTTTCTAGCAATAATGTTTCTCTTTTCAACAGATTTATTACAAACATTTTCAATGGTCAAATTAGAGTGTTCATCTCTAAAAACAGCATATTCAGACCCCCAAAACTCTCTTATCATTTGTTGTCTTTGCTCATTTGTGGCATAAAGAACATATAAATCTTCTACGACATATGCACCTTCCCTATGTCTCATCAATTTTCTCAAATTACCATGTAATTCATTGATAATTAATTGTTTAGAATTCCTGGATCCATAATGTAATAGTTTGACTAAGAGATATTTACCATATGAAGAAGTGGCTAACAGGTAAAATTTGCCCTTTAATGCCAAGACAATTTGTTCACGACGTTCCTTGTTTGAGTATTTAACTAAAGTTTGTACAATACGTGAAGCATCATGTTTTAGGACCAAATCAGAGATTTTATCCTTAGCGACATCCCAGATTTCATTAGACAATTTATCACGAATATTTTTAGGTAATGGAGGGCTCTTACAACGTAATTTTTCCCAAATATGTTTAATATGTTGGATCTCTGAACCAGACTTTCTTTGTAATTTTCTTTCCTTTAATAATCTTTTTTGTTCAGCGTGGTTAGAGGAGCTTTCTTGTTTTACAAAATTATCATTTTCAGCTCCTTCCTCTTCCTCCACATCCTTTTCATTTTCTTGTTCTGGATCTGCATCAAGATCATCTTCTGACATATTATCTAAGTTATCTTCATCAGAGGAATCAACAGAAATCCTTGGCTTCTTAATATTCTTTGCTTCAAAATCTTGACTGTTCACAGAACGTTTCTTGCTAGTAGTTGGAGCCATGGCTAAAAAAAAAAGAATCAACAAAATGGGGAGAAAAAAAACCTTATTTCCTACTTACTTGACTGGTTGTGGTGTTAAGGATAACAAAATATTATATGATGAAATATCAGTGTAAGTTACACTACAAATACATTTATGTATAACGACTATAATCAATTAATTCTAAAACTCATCTCATCACCAAAAAAGAAGGAAAATGAAAAAAAAAAAATATTTTTATTTTATTTTTCAATCATTTCACACGAGCAACATATCGATTGATTTAGTTACAGGTGAAGCATTCCATTATTGTATGCAAAGGAGATTGAAGTGAATATTATTTATTCAAGATGGAGACGAAAATGATGTAATTATGCAATACTTATATATATATATATATATATATATATCTGATGTCTTTCTTATTTATATATTTAGGAAAGTTAGAAATTCATATTTTTTTCCTCCACCTTTGTAAAATGTTATCTAATATGATTGAATATCACAATTCGTCATGTAAAAGGATCCGATTAATTGCATCATCTACGGCCTGTTCAAGAGACGCAGTAATATCCGTTGCTGTATTAGAATTAGTTAAACTTGCTCCAGTAGTCATTATAGCATCTGTTATTGCATTTGGAACTGTAAGAATATTATCTTTACTTGTAAACTTTTGCACAACACCGACGGAGACTAAGATACCTTTGAAAAATTTGAATAAAAGCCAAAGAAACAATTTTGTTGGACCTTTAAAAATACGTCTCCAGACCACCCACGAGATAACCAGGGCCAGAAAACCTAGGGAAATATAAACGTCTCTTTTCTCTTGGTTGGATGCTGTCTCCAAAGATTTGACCAATCTATTGGTCTTATTGAAGACGGTTTCCAACTGTGAATATTTATCCTGGATCTGGTTCAAGGACTGGGTCTGTTGCTTCAAATTATCTAAATTTAGATCACTCTGCAGGATACTTGACTGCAATAGAGTGTTGGATTTAATTAGATTGTTTGTCAGTTGCTGGGTCTTATTCAATAATTGGTCTCTTGTTGATTGTTTATTGCTCTCTGTGTAATATTCAGGTTTCTGTGGTGATGATGATGATAATGATGATGGCGATGGTCGTAGTAATGATAGTGGTAGTGGTGGTGATTCAACGGAATTGTGCGTTAACTTGGTAAGTTGGTCGAGATTCCCATCACGGATCGACAAGATGGTTTGTTTCAGTTGTAATTTGTAACCATGCAACCAATTGATATGGCTCAAAATCTTGAAATATGAATCTTCTAAACTGAGGGGGTTAGAATTGTTTGAATCTATATCACGTAAACCAGATATCATTGTATCACTTGGACTTAAACCATTTTTGGTCAACGACAATTTATCATATTTTTTAAAGGAGGGGCTCCTTTCCCAAGACAGAGTCAAAGAGGATATATTAGATTGATTGAATGCGACTATTAGAGTTTCAATAAGGGACTCAAACGTGAGGGTATTTTTATTAATGAGAGACAGGGTCTCATTATCCACTTCATTGACAATAGATACATCGTTGTTCCCTTTGTTACTGTTGCCAATTAATTGATCCCATTGAGACCATAGCTGACCTTTCAAATTGACCAATTCTTCTTCAATAGAGGAATAGAAGGTGTTGTTATCATGCAACATTTTGGTATCCGATACAGTCTCACCCATTCTAATACTTACTTACTGACTCGCATATACATACACACCGAATAAAAGTGGTTGGACAAATATATGATTATGTCTATAACGCACACCCTTTCAATCTTATGCAGCAATAATATAATAGTAACATAATAATGGCATATTATTGTTACTACCCATATGTCAATATTTGATTTATCTTTTTTTTTTTTTTTTTTTTTTTTTGTTTTTTTTCTCATCCATCGGGTTTTTCGTTCTGCTTTACAACTTTCTTTTTTTTTTTTTGATGTTCTATTTTTGGTCCCTTTTCTGCGGTGCGTAAACGAAAAATCGAACATATGAAAGGGGAGCAAGCAAAGAGTAAACGAGGATGCATGGGTGTGTATGCCTATAGGGTTTGTGCAGTTTGAATTCCATCGAACAAAACCCAGAGGGGACCTCTTAGGGTTTTGTGTTCCAGTTGGATTCACGATCGGTTTCTACAACTACTACCAACTACTATTAATACACATTCAGTCCTGCTGTTGTGGGATCCAATGGTCCACAAGATCTCGTGTATGGGAGATGTGTTGTGGATGATGGACATATGCATAACGATAGGTGACAAAGAGTGCTAAGGTTAGAAAAATGGAAAATGAAGAAGATTATTAGGGTTGTGGAAACCTATTTTAGGGCTTGAGTGTAGGGTTGCAAATATATATAAAAGAAAACAAACAAAAAAAAAAGTAAAAAGTTGATATCTTCGAGGGTATTTCTCTTTTCGTATAGATTTTCACTCTCTCTTTTGGTGATGATAATTACTCTGTATGATCTTCAATATACTATGAATATATATATATATGATTGATTGACTGATTGACTGGTCGAATACACACTTTTTTAAGTGACAAAGGACACTTAAGGGTATAATATTCTATATATATATATATATATATATATATATATAGAGGGAGAAAGAGAGAGAGAAACAAAAACAGTATATTTCCAACTTTCAATCGATTGAATATGGGGAAAAGGAACACGTCTAAAGAAGTATTAAATCCAAAAACTACAAAATTCGAATTCGGTGGTGTCCTTGGATCCACCCTCATATCATTGACATTGCCTGTCTTCACTGTCGTCATCAATCATCTTATAACTCCAAATGTATCCATCTCCCATGATCCCCTTTTCTATTTAAACCCTTGTAAATCTCACCATCTTTGGATACCTTATCTATCCTGGTTCATCGTTTTGGCTGTTCTAGACATCCTCATGCCAGGCCATTGGGTTAAAGGCACCGTGTTAAGAAATGGTCAAAGACTAGATTATAAGATAAACGGCATAAGTAACTGTCTGCTACTGGTCTTTGTCTTATCTCTAAGATGGCAGATGACTAATGGCCAAATGCCCGAACTACAATATCTATACAACAATTACATGGAACTGAACATCATCACCTGCATCTTTTCTTTCTACCTGGCCACTTGGGTCTACCTAAGATCTTTTATCAATGAAAACAAAAGAATCCTTGCCCTGGGTGGAAATTCAGGCAACGTCCTTTACGACTGGTTTATCGGCAGAGAATTGAATCCAAGATCCATCGGTGGACTACTGGATATCAAGTTGTTCTGCGAACTAAGACCAGGTATGCTGCTATGGTTCTTAATCAACCTATCCTGTTTGCACCACGTCTACCTCGAAATAGGCACATGGAATGATTCCTTATGCTTGATCACCCTTTTACAATCCTGGTATATTTTCGATGGAGTCCTAAATGAAGAAGGACTTCTATCCATGATGGATATTGTCACAGATGGATTCGGGTTCATGTTGGCGTTCGGTGACTTGGCTTTGGTCCCCTTCACTTACGCCTTGCAAGCAAGATGGTTGAGCACAAATCCAATTGTGTTAGGCCCATGGAAAATCGTCGCTATTGTATCTTTGATGGCATTGGGATACACAGTCTTCCATCTATCCAATCAACAAAAATCGTTATTTAAACAGGGTAAATTACCTAATATGAAGTTCATCCCTACTGAGCGTGGCACCAAGTTGTTGTGTGACGGATGGTGGTCTGTTTCACAACATATCAATTATCTCGGCGATTGGATGATTTCTTTGAGTTGGTGCTTGACTACCTGGTTTAACACACCCTTGACATACTACTACAGTTTCTATTTCGCTATCCTACTTTTGCATAGACAGATGAGAGATGAGGAAAAGTGTCATAAGAAGTATGGAAAGGATTGGGAGGAATACCAAAGAAGGGTTCCATACAAGATTATTCCATATATCTATTGAAATAAAAAAAAAAAAAAAAAAAAAAAAAAAAACAAAAAACCAAATTGAATCTTATAACAGTAATTAAGTGTTATAGAATAATCTATACATATACATATATGTATGTGTTTGAGTGTGTATAAACAACTATCTATTGTTTATTTGTCTATTTGTTTGTTTGTGTATTTATTTATTCTTGTAGATCACTTGAGTGTTTTTCTAATAAATCATTTTGGTATTGTAATAACGTAGTTTTAAATGTTGGAATGAAAGATGTTTGGATTAATTGAGAATTGGATTGACTAAAACCATTAATATCAATTAAAGGCTCTGAATCATCATGCATAAATTCAGGAATACGTAGAGTACCACTTTCCTCTTCTTCATCCTTTTCTGGGTTAGTAACATTTACTTTAAATTCAAGATCTAGGTCAAAATAACAAATAGGTTTTCCCTTTCTTTGCGAAACATTGGAATCTCCATTGATTCTATTTATTTGTATGATCTTTATTGTGGTACTGTTTTTAGTTATTTCATAATTAATAAACTTTTCATTTAAATATTGTTTAGTCCAAGGTAAAGTGTTTTTATCGACCCAGTGCCAGTTGTTTGGATTTAAAACAGCCATGATTGAAATAAATTAGATGTGTATGTGAAAATTAGTTGAAGATAACGAGAAGAAGGTACAAAGCTTGGATAATTATAATATATTGTTCACTTTCTTTCTTTCTTTTATTTTATGTCAAAGTGGTCTCTTACCTTGGTGTTTGCTATGTAATGCTAATATTTACTACACTGCTGTGCCACTACCACATTAACCACATATTGTGAATTTTCTTTTCTTTTGTTTCTTTCTGCTTTTTTTTTCTTGTTTTAAATATAATTTTTCAATCTTCAGAGAAAAGCGGGAAAGGAAAGAAAAAGAAGGAAAAAAAAAAAAAGAAGTTCTATGATATTCCATTTAAAAGGTTCCACACCTAGACGAAGCAGACTGCCTACGATGAGAACCTACTACCAGAGATATACTCCTCTGGGACACTAATAATAATAATAATAATAATAATAATAATAATAATAATAATAAAAGATATAATGAATATTTCGTTCTTGTTGTCCTTTATTTGCAGTATAGGTGAACTATAATGCATCTGAGGGAATAATCTTGGTAAATATACATACATACACACATACATACATACATATATATAACATTTATAAACATGAAATACAAGAGTAGTATTTTTGACTAAGGAGCTTACAAGATTGCTCGCAGTAAATTTCAGAGTGACATATGTCACTATCTTCTCTTTGTATCCTCTACTCTCTAAAAGAGGCAATGAAATAACGAAATGATAAAGAAAAAAGAAAAGAAAAGGAAAAAGGGAAGTAAAACCACAAAAATCGAAAACTGACCACTAAGAAAAGCGATAGTAATAGGAAATAACAAATATGAATGGGAATCAGCGTAATGGTTGGGTCGTCTTCAAAAGATCCAATTGAGTAGATCTGTATCTGGTCAAATCGTCTAGCCAAGGTTGTGATACATTCTCCACTCTCTCCTTTATAGCAGATACAAATTTATCATCCAATTGATCATTGACATACAATAATAAAAGACCATGTTGGATGTTTATACCGTGCTTTTTGATCATTTCAAAGGAGCCTGCTGGTAATTGTATAATTGTTACTTCATGCGGAGATAGATAGCATAGTGCAGGGATATGTTGTAATATAATAGATGGTATATATTTGGTGTCTTTATTACACACAAAGAGGAAAAATGCCAAAGGCCTCTGACCAGTGTTTGAAGACAATAAAGAAACTATCTTATTATAATCTACTTCAATCGTCCATGGCCAATCTTTCATATCAACATTGCTCAGATGAATGCACTTATTTAAAATAGTGGATTTGAAAAGTTCAACAACAAACGGCTGTTCGTTCACATGCGGCCAACTATGTAAGTCATTGACGTAAGGACTGGATAGGATTGGTTTGTATACTTGTTTTTTAGTTGCAACTTTCTTGTCAATCGCTTTCAATGAGGACATGATTTATGACTTCCAATCACATGTACTACTCGACTTGAACTAAATGGCTAATTGAGTAATACAATGGTTACTGTCATGATTATCGTCATCTTACCTTATCCCTTCTACTCTCATCTCAATGAATTTTTCAATGTCAATCTCTTACTTACAATAAACATAAAAAAAAAGAAAAACAAAAGAACGAAAGGTCTTTGATATATCACTTTACACGTTCTTGCGATTATATATATAAAAATATCACGTGCATCGTTCGCAAAAGCGAGTGTTTTTTTTTTCGTGTCTCTTTTTATTGTTTACAAGTAGGAAAAACAAAAACAAAAACAAAAACAATGCGAAAATAAAGAAAAAGGCTAGAACAACGGAAAAAAATTCACTGGAAATCATCTCGACGAATCTATTGGTATTGTTTTTTTCGCATTATTTTTGTTTCATCTGCGTTTTCTTTTCAAGATTTTTTCAAATAATCGCAATATAATAATAAGAAGGAATAAAAATAACAAATAAAGAATATTTTGGACTATGTAAAAATTCATATAGAATATTAAAAGATATATATTATAACATGAACATTATTAATTGAAAGATGGCTTCCTTTTGGTTAAACTACTTATTGCACAAACTAACCTTCTTTTATTTTGTTTTTTTTTATCATTTTTTTCTAGAGTGACTGTTACGGAGATCTTGGTAGAAGCATTAAGGGCGTTAATATTTTTGAAGACTGAACCTAACAGTGGTATTTCCTCGAGGGAAAAGTCCCTACTAAAGCAACTGTGATACCCTTATTCTTTCACTTACACTTTTATTTGATTTATTTAGTTTTATTTTTATTTTTATTTTTGTTGTTGTTGTTGTTGTTCTACTGCATTACATAATTTGTTTTTATTTTCATTTTTGTGAATTGGTTCATCTTCATATCACAATATCATTATATTAAATCGAAAAAAGACAATATTTTAATATTCATATATTCGAGATTTAATAATTATTATTCAAAAGTGATTTTTTTTGTTAGTAATCACTAATACCACGTTATAATATATTATATCATAGAGATTGAAATATGTTAGCAACACTCCTGACTATAATAATATCTTTCTTCATTTTTTTAACTTCAGCAGAGGATGTTTTTTCTTATAGTGGATGTTATCTATCAAGTTCATTGCAGTCCATGGGACTTACATCAAAAGGGTCTTATACTTGGCAGTCTCCTTCATATTGTGAGGGCCAATGTTCCGGCTCTGCATTTATTGCCTTGTCTGGAGGTGGTAATTGTTATTGTGGTTCTGATACAAACCTTCTTTCAGTATCTAAACAATCGGAGTCTAATTGCAATACAGGCTGTTATGGTTGGCCTGCTGCTATGTGTGGGAACAGTGCTGGAGATTATATGAATGTTTATGTCAATAAAGATAAAGTTAATACACTATCAAGTTCTAGTAGCTCTGCATCAGCATCCACATTCGACACCACTTTGACTAGTTCTTCAGAATTTACAGGTTCTATGTTGCATTCACATTCGTCTTTGAGTTTATCGGGATCTGTTTTCGTTTTCACTTCAATGTTGTCACAAGGTTCTAACTTACCAAAATCCACCACTTCTGTACAAGCAAGCACAAATAATCAGTTTTCGGAATCTTCTTCCGTCATAACAACGTCTACATTAGCACAAGCATCTTCTAGTATTACATCTTCGATATCATCTACAACTAACTCTGTTTCTTCTACCCAGTTAACTACTAAGATTGTAACAAAATCCGTCATAACTACATCAAATAAAGTGCAACGTACAATAATCGTGACGGCGTCATCAGTTGTTGAAACTGTTGTGACCACAGCTTCGGCAAGCACCTATTACAATGGAACCATGCCACTAAAGAATAAGTCGGCTAGTCCATTAAGCGGTGGTACAATCGCTGGTATTGTGGTTGGTTGTGTAGCTGGTGTGGTTATTATTATAGCATTGGTTGTCTTTTATTTCTTATATATGAAACGCCATTCAAAAAATGATGTCTTAGACATTGAAGAATCTAAGCAATATCAGCCATATTCCTTTGGTGACCAAGATGCTAATCCTATTATTATCCCTGAACCAACGGGTTACCTAAATCACGGTTCAATAAAGAGTAAATTTAACGGTAATACTAATAACAGTAATAATAACAGTTCATGGAAATTACCTTCGAGATCAAGTACTAGAAATAACAGCAATTCGAATCTAAATGGTTCAAATAACAGCTCTGATGTGTTTAATATGAGGAACGGTAGTATCCATAGTTCAGGGACTTTAACCAACAGGTCAATCCCAATGGGCAACAAAATTGCTGATGGTAGTAATGCACACAATAGCAATGTCAACAGTATGTCAACGTTCACAAATCCTTCAACATTAAAAACACATGCCATGAGACGTTCTCAATTGCCTTCCACGGTATTCGAAGAGCCTACAAATATATCTTTCTATGATGGAGTACAGAGATTTAGTACAAGTTCTCTACCAGATATGATGGAAGAAAGAAAACCATTAAGAATAGTCAATCCCGACGATTCTTCAGTAGGGATACATGATAATAGTGACAATGGTGAAGACAATACTAATGCTACCACGGAATCTGGTACTTCTATGTCATTATCTATGGATGATGAAAAGTATTAAAATATTATAAGTTTTATGCATTCGATATTCATTTCATCGTTTTTTTTTTCTTTTTTCCATCACTGCACATATAAATCTATATGTAACATTTATATACAATATCATACAAGAACAGCAAAAATATAAGTTAGCATGCATTTCTATTAAACTTTGTTGGAATGTTATTTTATCTTTCTAGTTGTTTACACACCATCCATGTTGTGCGAAACTGATCACACCAATTATTTTCCACTGTGACTTCTTACCCCTAACTGTACGCTTTATATTTCTGACTTTTTTCTGTTCTCGTTGTTCTCAACCCTTTTTTTTACAAAATTAGAGAGAGAAAAAAAATAAAAAAAGAGGAGGAATTCGATTTTATGGTTTTTGTGTTCCTGGAAATCTTGTAAAGGAAAGTTGAGACAAATCCGAACTAGAAAATTTAAAAAAATTTGTTAAGAATCGATAGAGTTTCAATAAAAGTATTCAAAGATTATGATACATGTGAAGCAAAGCATAACAATAAGTTAAGAGAGAGGTCTAAAAAAGTATTGTTATTACGTATATACGTATCTTATACACCAATACTACACAGACAAATAAAATTATATTGTTCATGTTATCTAACTGGTTTGGTTCCTTAAAGACCACCCATAAATGCCTGACAACACAATCGTTTCCCATTAGATCCATCCAAATCTTATCTACTTTAAAACCACCCCCAAATTCAACTAAAAAATTTAAAAGGTTGGGTAGAGGTCCATCTAGTAATAAAGGTAAAACCTCAGGTAGAGGTACTAAAGGTCAAAAGGCCAGAAGTCATGTTAAATCCTGGTTCGAAGGTGGTCAGACCCCTATTTACAAATTATTCCCTAAAATCGGTTTTACAAATGTTCATTCAAAAGAATTTGTACCATTAAATTTAGAAAGAATTATTGAATGGCACAGAAAGGGAAGACTTACTCTAAAGGATGGGGAAGTGTTAGATATGAAGAAAATGAAAGATACAGGACTTATTAGTGGAAGTATTAAAGATGGAGTAAAGATCTTGGCAAAAGGTCAGTTTATTTATAATTTACCATGGCCAATTGAAGCTTCATGTGCTTCAAAGAAAGCTGTTGCGGCTATTGAAAAGGCAGGTGGCTCCTTTGTGGCTAAATATTTTTCTCCATTAGGGTTGACGGCACATTTGAAACCCGAATGGTTTTTAGAAAAAAGAGGATGGGTTCCACTACCTGCAAGGCCAATTAAGAGAAAAGATATCGAATATTACAGTGACCCTGAAAAGAGGGGTTATTTAGTTGTAGAAAATGATCCATATTATAAAATATTGCAAGAGAATAAAATTAAAAAATTAGCATCCAAGACTGTTACTAAAAAATCAATGCTGGAAAAACAGTTAGATGCTTTAATAGGAAAGGATCAAGTGCACAATAGTGTTAATAATTCTAAAATAATAACTTTAAAAGAATTCATGGGTTGAATAAATTAAAATTATTAGAATAGTTCCTGTAAATATAGAAGTTGTATCAACAGTAAATAGTCATGTTCAACATAAAAGATATTTTAAATAGTATTATGTTCCATTAATTTTATGAATCAATAGTACAACTGAATATATATGTATATATCCACAATAGAATGTGTTTTTATTCTTACAATATATATCTAATGGTTAATTTTTCTCTGAATAAAGTGAAGATTATTCAATCATAAAAGCTCTGCTAAGAACTATTTGATTAAGATATAAATTTTTTTTCTTTTTTAAGAACTCTATTTATTCACTTTATACTTTGACAGCCTTCTGCTATTATTAGTTTTATGTCCTGTTTAGTATTAAACAGGACATCATAGGTAGGGAAAGAATTATTTTTATCTATTTTTGCCTATATCACAATTGAATTAGTTTTCAATATTTATTTATACTATCTCTTATCAAATAAAAAAGGCAATCTTAAACTAATAAACAAGTTTCAAAAAAATGGTATAACAAGCATAAACATCAGTTTATAAACAGATTAACACTTTTTTTTCATAAACATTATTGTTACCGAATTAAAAAGTTTTAAGAGCTACAAGAAGAATTAATGTAAATTTAGAATTATGTGCGATAAGGTATTTGGGCATAATATTTAGTGATAGTGTAAAAATCATATTAATTGAAAGGATATCATAAGAATGGGTAGTGGTCAAAATATATGCTATAGTACTGAAATTGAATATTCTAGAATAAATAGATAGACCAATCAGATTTTAGCAAACATAGATTAATAATAGAATGCAGAGAATGTATTGTTTACTCATCAGTAGATGTAAACAAAATGTGTTAACAAATTGGTGCCGTTCATAGACGAAATATGCCAGATGTAGAAATATATAAAGCCAATAATTTTTTTTCATATCACGTTTCTTTCCTTATGTACCTTTTATACATTACAATCTATACATCATATATATAAAAAAACTCAAAGAACTTTAGCATAAATTTGTATACAACCAATATATAATATAGTATTGAGAATATTTACTATATATACAATCACTACAGGCACTTATCTTCGGTACTTATCATAATACTTGAGCTATCTGCCAATGTAATCTATTATCTTAGATATTCCATGAGGTATAATCAAATTATTATAATTAATTATCAGGATATGGATAACTAATACACTAAGACACCAGATAGAATGGTTAATCGAGTTTCAGAAACATATAAAAGGACAACAACATCTGAAGATAAAACTATCTTCCGTAATTCTTCATTTATATAGATATATTATGTATAACATACAAGAACAAAAACAAACAATTATATAAGTTCGATATAGTCGTTAATATATAAAAGATCGTCCAGTAATTATCTTACCGATTGTATCAATTACTGTCTTCGATTATTATAATATTTGTTTGATATTATCTGCGCTTCCCGACTAGTTATTAAACTCTAGACTACATCATACCACAGCATAAGATGTTATCATAATCATTTAAACAATTATGGTCATGTTCCTTCTGTGGGAGAAGAGGAAACCCTTAAAAACATTGGCAATGTTGTAGCAGGTGTCAGGTGGAAAGATTGTGAACCATGGGAAACTGTCAGAGTTCCCGTGAAGTTAATTAGACCAAATGTTTCAGCGATATTATATGAGTATTGGAAATAACATCTTAATAAACAAAGATATCGTCTGGACAATTGGATAGAAAAAAATCGCCACCAAAGGAAAATTAAAAAAATTAAAAGAAGATTTGGTTAATCCAAATGTGACATTGTGACAGTTTACTACTGGTGATTGAAAGATAATAGTTTTTGGCTATATCATTTTGTTACATTCGTCTATTCAGATCCTTATCATGCTTTGGAGATGTAGAGATTACCTTTTATTTGACCTTTGATCCTCGAACTCTCGAAGTATTAAAATTGGTTATTGTTATATTATAACATTTGCAAATCTTGATGATTACTGAAAACTGCAAATCGTACCCGATGGGGAGCGTTGTATTTGTCTCGATGAATGATCATTCAATCCTCTTAGATTAATGTAAGATGATGGAAGTTAGAAGTTAGATATGTTGGATGTATTTTCCCAATTAGATCTTTACCTTAGCTTTCAAATTCTCACATTTAATTGTTTTCATAAAAATTAATAACTTTGTATAGCCAAGTGGTTTGGGGTTGTAGTAATTAGTCAGGAAGTGCAGATGACGTCAACAGGATATTTTATTAATTGAAGCAGTGATTGTTACAATCGGTAAAGCAATTACTATACGATCCTTTATATATTGATGGCTATGTCAAACTTATATGTTTGTTCGTTGTTTGTTGTTCGCTGTTCGTTCTATCTATATTTATATATATTTTATCTACATTAGAACATGAATAGCACGGTCATTAGGTTTCTTTATTAAAGACTATTTTATTATTTCGTCAATAATGGCAATTAAGAGAAAAAGCTTTGTAAGAAGAGAATTAAAAAGAGGAGGGATCATTTTGCATTTAGATATAAACATATTATATAATTATGTACATTGTTTTTATAGGTTTTTTAGTGGACCGAAGATCTAATTTATGAATAAGTTAAGTCACGACTGTATCAAATACAGACATTACTACTTTCCAAGAGTTTATACAGGGGAGGAATTACGGAAGATAGTTTTATCTTCAGATGTTGTTGTCCTTTTATATGTTTCTGAAACTCGATTAACCATTCTATCTGGTGTCTTAGTGTATTAGTTATCCATATCCTGATAATTAATTATAATAATTTGATTATACCTCCTGGGATCTTTAAGATAATAGATTATATTGGAAAATGGCACAAATATTATGATAAGTGATCATAGATGTGTGACATTAGTAATAATGGCTAGAATCTCACATAATCTCGATGGTGCTATTTTTCATCTCACAAGAAGGCAAATGTTATAGCTTGGACTTAGGATTAATTCTTTAACAAGACTATTGAACGAATAGTAAGGGCAATAACAAATATATAAGAACGTTATATATAGGAGAATTAAGGATTATTGCTTGTTTTTTCTATTTATGTTTTTATACAATGTATAGATTATTTACAAAAAACGGTTATGGAAGATGATCTTTTATCTCCAGAAAACGTTGTCCTTTTATGTGTTTTTTCGAGCTCGATCGATTATTCAGATTAGTACATTAATGATCTGACTGATTCAAACTGTTGGAATTTGGAGCCTTCTGCGTCCATGGTAATGGTAGACATCATTAAGTTATAGATGCTTTTTTATTTTATATTAAATACCTGTACATATTTATTATATAGTGTATTCAATATACATTCTTTTATTTACTTTAAGTTTTCTTTTAAAGTTTTTCATTTCTTTTCAAATCTTCGAAAAACATATTTGGTGACAAATAAAATGTCTTCCTGATATTATGTACATCTGTGCACCCCATAATATACAGAAAAACTAATTAAAAATAATTCTTAAGGAAATGGCAGTAATAAACTCTCATTTTCCAACACAAACCCTAAAATTTATTACATTAATCTAGGTGCACTAGTGGATTAGAACTGCACCTCAATTCTCTAATTATGGTAATTATTCTATTCTACATTTCCGAAACAGATTTTGTGGCTCGTATGGCGCAGTGGTAGCGCAGCAGATTGCAAATCTGTTGGTCCTTAGTTCGAATCTGAGTGCGAGCTTCTTTTTTATATATGCAGGCTATTGTATTCTTAGTTATTTTATCTACTACAAGAGACATACAATATAGACCAAAGTCTTCAAATAGGCCTATTGTATTATACAAATTTGGACAAGGTGTAATGCGCACATATTATATGTCTATCTTGGCAGTCAAGTTCTTTTTAAAATATATATATTTAAAGTCACCATACTTCTGGGATTGTAAGTGTGTAGCACATTGTAATAACTCCTTTCAAATATGTTTATTTTATATAGTAATATATATCCATGTTCCTGTATATGATTTTTGAAATACCCTATTAGTTATATATAAACTAATATATCTATATATAAAAAAATATATGGTAGTTATGAGAAAATAATGCATCTTTAGTAATGGTACGTATATACCTTTTATATTATCCTAATAATGATTTAACTTCCATAGTCTTACTTTACCTTGCTCATTACCTACTGCTAGCATTTCACCACGTGGAGAAAATGCAACACTAGTAACTTTACCCAAGGGAGTACCACTAGTTGGCCAGTTTTTAAATACACTAAATGTAGGTAAATGGACTAATCTTAATGCATCTTTAACAGCTCTAGATGCCATACATAAAATTTGGCCATCTGGTGAAAATTGTAATGATGATATTGTAGTAGTTAATTGATCTAAAGTAGCGACAGGCTTTGGATTTGGAGAGTCATCTTTCATGGCACCATTGTTGTTTCTTTCATAGATGTTAACAAACCCGCTTTCACTTCCAATAGCTAGCCACCTATTGGATCTAATTTGTTCAGTGGACAATAAATGATTTGAATTAGTGCCCCCACCAACCTGAATAGTGGTAATACCAATACCGCCGTTATCTTTCCATCTTCTAAGTACTTTACCATTTTGGTTCAAATCAAATTCCCATACTTCACCATACGTATTTGTCACAATCAAGATTGTTTTAAAGCTTCTTACAGTACCACTATTTTTATTCTTTTTATTGCTATTACTCTTCTTTTTCATATTTGACACTGACTGATAATCTAGACAGAAATCGACTAAATTACCATCAATCTTGCAACCAAACATCCACATACCAGTGATGGAACTTAAAATATTGATCCAGCCATTATTACCTTGTAAACAGATAATACCATGAACACCTCCAGTTTGGAAATTGTAAAAATGGCCCAATTTAAACTTTTCAAATGATCTTTGCCTATCTTCATGGCCATATAACCTTGAAATTTTTTCAATTTTAGCAACTTGTGTTAAAGAATCTGACCTATTTGTAATTGAGGAGGAAAGATCCCATGAATGCATATAACGTCTTCTACCACCAGTAAAAATTTTTTGTTCATATTTATTTGGAGATAGATAAAAAAAACAATTTTGTATTGGCGTGTTATATAAAAATACACTTGTAACCAAATGATTGTTTTTTCCATCAATATGGTAAATTCTCAATGTTTTGTCATACCCACCAGTTAATAATAATGGTTTTGATGGATGGAATGAAAGTGACTGTATAGCTGCCTTTGAGGGATGGGTTATATTTGCATCTTTTAATCTTAATATATCCAAGTTTGTATGCGGTAGTAGTTTTGAATTAGTTTCTTTGTAATTGTATGTACTCTTCAATATCTTCGACAGAGCATTGACATCGCCATTAATTACCTGTTCTAAACCGTCCTCTCCATCATCTTCTTCTGAGTCCAACGTTTTATTATTACTATCACTATCAGATTCGTCATCCACCCATTTGGGTCTTGGACAAATTCTTTCAAATTGCGCTCTTAATCTTTGGACATAATCGTTACCATTGATTTTAGTTTCTTCATATGAAGTTCTCAATTTCTTGGTTTTATTTGTCATCATGATTGAAATATGTAATCTTTCGTCATCTGAGTCCTCCCAAGCAACATCACTCTCGCTTTCACTAATACTTGAGTCATCAGTCTCATCTTCATCAGGTTGGCTTTCTTCATTATCTACATCCATAAGATCAGTTTGTTCAGATGGTTCACCATCATCAAAGAAGAATAATTGATCATCCATAATATTTTTCATTGTATTGTCGCCATTGTCTTCTTCGTTTTCATCTTTACTGTTGTCATCACCATTATCTATGTCTGCATCTTCATCAAAATCACTCATTCCAAATAGAAATTCATCATTAAAATTGGCTAAGCTAGATTGGAAATCAGTCGTATCACCAAAGACTTGCTTTGCCAAAAACAATTCTTCTTTATCTGGTGGTGGAATTTCGAATTTCGCCATGTTATTTACTTTAATATGTATCTATTATGTCTCGGTTATATGGCCTAAGAGTACACCAGTAGGTAACTCTTTAATCACCAAAAAGATTCTGATAGTGATAAATGAGCTATGTAATGCAATGGGAGTGTACACAACCTCTTATTCTCTCTTTATGCATATGCAGAAAAAAAAAAAGCCAAAACTCATCTCATCTCATCTCATCTTATTTTTTCTTAGTCCTTTCAATTTTTTAAGCAAGAAAAAAATTTTTTTACAACTTTGCGGGTAACTTTTATTGAATTATTAGAAAAGGTTTTGTATGTCATGTAATTTGTAAGATACAAAGGCTTATTGGGGAGACTTCTTGAGACGTTAAATTAATCTTTTGTATCTTTAGATGGAATAGTTGTCACTGATAGCCAGGAATAGTCGATCAAAGATGGTATATAATATATATACGCTACGCGTTTACATCTAGTGATACATTATGGTATTACAAAATTGTAAAGAAAAGATTAACTACACACTTCTTGACATTTATTAAAATTGATTGATTGGTTAGTCAAGTTAGTAAACCTAGATGTCTAGCATGAAATTCAGCATGTTCAGGTACAAAGGAACTGATAAAATAATAGGAATGATCATAGCCATCAACTATTTTCAGATCTATATGTTTCTTCCATTGCTCATTGCAACCAATTGCCTTTAAGAAATTTTCTGCATTCAATTGTTTTTCCAAGAATGGATCATTAGAACCAATATGAATCAAAATATCCTTCCCCTCGATGTAATCAACTGTCTTTATCAATTCACATGGATCATAAACTTTTCCCTCTTCTAAAGGATCGTTAAAATAGCCACTAAATGCTTTTTCACCCCATGGACAATTCAATGGGTTTAAAATCGGTGCAAATGCTGAACACGACTTATATTTATTTAGGTTCTTTAAAAAACCAGAAAGGGCACCAAACCCACCCATTGAATGACCAGTGATCGAGACATTGTTAACAAAATCCACAAACCCATCATCAGAAAAAAATTTGTTCAACTGATCGGGTAATTCTTTGTGGATATAATCATACATATGGTAATTTTCTGAAAAGGGTTCTCTTGTAGCGTTAATATAGAAACCTGCACCTAAGCCGAAATCCCAATCATTATTCGGATCAGTTGGAATATTGTCACCACGTGGAGAAGTGTCAGGGAAGACCATAGCAAATCCATATTTGTTTGCTTGAAATTGCCAAAATGCCTTTTCGGAGGCATTCTGTGGTGTACAAGTTAAACCTGATAGATAATAAATTGTAGGAATTTGTGGGTTTAAATCATTCTGTTTATCTTTATTATTCAATCTTTGGAAATATTGTTTTGGTAGATAGATGTTGACGTTCATCGTACATTTGGTCACCCTTGATTCATGAGACATTTTAAAAAATTGTCCACCACATGCTGCAACCTTAGAATTAATGGTAAATGTCATGATAATTGAATATAGACGGTGCTGGTTATGTTATACTTGTTTATAAATGGTAGAAATCTGATTTTTAAGGAATTGGTCCTATGTATGTGTGAGTATATGTATATGTGTCACCTACATATATATTTTTGGATAAAATAATTATGAATTTTTAAAGTTATCTATCTATACAAGGTTCCTTCTTTCTTTCTTTCTTTTTTTTTTTAAAAAAAGAAAAGAAAAATGAGATAATTTCTCACAGTATGCATGATGTTGTAATACGTCACTTGAAATATAATAAAAAGGAGTAACAAGAGTTTATATCGACATGAATGATTTGTGTTAAGTTTGTGAAGAGGTGTATACAGAATATATATATTTATGGGTGTGTTGATTTATTTACTTTATTTACTTAAAACCAGGAGGATGACGAAGATGAAGGTTTTTCCCTGACGACTTTTTCTCTTTCTTTAATAATTGGTTCTCTTCCATCATTTGGAATGATCTTTTCTCTTTCTTTGATTAAACAAGATCCATCATCGTAAAAAGTCTTTGTAGTAGTAACCTCTTTAGTTGAATTGTCACTGGCATCACTATTACCAAACATATTATTATTACTACTGTATGTCATATACTGGGATCTCCCTATAACCTTTTTCTGACATTTTTCATTAGAATCACCATCTATCCAGTCCGTCTGCATAATATCTTCTGGTGTTGTTATTCTGTCAACAGGAAACCAAGATTGCTTGACTTCTCTTTTTTTATCGGAATCCAATAATAAAGAGGAAGAAGACAAAGACTTATCTTGTTCAGACTTCCATAGTAAATATTTAGTATAGTCATTAAAATATTTACTTAATGTAATAGGATCATTAGCTACAGATTCCTTTGAAACAAATCTATTCAAGTCGACTCTTTCCATATCATTGTATATTTTATTTAATCTTTTCTTAATGATTTCTTGTGGGAATAAACACTGCCACCAGCCGTTTTGGTCCCATAAAGATAACCCATTTACTTTATTACATTGGACAAATTGTAGATTTGTTGGGACCTTATAATTGTACAAACCAGTGACCCCTTGCAATATACCCTTTGGTGGTGGGTTATGAATAAATGGGAACTCATTTGTTATATTGAAATTCCATGATGATGATGGAAACGGAAAATCAAACCACCCTTCAGGAATATTATAGTTTAACAGCCATGGTTCATCTAATTCATCTTGTGGTATAATATCCTTTTCTTCTATGTTAGACATGATCTATTTATTTATTTATTTATTTATTGGAAATAATAAATAGAGAATTGTTAACCTGCGACACTAACGTATTTCACGTAAATTGACGTTATTTGAAGTCTATTTAATCAATCAATATATTTGTGAGGAAATTAAGTAATGGTTAGGAAGCAGTGAAATAATCCCATACTTTTCTTCCATACTTTTTTTTTTGTTCACTTCTTATAATATCCATAAAAATTATGTAAATATACTTTTGTAAGGATAATTTTAAAACAAGGGGAAGGAAAAAGAGAAAAAGGAAAATAAAAAATGGTGGAAGTAAAAAAAAACAATATAGGTCTTTTCTAAATATCCAAACAATTTTTCACACAAATTTGTGATACGTATTAGGGTTTAGATTATATTATTTAATATTACATCTTATTTATTTTAGTTTATATCTATATATTTATATATGTCATCTACCATTGCTATCATTACTGCTATTGATGTTGTTACTCATCATTTTCATCTTCAGTATCATCATTATCATTGCTATTGTTTAGATCTATTTGCATGACATTAGCTTGGTTAGTTTCTTCTGGAGTAATAAACGTTGTGTATCTAATCTTATTTTTTGCAACCAATTCTCTCAAGCTTTTGGTTCTTGGTATCATATCAGATAAGAAACTGAACTGATCTTTTATGGAGATACAATCGGCTATATCATTGTAGTTCAATTGTAACAAAAGTTGACCTTGTTTATCTTCCAGTTTCTGTACTACACCATTTTCCTCTAATAATGTGGGTGATGGGCTTTGTCTGTATGAGGCTATCAATGAAGATTCTTTTGTTAATGATTGGACTAGATATTTTGCGGCAAACACAGTTGCTATAACGGAATCTGGTGTCATGTCCATCCAATTTGGATCGTTCTTGGAAATATTTATGACTTTCTGTAACCATATACGCATTTCTTCATCATGACCATCATCATCATCATTATTATTATTATTATTATTATTATTATTATTATTATTATTATTATTATTATTATTATTATTATTATTATGATTGTTATGGTTGTCACAGTTGTTGTTGCCATCAGTGTATTCATTCCTACTACTAGTTGAATCATCAATTGTGTTGTTATTGGTGTTGTCACTGCTGTTCGTACTAGATTTTTCAATTAAATGATTTTTTACTCCCTGTGTTGACGAGGATATTGTCACTGGTTTAAATGTTTGAAACATGATGTTTTAGAAAAGCCTGTGGAAAAGTAAGTTATTCTGTATGTATATTGGTATATATGGTTATTTTGTTGTTTACTCGTGTACTAACGTAATATTGGTCTAGTAGATTGTAAAATAAAAAGTTACATGTTATTAGACACATCACGTCAATATGCTTATAGAAATTTTATCTTAGGTTTAGTTATGGTATAAGTTTGTATTTTTTTTTGTTCTATTACCAACTCGATATACTATTTTTGTTATTGATATCATTATTATTGTTATTGTTGTTATTATTATTATTTAGTTATAAAAAATAATAAGAAACAGAGAGGAGTTGAAAAAGAAAGAAAGAAAAAAAAAAGATTGCCCAAGTGTTTTCCTAATCGAGTAATTAGAAAACGAAACAAACTAAAAAAATTAATCAGTAACCCTATGGTTTTTGTGCAATATCTTGGGAAAAACAGGCCGGTCATGTACAGCAGCCCTAAACCACAATTTGGCAGAATTATAGTTTAAACGTGTGTGATTGTCTCTATCTATAATTGAAACTGTGGTGTGGGAAATGTGTTGATATTACTTACAATCAACATCTGTGGTGGTGACAGTAAATGAGTAATAGTTGCACCGGTAATATATATATATATATATATATATATATATATCTTAAGGAGAAAGAGTGTTTATTAACTCAGATTATTGAGCTGTTTAATATCTATCGACCTCTTTTGTTTGTTTGTCTGTTTCAGTTTCTACTATTTTTTACATCCGATGTATCATTCACCTTAAGTTTTACACATTCCTTTGCTACGCATACATCAATTTTTTATATTTAATACTACAACTTTATATATTCTTTTAATATTGTTTTCTTTTTTTTTCTTTCACTACTCTTTGTATATACATATATATATATATATATATAGTAGAATGGCAAGAGCCACAAATCATTTGATACAGCCTTTATCATCTTCCATTTTGTCAGTTACATCTCATCTCGTTAAGAAAAATCATATATATTATAACTGTTCCAGTTCTATAATGACCACAATTAAATCACTTTCCACTGATTCCTCAAAGAAGTCCATCTTGCCTAACCAATATTTCACTTTGAACACAGACAAAGATGTTTGGACTTTAACAAACGAAGCTGCCTCCTTGGCCGCCACCAATTCACGCAACAAAGATAGGGAAATGTTGAATCTAGGACAGGGTTTCTTCTCGTATTCTCCACCAGACTTCATCATAAAAGATGTGCAAAGGGTCGTGGAAATTCCGTTGGTCAATCAATATTCCCCAACAAGAGGTAGACCCAATTTGATCAATGAATTAATTAAACTCTACCAACCATTCTATGGTAACAACGTTAAATTAGATAAAGATAATGTCACTGTTCACACTGGGGCCAATGAAGCTATCTTCTCCTGTCTTATAGGTCTTTTGAATAAAGGTGACGAAGTCATTGTCTTCGAACCATTTTTCGATCAGTATATTTCAAACATTGAATTGGCTGGAGGGAAAATCCGTTACGTTCCAATTAATCCACCAAAGGAGTTGAATAACAGAGTCACCACAGGGAAAGAGTGGGAGATCGACTGGGATATTTTGGATCAATCTATCAACGAAAACACAAAAGCTATGATTTTAAACACCCCTCACAATCCAATAGGCAAAGTCTTCACACGGGAAGAACTGCTAAGACTAGGTGATATCTGTGTGAAACATAACATTCTAATTATTGCTGATGAAGTATACGAACATCTATATTTCACCCCCGAGTTCACAAGAATCGCCACCTTGTCGCCAGAGATTGCACAGTTGACATTATCTGTTGGGTCTGCAGGTAAATCCTTTGCTGCTACTGGATGGAGATTAGGTTGGGTCATTTCATTGAATAAAGAATTGCTGAACTATGTCGCAAAGGCACATACAAGAATCTGTTTTGCATCTCCATCTCCATTTCAAGAAGCTGTGGCTTTAGCTTTACCACAAGCTACTAAATTGAATTATTTTAAGAACATGCAACAAGAGTATATTAAGAAATTTAAAATCTTGACTGATGCATTCGATAAATTGAATCTCCCATACACAATCGCTGAGGGTTCATATTTCATATGTGCCAATTTTGTTAATGTCAAGATTCCAAAGGATTATCCATTCCCTGAAGAATTACTATCTAAGGGGAAGGATTTCAGAATCTCCTATTGGTTGATGAATGAATTGGGTATTGTTGCCATTCCACCAACTGAATTTTACATCAAAGAACACGAACATGCAGCAGAAAATTTATTGAGATTTGCCGTTTGTAAAGACGATGAATACTTAGTTAAAGCTGCTGAAAGATTCCAATTATTGAAAGAATATTTATAAACATTATCAAAATTGTTCCTCCAAATATATACAATTGTATCCATATAAATCTACTCGTATATAAATGAGTATATACATATATTCAGATCATGTATTTTTAATACGTTTTCTTCCCACTAATTGGGGAATCAAGTGGATCAGGTGTGAGGGCGAAATGGTCCATGTAGTAATTGTCTTTTGTGTCAATGTCAAAATGGCAATTAAAAATAAACACTTATGAAAAAATAATGTGTAGTGAATAATATACACATAGTAGTTGGTATTGGGTTATATTCAGAAAAATATATGTAAAGAGAGGGGGGACAGCCAAGAAAGAAAATATACCGTTCATTCTTTACGCTTCATTCCTCATAAACTGTTTGCTCAACTAATTTTATTCACATTATAAGCTTTTTAGTTAATATTAGTATATTATCATTATGAAACTTTTTTACAACCCTTTCCCCATATTTTGGTTATTTGGACTTATAAATAATGTGTTATATGTAGTGATTTTATCTGCTGCTGTAGATTTGGTAAATCTAACAACACCAAAGTCTTTAATTCTATTAGTGGATATACTACCGTCACTGTTGGTGAAACTTGTTTGTCCCTTTTATATCCACAAAATACAATATGGTGTCAGAATTATAATTCTTATATTATTAAGTGTCATCGGTATGATGATGGTTTCAGTCCATTATACTCTTACATGGACATTATTGGGTATTATCTTGGCTTCAATGTCTTCTGGATTTGGTGAAGTGACTTTTTTACAGTTAACACATTATCAGACTGAGACGTACACTCTTTTAAGTGATGAAAATGAAGACAACAATAGTAAGAAGGCTTTGAATGGTTGGTCTTCAGGTACAGGTGGGGCTGGGTTAGTTGGTTCCTTCTGCTATTTATTTTTGACTTCAATATGTAATATATCAATACCTGCCTCTCTATTATGTTTTGCAGTTTTACCTATTGGATTTTTACTTTATTTTCAACTCAATTTGGAACCACAATCGTCTGTGAATTTATCTAATATGTCTACAAATCAATGGATAGTAAATAATTTTAGTGTTTGGTCACGATTGAAAATGCTAATCATACCATATATGTTACCCTTAACTTCAGTGTATTTCTTTGAGTATTTAATTAACCAATCGATTTCACCAACTTTGCTATTCCCAGTAGAAGTAATCCCATTTTTTCATAGGTATAGGGATTTGTATGTCCTTTATAGTACCTTATATCAAGTCGGTGTTTTCATTGCAAGATCATCAGGTAGGTGGATAAGATTAAAAAAATTATATACATTGACATATCTACAAAGTTTAAATTTCATAATAACGTTATTACAATCTTGGTATTTTATAAATTCAAGATGGCCGTATTTAAATATGTTAGTGATCTTTTGGGAAGGTTTACTCGGTGGGTCATCCTATGTTAACACTTTTCTAAATGTTCAGGATGATTTACCTCATGAACAAATTGAATTCTCTATGGGCTCAGTCTCAATTGCTGATTCACTAGGCATATTTTTAGCTTCCTTAGTAGGACTACTGCTAGAGCCAACTCTCTGTGACCACCAGGTTCAAGATGGAAGACCATGGTGTAGAATGGTGGAGAAGTAGTTTTTTTTTTACGTTATCCAATTTATTATTATTGAATAAACATTACTGATTAATTCAGTGCTTTTTGTTCTTATTTACTTTTTTTTTATAGTATCTAAATGTAGTACTTAGATATTTGATTTATATAAGTTGGATGGTATCATTAATTGTTAATTAGAAAACTTTTAATATAACGTATAAAAGCATTAAGATAATTGTTATCATTTTTGCCTCCTCGTAACCACTATTGACAGAAAGACCTAATAAGAACATTGATAGTAAATTTAATAGTGATAAGTAGACCTTTTTTTTTATTTCGAAATAAATTAAAGCAGAAATCAAGATTGAGATTGTTGTATATAAATATGATGAATAGAATACCTTTTGGCAATATTCATTGTAAGTAAAAGCAAACAGGGGTGATAGATTGGTTGCTTGATGACTATTAATCAATGCCAAATATTCTGTTTTATCACTTGGTGAATTATTTTGCAAATCAAAAGGATTATCTCTCCGATCGCGAGCAACAATATTTTCTATATCTGACATAGATGATTCAACAGATGTTACTTCATCTGCATCGGAATATATATTGTTTTCAACACGGAATACCTGAAGGTCCTTTGTTTCCTTGAAGTTTGATGGTTCAGTTGGATTAACATTATTATTATAATTATTATTGGTTTTACTAATATTGGCGTTATTATCCGAATTTGTTTCACTCAGAGTAAGTATTAAACGACCAACATATTCCTCTAGTTGTCTTGCAGTGGGTCTCTTGGCTGGATTAGTAGACAGCAATGATTCTATTATATTAAATATTCTAGAATCAATTGGTTTTAAGTTCATAGCACTATGTTCCTTAATCATAGATAATTTATTAATTTTGAATGACTTGACCGTACGTTTCATGTCAGGTATATCAAATGAATCTAATATAAACGGCAATTTACCAAATATGATAAAATATATTATCATACCGAAAGAATACATATCTGAAGCAAAAGTATATTCATTGTATGGCAATGATATATCGTTGTCTATCGGGGAATTACTTGCTACTCCCTGACTTAATTTATCACTAATAATAACTTCTGGTGCAGTATATTCTATAGTGCCTGTTGCCCCAGTAGCGGTTCTTGCTTCTCCGAGAAGCTGACTCTCACCTAGATCACCGATTATCACAGTAGGGAAAGTGTCATATTCCTCTTCATTTAATGAATTCATTTTATTTAAATGATCCTCTTCGATGTCAAAATTATTAGTTATCGAATCGTTATTCTGAATTATGTCGTTTTTACTATCTTCTGCAACTGTCCTGTCTTTATATTTAGACAACAATAAACAATTGGATGGCTTGAGGTCTCTGTGAATCAAACCAATATCATGTAACTCATGTAATCCTCTTGAAATATCTTGAATAATATGTAGGATTTGTAATGTCGATAATCCTAATTGAAGTTGTGCATTAGCTCTCTTAATTCTTCTCATCTCTTTGAACCATTTTTTCCTTTCTTCAGGAGATGTTCTTTCAGGGTATTTTTTGAAAACATCAATTGAAATACAATCTTCTAAATTTCCTCCAGGGCAATATTGTTGTAAAATGAATAGACATGGAATCTTTTCATTTGAATCATCATTTTTATCATCATTTATTGAATCTTGATTTAATTGTTCTTTATTAGTGTTCATTTTGGTTGTAACACCATATGATTTATCCATTTCTAACCAAACATGGTTGTATGTGATTAGATTGGCACTTTTATGTGTCAGAGAACTCAATGCTTTCACTTCTCTGATACATTTATTAAACCAAACCATATCATTACCAATAGAGATTTTTTTTAAGGCAAAGACACCAAGTGGTGTATTACCAATTCTATGAATCACTTTAAACACTGAACCACGAGCACCATTACCTAATAAAGATAAGGTTGTAAAAAATTTATGGAAATAGCCAGGTATAAAAAGATCTTCCGGTATAAAGGAATGAAAATCCTGCTCTTTTTGTGAGTTTTTTGTTTTATTTTTACTACTTTTAATATAGTTGCTGTTGGTACTAGATTTAGAATCATCATTAATGCTTGGCAATGAATATTGCCTATGTGTACTTTGTAAAAATTGAAAATATCCTGGAGATAAATTGAAATGAGGTGATTGGTTAGAATTCAAAGGTCCCATTCCTTGAGTATCAGTTAGACTGGCATTTGTGATGAAGTTATCCGTTAAGTCATTTGCACTATTATAATTTGTATCACTCAAAGATTGGAGAGGCGATCTTCTTGTATGATTGTTGCGAGAAACTTTAATCTTATTCCCATCTGATATTTTTGTGCCACATTGTGGACATAAAAATGTTGCTATAGAATAATGTCTATTTTTACCTGTAATATTATTATTATTGTTAGTAGTATTAGAATTACTATTACGAATATTATCTTCAAAATATATGGTATTATATCTTTCCAACTGATTACTATGATCAAAACTAGATAAAGATCTTCTATCTGAATTATTAACTAAAGGATGTGTGGTAGGAACTTCTTGGAATACAGATAAGGTACCCTGTGCAGCATTAACAATCATCAAGGATTTGGAGTTTGGGTCATTGAGTATCAATGAATCATCTGAGTAAGGTATTAGACTCATGTTAAATTGAATATCAGTTTGTTTGTTTGCTTATGGACTGTATATGATTTTTTTATTTCTAAACAACAAAAATAAGGCAAAACATATATGTACACATAAATATACTTTTAATCTTCATGCGTTTGTCATTCCTTATTATTTCTCCTTCTTCTTCCTCCCTTTTTCTAAATTTTGATCTAATAATGACTATCTTTATTAAACCATATAACTTTTAACAAGTTGCAATAAGATATGTTTGAAATAGGAACTAAATGTAGAGAGATAGTGTGAGACAGATGGCACGAAAGAATCTGAAGAACCGAATAGATCGACATGTTTAATCATTAAAGAGATCTCTTTCTTCCCTTCCCTCTTTATATTTTTCTTTGTGGAATTATATTTACCCCTTCAGCTGTTTAAAGGATTGTGGTAGTGCCGTTTGGGTCTCGAGAGAGAAAAGAAGCCAAAAAAATTTTGATTTCAAGAGCCTTCGAGAAGATTTTTTAGATCTAAAGTTTCAAGCAGAGCAGATGAATTAATATATTTTTCTAGAGAGTATGTATATGAGTGTTCATGTTTGGTAGGGCAGCTACATCTGCTAAGAACATGAGATAGTAATTCGATTATTTTAATCTAGATTTGTTTTTGGTTGTATGGTAGCACTTATTGCTGTTAAACATTGAAAGTAAAGAAGAAGAGAGTGAGTATAAGTGTATGCACAAATATACGTCAATGTAAAACATTGTTAACGGAATAAATTAAAAAAACAAGCCTATGGTATACTTAGTTATTTTTATAAGATAAATTCTAGATAAGTTTACCATGGATTATATGTTGCTGGGTTCAAAATCTAGAAAAACGGGGTTTCGATTGAATAAGTCATGTGAAAGAGATAAATATTTAATGGAGAATATCAATGAATATTTTAATGAAGAAAAAAATGAAAGTCCACATGTTAGTGATCAAACTAAGAGGCCTAAAAGTAAGGATAATAGCATTTTTGATAAGAGTAATCTTTCCATTTTGTCACCGTTGAAAATTGGTATTATTATTTCACCAGATAAGTTTAATGATGTTCCAAGAGGCAACATTCCTCTTTTAATTGATGACGTTGAATCACAAAATATTGTTGCTACCCCACTATATAATAAAAATTCCTTTCAGGTCAAATCAAACCTAGATGTAAAAGACTTTCAATCAAATTATAATATTCCAGAAATAATCGAAGTAGAGGATGAAGAGGAGGAGGAAAATGAAAATCAAATTTTAGAAAATGTACCTGATCTATTAGACAATTCTGAATTAGACTATAGTACAGCAGAAGAAAGCGTTCTATTGGACACGTCACAAGATGCCCTATTGGAAACTGAGATTGCATCAAGAGTTCATAACAAAAAAGTCAAAAATACCGATACCTGTAGTGATATTGACTCTGATGGAGAAGATAGTGATTATATTCCAATAAAAAATGAAGATTGCAAACTAGCAGAATCGAACGTCCCCTTAAGGAGAAGTACACGGATTAAAGTTCCTATTCTTGATTATTGGAGAAATGAAAAGATTGTCTATAAAAGAAGATCTGCAAGACCTGAATTGGATATCTTCAAAATAATAACTTATGAAAATGAAAATAATGATAGTATTAATCAGAAGAAAGACACAAGGAATAAGAAAAGGAATGGAGTTACAGTTGATAACGAATCTTACGATAGGAATCAGTTTCTTTCTCCAGTAGAAAACAATTCGCAAAGAAGAAAACAGATAAAAGTAGATTATTCTTATTTAAATAGTAAAATACAGAAGAAGATATCAAGCTCTGGAAATAAAGATATTGAATGGGTATCTAGAGGTGTATTTGAAGGTACTATAAAAGAGAAATCAATTACAGAGGATAAATTAGAATCTAAAAAGGAGATTCTGGCTATAGCACCAGATTATATTGATAATGAAAGGATGTACTATCAAAATAATAATAATTATAAAATAAATATTTTATTTGATTCACAAAAAGATTATTTTGCAAGTGGATTCATGACATTACCTATCAATGGTCAAAAAACACTCTCAACAATTGATAATATCTATATAATCTTCCATGTATTGAAGGGTTGTGTAGAAGTAACAATATCTGATAACAATAAGTTTGTCTGTATGAAAGGATCCACATTCCAGATTCCCTCTTATAACTCATATTCATTAGTTAATAAGGGGAATATCGCTGTTAAACTACATTTTGTTCAAGTGACAGTTAAGTAAAAGAGAAGTTTTTTTTGAATAGATAGTGTAATACCTATGTTGATCTTTAAGTGTTTACAAAAAAAATAAAAGTATGTAAAAATCTAGTAGGAAATAAAAAATAAAAAAGGATCTGGTTTTATTCTATAAGAAAAATATCATAAATATATATATATATTTGCATATGTGTGTGTATTTAACGTAAGTCTCTATATGTTTATTTTGAAAATGGTCAATCCATTTTACTCTCTCGGTTTATCAACTGTGTTTTGTTATGAAAATATTATTGAACTGTCTCATTATTATTATTATTATCAGCAATTAAGTTTTCTTGACTATTGCTAGTAGCTGGGTTACTATTATCATCCATATTATCAGACAATTTTTTCATGCGGGCTAGTTTTACCAATGGAGCTAAAGTTGATGTAGATGCAGCTTCTTGTTTGATAAATGGATCATTTAATAAATCTTCTGCAGTAGCTCTTTGATCAGAATTTACTTTAAGACATAAACCAAGGAAATCTTTCAAAAGTGGTGATAATAATTCTGGTTCCTTTAATTTTGGTGTTCCGTTTGTGGCAATTAAATATAAAGCTCTTAATGGTGTTTCATTCAGATATGGTGGTTCTCCTTCAATCATTTCAATGATCATAATCCCTAAGGACCAAACATCGACTTTTGGACCGTATGCTTTCCTTGAGACGACTTCTGGTGCCATCCAATATGGAGTTCCTACCATAGTTGTTCTCTTCAAGTTCGATTCGTTAATTTGAGCACAGAAGCCAAAATCTGTTAACTTAATATCACCTTCCATTGATAAAAGTATATTATCCGATTTAATGTCTCTATGGATAACCCCTTTCGAGTGCAAAAACTTCAATCCATTCAATGTCTCTCTACATACAGTGGCGATTTGTGATTCATTTAATATACAATGTGTCACTACATCTGTTAGTGAACCACCTTCCATATATTCCATAACCACCCATAGATCTTGTTTAATTAGATATGAGTCGATAAAATTGACAATGTTGGGGTGTTTACTCTCTTTCATGACTATGATTTCATTAATGATTAATTCTTTCTTTGGTTGTTTTTCTAGATTCATCTGTTTTATAGCTACTGACACATTTGTATTGATTTCATGTGCTGTATAAACACCACCTGAGGCCCCCTGGCCGATTTTTATCAGGTCGACATATTTTGTATGTGGATCATCTAATGAACAGATCTGTTGTAACTTGTTATAAATTTCTTTTTTGCGTTTTTCTCTTTCTTCACGTTTCCGTTCATTTGATAATTGAGTGCGTGTTGGCGAAGAGGTATTTATCTTATCTAGTTCATTCTTTGTAGGTAACGTTGGTATAGGTGGTAATTCTTTTTGTGAGCTTTGTTCTTGGTGATTTGATAGGTCTGTTTGAGTGTTTGATTTTACAAAAGTAGCTTTGTGGTTGTTATTATTTGAGATGGAGGGAGATGATGGTTGAGAGTTGATATTTGCTTTTTTAACAGTTGGAGGTTTTGGCGCGGGCCTTGTTGGAATAAATTTTTCATTATTTACAATATTTGAATGTAAGGGAGGGGTGGACATAGGACTGTAAGCAGTATGATTATGGTTATGGCTATGGTTGTGACTATTATTGAGAGTTGGTAAAGATGGAGTAGAAGATGATGAATTTGATATGGAAGATTTATAAGAGCCAGTACTTGGTAATCTTGGGGTGGAAGAATTAGATACGGGTTGTGTGTTAGAGACTGGTGTTACTGATTTGGGTTTATAAGTTTTCATAATTTTATCCCCGGGATGAGATACATCGTTTTGATAGAACTGGACAATATCCATCACAGTCTCTATATTTTGTTGTTGTTCTTGTTTAGATATCCCATTTGAAGCCAGGAGACGTTGCCATTCCTCTGGAAGACCGGTGTATTTGCCAGTTTTAGCATCTATCCCCACATGATGTAGATGTTTGGGGTTATATGGAGTTGATATTTTCAGAGAACCGGTACTATTATGTTTGTTGCCAGCACTTTTTCTTCTCCTTCTTCTCGCTGTTGCTGTTAATGATGTAGTTGTTGAGGAGGAGGAATAACTACTCCCGTTAGTGCTACTATTCGTACTGTCCCCACTATTTCTTTTGATTAAGGATGCAAACACACCTTTCATAATACTGGTACTACTACTGTTGTTACTACTATAGCCGATACTATTACTTATATTATTTTTATTGTTAATGTTGCTGCCACTACTTCTATTACTCCTACTTTTGCCAGTAGTGCTATTACTATTACTTTTGTTAGTGTTGTTGTGGTTGTGGTTGTGGTTGTAAGCTGATGAGGATGGTAAAGTATTGTTATTCCCACTTAAAGATATTTTTTTGTTCTTGATTTGATTTTTAGATGTAGTAGAAACTTTCTCTCCATTATTTTGAATATTATTATTGTTATTGTTGCTATTATGATTACATTTATTTAAATTTGGGGAGGATCCAGTACTGTTATTTGTGGTTTCGAAAACATTTGAACTTGCTATATTTGTAGTAGAAGGATCTGACTTATTTATATCATTTGTTAAAGCATTAATGTTCCAAACCCCGAGGGCTCTGGGAATATCACTATCTGGCATAGAACTACTATTATGGGTATCAGTATTATTATTTTTATTTTCACTATTGGGATTATCACTACCAGTCTTATTATCTGTCATAGTTATTTCAGTAATAAATGTATACTTTTTTGTATGTCAGTGTTTTCTATATTAAGGAAAAAAACAAAAAAAAAGAGAAAAAAGAAGGTAATTGTAGTATTCTATGTTCAATGCCAATTCAAAGCATACTAATATACCAATCTATTGCGCATATATACGTCTTGTTCAGCAGGGGTAGATATAATACAGGTGTATCTGTTGTTATCACCACTTTATGATATGGAAGACGTTACATTGTTTACCTTTTAACTTGTTTCAAGTTCGCTGACAAAACCCCACAGCATTTTTTTTTTGTTTTTGTTTTTCATTTTTTCCCGTTTTCCCTCGATTCGTGGAAAGTGATGTAGAATATTCGGGTGTGTGGGTGTCTACTATTTTTCCCGTGTCGTTTCTTTTTCTGAGTGGAAAAATTTTTCTGTGGAAATTTCCTGGAAGATTTGTTCAACTCGATGCAATGAGGTGAAGTTATGTAATATGGATTTGATTGATTAAGTGTAGTCAGTCTGATCTGCCTATTGGTTTTATTGTTGGTGCTATCTCAGGTCTGTTTAAGTACATCTGGTGGTTCAGCTCTTATTCAATTTGTTTTATACACACAATTGACTCTCTTTCTTAGGCATTTATCTCTCAGTCTCTGTCTGTTTCTCTGTCCATCTCTTTCTCCATCGCTTTGGTCCCTTTAGCTCTCTCTTCGTTTGTTCCCATTCTAGAGGTAGAAGAGTTTAAACCATTACACATATACGCATATTATAATACGCATATTATACTCGTACCATGCCAAGGTCCAAACGTTCTAAATTAGTCACACTATCTAAAACTGAAGCTAAGACCCGTGAATCTAAGGAAAAAATATTCGATTCAGTAAGAGAAGCCTTAGACACTTTCCAGTACGTCTGGGTGTTACAGCTGGATGACGTAAGGACTCCAGTCTTGCAAGAGATCAGGTCTCAATGGGTAGGATCCCGTTTGATTATGGGGAAGCGTAAAGTGTTAATAAAAGCTCTCGGTGAGACTCGCGAAAATGAATACAAGGAAAACTTATACAAGCTATCAAACCATATCAACGGTGTGGTGGGTCTGCTTTTCACCAATGAGGATGTCGCTACCGTTAAGGACTATTTTACTGCATACGAAAAGAATGACTATTCCAGGGCTGGTAGTTTGTCTCCTATAGACTTTGTTATACCCCAGGGAATCGTGTATTCTCGAGGCGGACAGATTCCAATCGAAGACGATGTCCCCATGGTCCATTCTTTGGAACCCACTTTAAGAAACAAGTTCGAGATCCCGACTAAGATCGTGAAGGGTAAGATTTTCCTTGATCAACCATATAAAGTTTGCTCAAAGGGTCAGAAATTGGATGTTAGACAAAGTTTGATATTGAAGCAATTCGGTGTGGCCGAATCTAAATTTAGAATTAAAATTCAATGGTATTACGATATCGCAAATGCTGGGATAAAAGAGGTTGATGTTAATCTTAATCTTTCCAATTAGGTAAATATATATGTGTTATATACTGTTGTACACTAAAATAATTAAAAAAAAAAAAAAGATTCAATAAAATAGATGTATCATTTTTATTTTTTTTTTTCTTTCCTATTTATTTTCTTTTGATTATTTCTTATTGTCCATTAATATATTTGCAATAATTATTGATTTGTAATTCAATGTTTTTAAAACTTATGTAGTCATTATCATCAACGTCGCTACCGTTTTCTTCCTTCGTGTTGTTATTATATGATACTATCAACAATTTATTTATAGTATCAAATTTATGTTTCAATGAATAAAAACTGTTTAATATTAATTGGTATAGTTTAATCATTTCAATCTTACCACTAGCGTTTTGGACTTTCGACATTTGTTCATCTAGTCCAAAAATTATTATATTGTTGTATTGGAACTTATTTGAATTTAGATCGCTATCGACTTCAAGGTAAGTCAAATACATGAAAAGGTATTGTAATTTATTTAAAAACAAGATTTTAATATCCTTATCTAAACGTCGTATATCATTAATAGTTAACAGATGGTCATCGTCAGAAGAAGATTCAGCCCGTTTTGTTAATAGTTTTTTTAATTCAGTTTCAATAAATTGACGTGATTTGTCACCAAGAACAATAATTAGACTCGGTGCATAATTAATGGTGCTGGTGTTACTGCCGCTGGTTTTATTGTTGTTATAAGTCTTTTCATCGTATCTGGAATCTTTCTGTTTTATTAAATCAATTATAACTGATTGTATAGTTATGTTGCTATTGTCAGTATAACAAAAGCACATTCAAAGCGTTAATTTTATATCTTCCCATATAATAGTATCTACCTATATATATTCATGTATGAAAGTTTACTTGTTCCTTATACACAAAAAAACTTTATTAAAAATATGAATTTCTCACTTGATATATCACTTAAGCAACCTACTCACACACATATACAAATACAAATACAAATACATATACAAACACATATACATATACATATACAAACACATATACATATACATATACAAACACATATACATATACATATACAAACACATATACATATACATATACATATACATAGATGCGTGTATGTATTTGTGAGTGTGTGTGTGCTCATTTATTCTACTGGGGCCACTCCACACAGAAACCGAAAATTACGTAACAAAATTCCAAATCCAAAAAAAAAAAAAAAAAGAAAAAAAAGAAAAACTTCTCTGGCCCAGAAAAACCCAGACATTTTAAATGTTGGGTGTATGGGTTTGTGTTCGTTGGTGATGATGTTTTCCCTTTTGTTTTATTGAATTTTTTCAATGTCTCAAAAATCCAGAAATCCAAAAACATACAATAATTGTTTACAAGACTTCGAAATATAATATATATTAACAGATAGGGATCAAGAGGCGTGGTTCAAAATTGAGAGAACAAGCGCTACTTGGCATATACCTGTAATTGCATGTGCTTCATGTTTGCATATGCATGGGGGGAGGTACTAATGTTATAGAATACAAGACGTTAACAATTGTTTATTTCTAAGTTTTCTCTGATTTTTTTTATTATTTCATTTTTTTATCGCAAGTTTATACGTACATATATATGTATGTATGTATGTATATATTTACTTGTATTTATGTATATAGATGTGTATGTGTGTGCTATAGATATATACAATAGAAAATATGTTGAAATTAGTATCAGCAAGACCGTTTAATAAATTATATCCTTCTACCTTATCTAAAAGATTCAATCATGTTTCATCAATAAACAGCGAGAATACTTTGACAAATGAGAGTATTGTTAATAGACTTAAATCACTGAGATACGTTAATACTGATGAAGAACAAAATATTAGAAATTTACTTAATCAACCATTAAATGATAAGGAATTACAATTAGACGAAGAATTGACAAAGTTTTTGGAGGAATTTAAACATTTAAAGGAACAACAACAGCAAGTCCTTGCTAATAATAACAACACCAACAGGTCTCTAACAGGTCCTTTTACCACTTCTTCTACGACTGCATCTACTACCACTCCTTTCCCCTATCTAAAATCAGTTTCTAAATCAAACGAACCATATTCTTTACAAGAATTATATTTAAGACAATTGAACCATGCAAGGGTATCAGCTTCTTTGGGTGCCCAAATTAAAGACACCTACCAACCTCACATGGATATAACATGTCCACCTTCTGTAGAGGAGACCACTATACAAAAATTGATGGCTGCTAACGTCCATCTGGGTCAATCAACTTCTCTGTATAGATCCTCTACACAAAGTTTCATCTATGGTGAATATAAAGGCTTACATATAATCGACTTGAATCAAACTTTGCAATATTTGAAAAGGGCATGTTCTATTGTAGAGGGGGTAGCAGAGAATGGTGGTATCATCTTACTGTTAGGCACAAGACCTCAGTGGAAAGTCCCATTACAAACAGCTGCAAGAAGAATGAATGGTTATTTTGTTTCTACCAGATGGATTCCGGGAACTCTCACTAATCCAACTGAATTGTCACGTATATGGGATAAACAAGAAATCGATCAATTCGATGTTCCTACTGGCAGGACTTTGACTAATGATGAAATGTCATGTATTGTTAAGCCAGATTTGTTGATTGTTTTGAATCCTACTGAAAATAGAAACGCTTTATACGAAGCAATGAAAACGAGGGTTCCTACTATCGGTATCATTGACACTGATTCGGAACCATCAATGGTCACTTATCCAATTCCTGGTAATGATGATTCTAATAGATCTGTTAATCTACTATTAGGTATACTTTCAAGGGCTGGTGAAAGAGGATTGAATAAAAGATTGAAAAAAAATATGATGAAAGGAAAGAATAGTGATGATGCTACAATATGATATGATATATTTGAAAAAAAGAACAAATTATATTATTACTGATAATAACAATAGTGCATATGATGTATATATGTTTATATATGGAGATATGTTGATATCTACATTCTTGTAAATAAATAGATTGGGTTTTCCTAAAAAAAAATCTTGGTACACCTCATCATATTTATTATTTCAAATAAAAAGATTTCAAAGTGGTTGTTGTATGAAGAAAAAGGTTGGAATGAGAGAAAAAGAAGGGATATAAGTAAAAGAAATAGTTATAACTTTTTCAGTTATGTTATAAAATTGAACTGTCTCTCCGTTAAAAAGTCATGGAATTCCAGATAATTCAATTTATTTTATTTTTATTTTTTCTTCTTTTATTTATCAATTTTTCTTTTCTTTGAATTCTTCTTCATCCTCATTTTCACTTCTTTCATCAGCTTGAACACCACTAGAGATATATCTATAAAGAATACGGAAGATCAAAAATAACCAGTACAAATTGACTAATTGCAAAGCAAGGATTAATACAAACACAAAGATTAAAGAAATCCAACATTTGTATTGTTGAGTGGCAAAATTTAATCTATAGTTACCCACAGTTCTAAACTCGGTCAACACAGACCATAGAATACGAATATTGACCACATGACGCAAATAGATCCAACTAATAATGAAAATGATAAAGATGGTAGGAGTGAATGGGGAATCTAAATAATTTAAAGTCTTTGATAAAGCTAATAGACAATCAGAGACATCCATGGTGATATAGATGGCTAGACCCATCTTGGTGAAATGGAACACATAGGATAACCAAATTAGTAATAAAGTCACAATATGATGGAAAATCAATTCATAATAATCCTTTCTTGGTTTCTCTAATTGTAAAGCAAGAACACAGGCTTGTTGAGTCCAAAATGCAGCTTGACCTAAATAAAATATTTTGAATAGATAGGGATTATTAAAATCTGGATAAGTCTCGTACATGGTTCTAGTTTTGAAAAGCCACAGATCAGTACCGTGCATGATATATAGACCAAATGGACCAGAGATACCGTAGTAAAATACATAGTATACTTGCTCCATAATTCTATCTTGTTTTTGTTTATTTTTGGCAACTTTTAATGCAAAGGGACGAATGAAAACATCCATTATAAAATCTCTTAAGAAAGTAAAAAAAATCATATAAAAGAATACAAAACAAAGATCTTTGATACCTTTACCATACATATCAGTATCATCTATTTGATAAGAGATGGTCACAAACATATGTAATGGATTTGTCTTTGTTTGGTTATCAGAACTGAAGTAGAAGGCATACACAACACTAATGATGAATAAAGGTGGTATCCACACATGGCGAGATATTAATTCACCAATATATTTTAAGGGATGTTGTAAACATAATTGTAACGAATTATAGGAGCTTTTATTTGTGCTTTTTGAACCAAGTTGGCTTGTTATTGATTGAACATTATCACCTAAGTCGATCTTCCCAACAGAAGAAGATCTTCGACTTCGAGCATACCTTGGTGTCGGTGAATGTAACGATTGATTTATTCCAGTTGATGTAGACATGTTTTGACAGGATTCCTAGAGGAGAAGGGGAAATTATATAGGGAAGAATAAATAGTGATAGGAAATTAAGTAAAAAATTAAAGAGATAACCGATAAAGTGTTTCGGGACAGTTCTAATAAAAAATCCTTGACAGCCAGAATGCTCTTCAATGAGTTGAGAGGTTATTATCAAGATATGTGGCTTGTCCTCTATTAAAGTAATATATTAATTGATATGTGTTTTTTATAATTCAAATTGCAATAAGGTTTCACTAAGGTGTTGAAGCAGAGGTGGTAGAAGTAATGAAGAACTTCTCCTCTTCGCTTCATTTATTGTTATATAATACTCGTTTATTTCTTTCGTTCTGTTTGTTTGTTTTTTTTTTTTTCGTTTCTCGATGTTCCTTCAACAGCAGCATTTGGAAAAGGGTGTACGGAATAATAATGGAAAATTTTCCGTGTTGAGAATCCGCTACCAAAAAATCTGTTTTTGCAATATATTGCAAGGAAACTAACCCAAGAACATGGATTAATGGTATTTAATGGTAGGCATCGGTATTCGAGAATACACTTCTTCGGTTTATCCAATGTCTTTCCTGATAAATTATGAATATATTATAGGTGGATGGATAAATGGAAAACATAACAAAAACATAAAAGTGCTTTCTTTATTATGTAGGCCCCATAAAGCATGTTAATTTGCTTTTTAAGCAAGTTTTTTTGGTAATGTCATAAATGAATATTAACTTCAATTCTAAATTTTTAATATGGTGTACATTAAATAAATGATGATGCTAAGAGAAGGGAACTGCACAAAAGCACAGGAGATATTATTTTAGTAAAAACAGTGTTTATAAGAAAGTAGACTTAAGTTGTTATTTAAATTAGTGGACATAGTTGAATACTAATGTTATTTGTGTGTATATCATAATTCCAGTTTTTCAGTATTTTGTGATGTGAAGTAACAGATAGGAGTGTAGAAGAACAAAACATAGTTATATAGAATAATTAGAGAGAAAATATAAAAGTGAGTTTTATTATTTTCTTGTCTTAACCTATGATTTCACTTTTGGGGTTGAATAATTTACTTTTTATATATCCCTTAAATACTATTTTTTTTATCACTTTCAACAGTATCGTGTTTGATAACGGTTGTTGTTGTTTTTTTTAAATAACATTAAAAATTTTTTTATATAGTCGTTTGATATTTCTAATAGTTAAAACTTCTAAAGAAATATCAATAATGATTTTTTTATATGTAGTTGTCCCTGTTATAGATTGTGAATACTTTGTAAGAATTTGTATAGTATCATTATTCATTATGAGAAAAAAAAACGCCCACTTGAAAAAGTCACTTTTTAGTAATCTTTAAACAATACTATTATATGAAAATTGTTATTAGGTAAATAGATGAATTGAATTAAGTAGGATAAGTACAAATATTTTTATGTAAATAGTGTACAAAGTTGCATAGCACTTGATATAGTATTATTAACTTAATTTTATTAATGCTGGTGATTTTGTATAAAATTAAGAGTTATTCCTTAATATTGGTACTGGAATTTATTTAAAAAAAATAATTATCTCTTGGAAAACTTCCAATCAAATTTACCAGTTTATATTAATCATTGAGTACATAATTGTATTAATAACTCATCTGTTAAGATTTATAAGGCGTGGAGTAATAATCTATATGCTATAATGAAACATTATAAACCGTGTATTTTATCGTACATTGAATTAAATGACACAAGAGTTATATACAAGACTATGTACTGTGTATATAAAGTGATGGGTAAAAGAAATTATTCTTAATTTCTATATTTTGATTATTTATACTTTTTCGAAGGTTACTTTTGTAAAAACCTTTTCCACAAAATTTTCATTGATGCTGGGTAATATCTCAACATTATCTATATATTGTATTGTTGAGAATGAGCGCCTTTATTCATTGGATATATAGTAAACATTCTCAATATTATATTAAACAGATTTAGTATACAGAATTATAATAAAGTTCTTCACTTTCTTTCTCTATATACAACATAGAAATAATAATATACAAAGATTGTAAATAAGATAAAAATAATGTATGATGAAATCCTTGGCTTTATATATGTTAACATTTAGCCACTTTCCTCTACGAACAGTAAGATATTTAATAAACAAACTCGACAACCTTTGGTGACCTCTCAACAATTATTACTCAACAATTTATCGTTTAGTGTCTGCTAAAATCTTATTGTTTTATCTATTTTATTATAGAACATTCTATTTCAACATGTATATTGTCTGTAAATTTGTACAATTACTGGGTTTCAGTTGGATTCCTTATATTGTAATTGTTTATTTTGTAAGTGTAATCTTTTTTTTTCTGGTTGAGCTTTGCTCATTACTAAAAAATCTAAAAAAGAGATTTTTGAAAAAATAGAAAATAAAGAACACAAAATATTAAAATAAAAAAGACAGAGTAGAATAAGACAAAATAAAAACTAACTTTTATAATTTTTCTTTAATTACTCTATATAACTATGTTTTGTTCTTCTTACTGAACTCGAACTTTCTAGAATAAATAATAGACCAACTAGATTTTGGTAAACGTTAATTGATAAGCAAAAAGTGGAAAACGTATTGTTTGCTTATCAGTAGACGTAAACAAACTTCATCATAAATTTGGTGTCGTACGTAAACGAGATAGACCAGATATGAAAATATATAAAGCCAACATTTTTTTCATATCATGTTTCTTCCCTTGCTCATCTTCTATATTTTAGCATTATACATTATATACATAAATAAAAAAAACCGAAGAAGTTTATTATAATTTTGTATACTAAGTCTATCTAATTATAATTGTCAGAAAATGAGAGTTTATTACTGTCATTTTCATAAGAATTATTTTTAATTAGTTTTTCTATATATTATGTGGTGTACGGATGTACATAATATCAGGAAAACATTTTAATTGTCACCAAATATGTCTTTCGAAGATTTGAAAAGAAATGAAAAACTTTAAAAGAAAACTTAAAGTAAATAAAAGAATGTATACTGAATACACTATATAATAAATATGTACAGGTATTTAATACAAAAACATAACAAGTATCTATAACTTAATGATGTCTACCATTACCATGGACGCAGAAGGCTCCAAATTCCAACAATGAGAAATGTATCTATGGTGACAATCGTTACAGAACCTCAAATAAGAAACTATCAACCCATAGTTCACATATAAAGGACCAGTATCTTGGTATCTAAATTTATATGTTTGGTTGATTTATAATTATATGTAGCACATTGTATAATACAAAAAAAAACAAGCAATAAACCCTTAACCCTCCTAGTTATATATAACGTTCCTATATATTTGTTATTGCCCTTACTATTCGTTCAATAGTACTGTTAAAAAAATTGGTCCTAAGTCCAAACTACAGCAGCGAACAAGTGGTTCTTTCCGATGTAGTGTAACGGCTATCACATCACGCTTTCACCGTGGAGACCGGGGTTCGACTCCCCGCATCGGAGTATCTTTTTTTGCAACCTTTTGGTAGCGTGTGCAATAATGTAATAACCCTTAGGCTATGTGTTTCTGATAACAGTCAATCATGTTGAAAACACAATAATACTTCACTTAGATAGGTATAAGATATAAGCTCTTTCTATATCCCTAAATGTAATATTCCTATATATCTATATATCTATATCCCTAATCTAAGATAGCCTAATAGTATACACTTATATACTATATATCTAAACCTAGGTAATCCTCAGTTCCTTGTTCTTTGCTTGCTTTATTGTTATTCGTTCTTGGTTGCTCTCTTGTACTTATGTTGATTACTCCTGTTTTTATCTATGTTTGTAAAATTTTCAAAAAAAGAAAGTTTAGAAAAATACCATCAACTCTCATTTTTCCAAACAAACCCTAAACAGTAATATCAGGGTTATCATAAATTTAAAAAGAACTCCTCATAGGGGGCTCGAACCCCTGACATTTCGGTGACCCTTGCTTAAACAAATGTTTAAAAGCCGAACGCTCTATCAACTGAGCTAACAAGGACGAGTTCTTCGGGAAGATGTTGTGGAATAGAATAGTTATAACCATCAAGATTACATAAGATCCTGAATGAATCTAGAACCAATTAGTGTATTAATAAGCCATACATGTGCTACAACATTAGATGCTGCATAATAAAAAGATTGGATTACATAAGATCTTGGCAAATCTAGAATTTACCTATTGTTTTATTAAGTCCCACGTGTATTACTAATCACCATGATTAGAGAATTGGGATGCAGTTCTAATCCAGTAGTGCACCTAAATTAATATAATAAATTTTAGGGTTTGAATCAGTCAAGTCATTAATGTAGTAATCTGAATAATCGATCGAGCTCCAGAAAACATATAAAAGGACAACGTTTTCAGGAGATAAAAGATCATCTTCCATAATCGTTTCTTGTAAATAATTTATATATTATGTATAAACAAAATAGAACAAGCAAGTAACAAGTCAAGTAACTTCGAATAAGTACATTAGCTCGATATAAGCCACTTAATATATAAGACCGTTTTAGTAATTATACTATCGACTATAGTTGATTACTGTCTCGATTATTTGAATTACTATTAATATTATTTGCGCTTCCCTGGAATACACAAAGAACTTCACCATACCATACTACAACAGAAGATGCTGTATAATAAAGAGGTAACACTATCGAGATTACGTAAGATTCTATGAATCTAAAGTTATCTATTGTGTTTCGAGTACAACATGTCCATTTGCCACCTGTTTTGTACAGCGTGTTTAGATATTGTTACTGCGTCACCATAACATATTATGTTTATGCACACCGTGTTCATTATAGTTTCTACTACGCCAGCATAACCTAGTGTCCTAAATGTTCTATGACCTTCGATTATATTATTGTAACTAATAATAAAGATATGTGTTGGAATTTGGAGCTCTCAGCGTCCATGGTAAAGGTAGACATCATTAAATTATGGATGCTTGTTTTGT